CGATGCTGTCCTCAGTCTCCAGGTTGTTCTCAGGTAATCCTGCCGGCTGGGCTGAAGCTCTTGGTGGTCGTGACCCTCCTGAACTAACGTCCGCTTCATTCCGTCACATCTGCCAAACATCAAGTTCCCACTCGTTTGCGACAGCAAATCCAGACAAACTAATGAATTTCAGCCACCCTTGTTAAACCGCAGAGTTACAACAGCTTCACTAAATGCAGATATTTAAAACAAATGGAGTATGTATGAGAAATGAAGGAGGAAAGGAGACATAACGAAATATATGAATACATCTTTGAATAAATACTAAATTGTCATTAATTAATTAAAATGGGAATAAAATAGGCCTACATAAATATGTCATTATTTTATTAAAATGCCAGTTTATTTAATCTAAAAACATTTGATTATTTCACTATTTAATTTATTATTTTACGGACCTGTGTTGCAGTGCTTCATGAATTTATTTTACCTATCAAACTCACCTGTCAAAGTCAGTGGGTGGATACTAACACCTGATTGGTTACCCGGCACATCAAGTCAGGATAGATCAACTCACAATAATGGGTTGAAAGAGCCACTACATACCATCAATATCTTGGTTGAAGAATGCAAGAATAACTCCATAAATTTTTCTAATTTCCTCTGCTTTACATGCTACATGCTCAAGGTCAGCAGGTCCCACTTCCACATACTCTGCAAGGTCTTAAATATCAATAACCAACTCCTGAGAAAGTTGGAGCACATCTTCCATAGCCTCATGTTTTGAAAGTCTTCCAGGCTTCAGACCAAAGTAATCAATCAGACTAGATCAGCATTAGTCCCGCCCACTGACTTTGATGGGTAAGATTGACAGATAAAATAAACTTGTGAAGTACTGCAACACTGGTCCATGAAATGATTTATTAGCTATAATTGTATATGTTTTTACATTAAATGAACAGGTACTCTAATGAATAAATGACACATTATGTATTTAATTCCCATTTTAATTAATTACTGACACATTTAAGTATTCATTTAAAGATGCATTCATATGCTTTATTCTCTCTCCTTTCGTCCTTCGTAATAAGACTAAAAATCTTTCATCAAAACCATCAAACTTCCTCAAAGTAGTAACTAGGCACATTTCTCAACTGTCTTCCTATTCCCACTAGCTTGCTAGTTCAATGCTTTTTCCATCTAGTAAAATTTTAACTTTGCTTGATGAACAATGAACAAATAACAACACGGTAATTTGAATAATTGACAACAAATTATGTGGAATATTTACAATTAAGGCTAATTAAATTACTGTATTCCCCCCATATTTTATGCTGTTAACTTAAGGTGCTGATTTAGTAGATTTTATATGATACTGACTTGTTATATGTCTTAAATTAATGTGATTTATAACCTGTAAATAAGGCAGCATTATTTATTCAGCACATTTTAAATAATTCTAATAGCATTTGACCTTGCAAAGTATTTACTCAGCCATCAATCATTTCATTTCACACCTGCACTTTAAGTGTCCTGATATTTCAAAACCTGTGCCATGAAAGGCAAATTGTCCTATCCGTGCTACCTCTCTCACATGATTGACACTACAGTGAACGCCACTGATTAGGTACGTTAACTTGTTTTTGTCGCAGATTTAAAACACTTATCATTTAGATTACTGATGTTATGAAACCATCAATCACCCTCTAAATATTGTGACTTTAATGATATTGGGGTGAAGTGAGCCAAAGCTTGTGTGATAGGTTAAGTCAAAATTTCTGCTCTGTGTTCAGGGCTGCAAGCAATCAATCAGAATGAATAAATCAAGAAAATGATGCAGAATCAATAATAATTTTCTCCCTGTCCATTTATCTACCTTTTCATGCTTCATCTCCTCAGTATCATTACAGTCAATACAGCTCAGGGATTGACCCCAACCGACCTCAATTATCTTTGTTACTAGAGAGACAAAGAAAAAATGTCATTTTAGCAGGAGACCGGTATCCCCTGTCTGAGGTTGACTCGACTCTCTGCTACAGAATCTCCAGTAAGGAGATTTAATCAAACAATTTTCCATTAATGGTAATATCTCTGTGTATCCAGAAATATAGGTCCAGTAAAGTCATTTTATTTATGACGAGTAAGTCCACTTAACTTTTTTTTTTTCCAAAAGATTTAATAGAAAAAGAAAAAGATTTAATTGGGTTGTATATTAGACATTCTAAATGAAATAATGCTGATTCATGTGCATGTGTTATTCAATCGGAGAGGTTTAGTTTTAGACTCATTTAAAAAAGATTAATTAATTAAAGATTAATTTACAACTCTGTTGACAAATGTGGGTTTTTACAGTGTGCTGGACCAGATCATCAGAGTAGAGAAAGGAAAGTGAGAACAGTAGTGTAGCTACAATAGGAATCATACCCACTCAAGCAGAAGACTTGTTGCACTTGAAGCTGATAAAGTTGCATCTGTCAGCTTTTTATTGTTTGTGAAAAATAAGTTATGCAGCGCTGTTTATGTGCCTGCTGGTGCCTATTACATTGGCCAAGATCCCTTGCATGGGTGCAACGGAAAAGGTCCCCTTGCAAGTCCAGTTTATCCTTTACAGATATTCATAATAACCACAGATCCACAAATCCACAAAGGCTATGCTCTTGCACAAGTTTTCTGCTATCTATCTTACCATGTAAATGTAGGGTTTGGACGCTTCTTCTTCCTCAGATAAGCAAATCAACTGCAGCTAAATCCAGTATGCCTTCACTGTTGCGCCAACTTCTGTAATGCAAGTCAGTCAGTGGCACGCTGGTGCCACATAATGGCGGGACCACACATTATAGTGTGTAATAACTTTGCGACTGGCTTGCGGAAGGGAAAACAGGTGAGACAAAAGTGACAACATTAAAGAAAACTGAAATTTAGCAGAACCACACCTGCAACCACCTGACTAGTCTACTAATACGTAGTCATCCCACTCCACTCTGTTTGTCTGTTTTCTTTGACCCACATTACCCCTCTTCTTCTTCATTAGTCTCTGTGTTTGCCTCTCCCATATCTTTATCCATTTTAGGTACAGCCTGGGTTAAAATAAGATTGGGCAGAGTAAAGCCTGAGATGCGACCCCCTTTCTGAGTTAAGGCCTCAGCCAAGCCTACGAAGGCCATCACAACATTCACACATCAGTCACATCATCATACTCTCCTGAGTTTTCATTAAATACACGCATTGTGGTGGTGTGGTCACTGCAGGTGATCATCCTCATTGAAATTATTTTAAGAATACAACATTGATAGTTCATAAATGATAGATCAACAGAAGGATGTGTTCTCCCAGCCTGAAAGATCTTATATATTTTTATCAGATGATGTGTGTTTTAGCTGCACCATCCAGATCACCTCTACACATACATCGGTTCCACCAGCACCACATGTCAGCAACCATTGAGGTGGGAATTTGGCTCTACATCTCAAAGTAGGAGCCGGTGGAGGCAAGGTGCTCATATTAATAAACAGTCAATGAAAAAGGCTAGTGTTTTGTATGCTCAGCTGGCAAGCTAAGCCCCTGAAGTCTACAATCAATCACAGGTACAAAACTTGTGATGCAACGAATGGCTGCTTGGCTGTTACGCTTGTTGCAAAATCCAATTCATATGGCTTCAGGTTCAAAATAAAACACAGATGGATGGACTGAGATGACTTGGTGGCCAGCTTTTACTGTGAGTCTAACTTGAAGTACTGTCCAGTTTATTTGATGCAGACTCAAAATGCTCCAAATTAGTGGCAGCAGTCGTGGTTGTTTACAAGATACCTAAATAGCACTCAAGCCTGCCCAGTGTCAGATACAAAGTTTTGTTTGGCCCAGTCTGAATCAAGTTGGCTGTAAATTTGATGGGGAGAAGGATTGCATGGATCTACCAGTCTCTAACACATGGGCTGTGTTTAAGAATAACTCTAATAATCTGTCCATGCATAATAATCTCTGTCCAAACAGAAAGTTTCATCCAAGTTTTCCGAATGTTTTAAAACTTTGCTTTCCAAACTGAACAGCATGAGCATTGTGATGCACATTGAGCATATTTACCTCGATGTGAAGTTGATGGATGGCTTTATTGATGGTTAAAACAGTGGAACCGGCCAATTTTTTGGGCAACTCAAGCAGCAGCAAAGAATCCCAAATTTAACCTCTCGAAGCACGGGCAGAATCTGAGGCGAGGGGGTAAGGCATCACACAGAGTGTCAGAAACATCGGTTCAATCTGTTTTGTGCTCCAGTGGACAGTACGCCAACATCTCAGGGCACACGACTCTAAAAATGAAACACTGACAAGTCTGTCACACTTGATAAAAGAGGGAACAATAATAATCCTGTTGAAACTGCACAGCCAAAGAAAAATGGAGTGGAAGAGAGCTTTGCACACTCGGTACACACACACATGCAACTGAAACCCTCAGATAACAGAGAAAAAAAAAGCTTTTTGTGGCCTTTTCGGCGTCTAGTAGAGGTATTTCATGCTCCAGACAAAGTGCTGCCACTGTGTGTCCTCTGAGGGGCGAAACAGAGGAGAGGGAGGGGCAGGGGGCACTATTACTGACTCATGACAAGACTGAGGAGACAAGTCACCGCTGACAGAATAGAGTTCACCAGGATGTGAGAGGGTGAGGTGAGCGGCCTTCAAACACAAACTTGCTCCTGATCGCTATTTGCCATTGTACGCTCAAAAGTTATAAATACAACTAATTAGTCTGCTAACTGTGTCAGGCCAGCGAGAGGAAACGCCCACCGTTCCGCGCCAATCACCCCATGCCCACACACCCTTGTCATGGGGTTGGCATGAGTGCATAATAAGTGCTAAAATGGACAGGAGCAGCATATAAAACCCCGTAGAGAGTCATCTGCCCCTCACTTTAGTTGAAGAAATATCAGCGAGTCAACCCCAAAAGTTTCGAAGTTACTTATTGATTGTCTTCAAACAAAGAGCTGCCATCTTTTCACTTCAGAGCAGTTTCTTTTTAGGTCAAAAACATGAGCTCACAGGAAAAAACAGAGCTGTCATGTGGGCAGCACGGCACAGGCGTCCCCTGGTACCCCCTGAGAAAATGGTGGCAGCCCAGCCGTCTTCTCGGTCAGGATGTTGGCCTGCCGCCTTTCCTGGAGCCTCGGGACCCTCGATGGCTGGATGTGGAACGGCTCCAGAGAAGTTTGGCAGCCTGCTTCTTGCCGGGGTACATATCCGCTCCGATGTTTGTGCCCTACATCTCTTCATCCATGCATTATCCCGAGCAGAAGATGAGTAAGGAGCTGTACAAGTGGCGGGTCAGCCTGGACGTGGCTCACTTCTCCCCCTCTGAGATTTCAGTCAGCATCAGTGATGGATTCCTGGAGGTCGGAGGTACAGATCATTAATCTGCTCGTGGTTCTGTTAATTAAACAACTCCAAAAGTTCACTTTATTAACAGTACTAATTACTTTTACACGCAGGATAGTTTCTCCTCTGATTAAAATGTGAATAATCAGGTCTATCTAATATAATTATCTCAAAAAGTAGCAGTTATCTAAATAGACTTCTCCCACAGTTCACAGCATAAATCCCTTAAAACTAAACAAGACTGAAGAGGAAGCTGAATGTAACAAAATTAGAGCGCTGCTTAAATAATGTGCCCTGGGAAATCACTGCTCTGTGGCAGAAATTAATTTCTGCGTTGAGTGGTTTTCTCTCTGTTGCCTGATTCCTCTGTGTGTCCTCACATTCCTCCCCATAATCGGTAATCCATCCCCAGGGAGGCACGAGGAGAGGCCAGACGAGCATGGATTTATCGCCAGATGTTTCATAAGGAAATACAGGTAAGAAAAGTAAACACTGGTGTAAATACAGACGATAAAATATTCACACTTCAAGCTCTTTCAAACACCAGTCAGTAGCACAATACCGCACTAAAGTTTTTTTTTTGACAGTTTCCAATCTGTAACACACCCACTGAGCTGAGAAATTAAATCTCATGTACATCAGTGTCAGTGCTTGAAAACAGCAGCACTTTGCATGTCGAGACACTGTGAACACTCCTCTGTCGTTTTCAGGCTCCCAGCTGAGATTAATGTTTCCAAAATTGCATCCACACTGTCGGTCGACGGTATCCTGACCGTTGAGGCTCCAGTTCCTGACACCTCTGTCCCTGCAGCCGTCAGCATTCCCATTAAGGTGAGCACAGCTGGAAATATATTTACTCTGTGGTTTATAAGGACAATGCAATGTAGTGACAGTTTTTATAGGTTTGATGGATATCACAAGGACCAAGCACCATTCATATATGGAGAAACAGGAAGTGCTTTTCAGGGTTCAAAGTAAAACTTTACTACTCTAATACTGACATAAGACTACATGATTTCAGTGGAGTTCAATCTTCAAAAAAAAATCAAATACAGCCAAATCAAAACAGCATAAAATGTGGGGTGTAAAACCACAGACTGTATATAAAATGGACGCCGTCTGCCTCCTCGCTGGGTGAAGCCCCCATAGGAACAGCACCCTCTGGTGACGGGCTGCAGTATAGGTCATAAATCCCGCCTCCCCGGCAATCCTTATGGAGCCGTGGACAAACTTAAGAAATTAATGACGCAGAATATAAACTTTTCTTTCCCCGTGGTTGTGATGTTGACATGTAGTTACTGTAAGACTGGTTTGTGCTCAAGTCCTCTTTTTTCTGTACAGCTCTGTTTTTAAAAGTTATTCTGGGTTCATGTTGGCTATGATTGACTCTTGATACAGCCTATGGGCGTACAAAGTTAGTGTAGCTCACCCGGGGGATATGCTGTTTGAGCTGAGCGTCACAAAGGTGATTCTTCCGACGAATGTGTACAACGCTACTGCGCCAGTGGTGGTTCCAGGAAGTGGAGAAAATTTCAGAAATACTGAGAGCAATTTGGCTTCAAATTTGTATAAAGGTGGAAGGTGGAGCCACGTTGTCCATAGTATATACAGTCTATGTGTTAAACGCACTTTGATACTTTTTTAATCAAAGAGATATGAGCTGTGACCCTGCACCAATTTAAAATCCTGAGAGGGTTACTTTTTTGTGTTACATTTGCCTGGCATCGCCTGAATCCATTAAATTCATCTTCTTTTTTTTTAAGGTTTTCTGCAACAGCCACATGCAGAACTACCTTCCAGTGTGGATCCACAATTTAGGACGCCAAGTGGCCCAAATCAGCCATGATACTTGAAATCTTAAATTCCAGACACAATTCAATATGTCTCCATCACATTAGTGGGCACCATTATAGACCACCATTTGGTTTAAATGCATGCCTTTGACAAAATAAGGAGAAAATGTCCCTATAAAGTGAATGCCATTTGTACCCACAATGCAATACACTTTAGCTGTGTTCCAGTTCAGGGGCTGCAGCCTCCAAAGGAGTAGGCTGTGTCGGCTTGCATGGACTGGAAAGATCAAACTGAACTGAGACAGTCCTTTTGGGGAACTGGTCCTTTTAAGACCTTTGGAGAACCACATGCTTTTGTCACTTCCCTAATAATTGACCTCCTGGGTCCCCTCTTATAGAGCCAGCCCATTTTCAAATAAAGGACTGTTATTTGTCTGGTGTATCTAACACAGAGGCGTAGTAGTTTAGGATTACATCAGGCCAAGACAAACCACAAAAAATGAATATAAACCTTTGCAACAAAACCTGTAATTACTGGTTAAAATCATAGACCAGATAACTGTTGTTTAAGTGCTTCAAAGAGACTCTTTTACAGGGCCAAGCTAGCCCCTTTCAACAGTCTGCAGTCTTTATACCAAGCTACCGGCTTCTGTCTGCAGCTTTATATAACACTTGTCAGACTGAGCAGGTATTGATCGTTTCATCACCAAAAGAAATCATCACATTTTCCAAAATGCCAAGTCATTCTTTTCAGCTGATTTTCACAACAATCAGTGAACAATATCTCCTGATTGCCTCCATTTCAGTATACCTCTTGAGTTTCCTCTAATGAAAGGACTGGCATACAAATTCAGTAATGAGGTGGGGCATGAAAGGCAAGCCAGCTAACCTTTAATTATGAGCGTTCATTTAATTTCACTGCTGACATTTTCCACACATTAATGCATCAACTCAGGTGGAGATGGAGGCGGCTGGAGACAAAAAGGAGAAAGAAGGAGCCCCTGATACAGACCCAGGCAGCTGCAGTGCACCAGATGACCCAGACAGTACATACGCAGGGGCTGATGGTGAGGAGTCGCCTCCACTAGAGGTCCGTGGTGATCAGGCCCACCCTGGCAGCTCTGCAGCTGGACTCCAACAGCATGAAGAGAAGAGGGAAGAAGGGGAGGAGACCCGTGAAAAGCCAGCTGGAGAGTCCCACCTGTCAGAGCCTGCACATGGCGAAGGCACCGAGAGTTTTCAAGATGCTTTTATGCACGATGCGGCTCCAGAAATCCAAGAAAACCTGGACAAAGACATGCTCAAACAGCAGGAACACAACGAACCAGACATGGATGGAGAAAAGCAAGAAATGCAAGGCTCAAGCACTGCTGCAGAGATCACCCAGCCTGAGGGGGCAGAGCTGGACAAGGGTCCACCAAGCCAGGTCCCGAGCCAAGAGCTGGAGGACATAAAACAAGAATACACCAAGTAGAAACATGAAAATGCTTTGATCACTTATCAATCAAACAGCCTGCTTAGTTTACCTTGCATAAGGTCTAGTAAACAAATATATTTGCCAAATAATCATGGGAGCTCCAATAAAAAGCAGAAAGCATGTGAAAATGTTGAATGTCTTGTCAGTGTTACTCTTGATTTCTTCCTGTTTTTACCTCCCCTAAATATTCAAATGAAATGTAGTCTTTCTAGGTGTGAATTTGCAACCGTTAATGAATAAGCGATTGCATTCATGAGCATCATATTCATAATTACCTCTGAAACTACGTGAGTACAAAATTAAAAAAGAGATTAATTATCCTGCTGTTTCAGCTAAGAGGTTTTGACATTAATCAGATACTATACGTTTGCACAGCTGTGCATTAGTCACTTCTACATGAGCAACTTGCCCAAGGAGAAACTGGCCTGATTCCAATTATGCTGTTTCCATGGTAGCGTGAGTCCACACATATTGTCTAATACCAATAAATACAACAGTTTAGATGTGAGCTGGCACAACACACAGAGCAGCGCCTTTGCACAGCCAAAAACTGAGGAAGCCTTTTACTGTTTCCAGGGTGCAACTCCAGTTTGGAAACTTTCTAAATTCAAACTAATCATCCCTTTTAAATCCAGTACACAGAGAAGATTACATTATTTTGCATCACATGACATGCAATGGAACGGCCCCAGTTTTTGCACTTGCACACAAAAGCTCTGGCAGTGCTGCCTCCAAGCGTTTAGGCCAATCTCGCCCAGCACTAAACCCTCAGCTAATCTGCTGCCCAGCTCCTTCTGTTACCCAACAATAACACCACAGGATCCCTGGAACCAGGCCTGAGAGTGGCAAGGTTCTCAATGAAAAGACACAGATGTTAAGACACACAGGAAGATTGGCTGGACATGTTTTATTGCATCAGCCAATACAAAGACATCACCAGAAAAAGAAGGCGGGAAACAAACATCCTTGGCATGAAAATCAGTCCATCAGTTCCAACGGTCATGCAGCCGTCCTTCTGAACGCTTGAATAGAAAAGAAATTCAAACCATTTTTCAAAACCATGAACACTTCAGATAAATACTCATACTGAATTGGCACATATCAAAGTATATTTACAATACACTGTGCTAGAATACACTATCAATGCACACAACTCGCCCTCTATAAACTCTCTAAAAAGGTGACTTACTTTAGTTTCTTGTCAGTTTTAGTGACATTCATTAACTCAAAAGATTAAAAAAAAAGCTGTAACACATAACATCTCAAAGCACTCGAGTCAATAAAGGCACATTTGTTTTTTTTTAACTCCAAAAATCACATACAACAAACTTAATACACACAAGTGTATATTTAACTCTTTTGAAATTCATATACAATGTTTCATTAACTTGATTTGAATTAAAATATATTTATGCTTTTACACTGAAAATATCTTTGAATCTTTATGGTGGAAACAAACATGTTAATTCAGAAATTAACAATTCATTAATAAATACAAAGTTAAACATCTACCCATACTATCATCCTTAAGTTACACCAACATTTGTTAACTTGCTGGAACTTTTTTCCCATTAGAATAAAAAGTTTAATGTTTTCTTTTTGTATTTACATTTCTGTAGGAGGTAAAATGTCAGATCAAACCTAAGCTATTTTTTTGTGAGTTAATCAAAATGTAGATGATATTGCTTTATGTCTGCCACAGTTCCCAGTTGTGATCGTTAATTTCAATATGTAGCTCAGTATTTCACAAACACTTTCAAATGTGAAAATTATATATGTAAGGCAAAACTTTAAAAAACAAAAATGATGAAATGGCATATTAATTTATATTTTTTTAAAGCTGCTAGTTTGTAATAAAACTTTATAGAGAGTCAACACAAATTGAGAAGTGAAACCAAACAAGAACTCTTTGACTGTATCCGAAATCCCAAACTCACCCCCCACCTGGACAGCTAAAAGAATTCAACAGTGAGTTTACAGGTAGAAAGCGCTGCTGGCCATCCAACATATGCCAAATAATGAAGTCATTACTGTTGCACATTTAAAAGGTGTTGCCCAACACCAACGTGGATTAGTGGTGAATGGCTGACAAGTCACTGGCAAAAAAATAAGATGGGGAAAAAACAAACAGAAACCAGTGAGGGATATTAAACACACTAGGAGTGAAAGTTTGATCAAGACAGACATGAAATAAGCAGACTGCTGCGGTGTGGGCTTTTGTAGAGTGACAGGACTGACTGACTGAAAAATAAACACCAACAGAGTTAAAAGCTTACGGGAAGGAGGACTTTATACACCAGTGCTGCTTTTATTTTCTGTGTCCGTTAGAAATGCCAGTAATTTGACTCGTAAGTTAACTGATACAAAAACAATCACTATGGCACTTCTTTCAACTGGTGGTATCTTTAGTTAGTAGCAGGGTAATACACAGGAAACTGTACAGTTAAGCAGTGGTTTACATTAGAGTCAAGTCTCACCCTGCCAGGATTCTTGTTTGCCAAACAATAAAACATTTTCTATGACAATCATTACCGCTAAATTTTATGACATGAACTTGTCAAAAAGTGATACCTAATATGACACTGAGGATATCTTTTGAAACCCTGGTTTTGCACCTCAAGTTACTTGTCTCACGTAAACAAACTAGTCTCTCATGTGTCATAGTCGTTTAAAAACTTTTGTTCCTGGGGAGAAAATCATTCAGTCTTTATCAAACAGCTTCATTTGGGGGAAACTGTTGCCAAATATTCACTTCTTTAAGTTTCATCAGACAGTTCCCAGTCACAATGCAGACAGCAGTACTAAGTGGCAAATCCCCCATTTCAAAGTAGTGAAAGTGAGGGATTTTGGACACAGCCTTTGAGTTAGATTTCTACTTGAGGTCATTATTTTTGTGGATTTTTATACAATTAAGAGTAAGGGTTAAATTTCTTTACACAAATAGAGGTGATACTATTTTTATCTGTCACAGTCAGCAATCACAGAGTCTTCACTGTTCTGTTTGTATATCTATCTCACTGCTGCCTTGACCAGGCAACATTTCTTTTAGCATATTTGACTCATTTAAATTCCAGGTGTCTACAAGGCTGAAGGCCACACATTTCTTGGCAAACTTCTTATCAGTTGTGCAACATGTTTTCTTATATTCGTACAGACTTGGGGGTTTAGACTACAGGAGCCTCTTGGGGCTTTGGTGCCTCCGCCTCCAGCATGTCACCCCCCTGGCAGCTTTCATTGCTGAAGAGGGAATATGGAGGCGTCTGCCGGGCTTCGATGATAAGGACACCCTCGGGGGACAAGGAGGCGAAAACGGTGAGTGGGTCCACATCTATCGGGATCCTGACAGAAGAAAAGTGAGAGGAAGATGAGGGTTTGAGTTTGTTCTGCTTGGGAGGAAGTTTCAGATGTTAAGAGTGGCAGAAGTTTACTTGCCGCTGTGAATGTTTGGCATGTTTAAAAGTGTGAGTGGGAGGAAACAAAATAAGGAGAGCAGTGAGGAGAAACAGCCTAGAGAAAGAGTTCAGTTCCTGCTCGGAGGTCATGCAAAATACTGTGACATTCTCCTCAGTATGAGCTGCTCTGCAAACATTGTTAAATGCTCGGGTTTTTTACTGACACTTTGTCAATACCCATAAACAGCCTGCAGTCAGATAGTTTTAGCGTTGTATACCCACAGGAGGGAAAAAAGAACTTGGCTTCGAGTTCTGACTGTTATTAAAATGCTCACCCTCTCCTCCTCGGCTAGCACTTCTTCTAGACTTACTAAAAACTATCTCACAGCAGGAAGGTGGACTGAAAGCCATCAGGATTTTTTATTAAAAAGCCCCCGGCTCTGCGGCAGAAGGGGAGGAGGGTGTGCGCCAGGTGTGAGGTTTGATTCCAATTAAAAAGAGTGTCATCTGCATAAGTTCACACCTGTAAATTTCCATCCGTGCATACTTTCCTAACCTGCTGCTCTCATCTGTCAGACAGGCAAGCTCTGTCAGTCACCTGCTTTTTTTCCCACCTCTCTTAAATTTTCTGACACTTTTCTCATGGGAATGATCACATTTACAGAGCAAAGGGAGATAATTGGCACTCGAACCTCGCAGGGAACATTAAGTGTTAATGGAAAATCAACCAGGGATTACTTATGCAAGGCTTCACTTCTGTTAAACTGTGAATAAACTTTAGTTTCAATGAGAGTTAATTATCTTAAATGATCTAACTAGCTGTCATTTAATTATCAGGCTGATTTCAGGGTTAGTTTGAAAATTAATCACCTCCCTCTGGAAGAAAAGTCCTTCAAAAGCAGCTGTCGAGGCAAGCACACAGAGATCAAGCTGTTCTTTGTCAGAGAGCGTGGCCAAATATGGGTATTGTAGGTTTTCTGTGTGAGCGGCCAAGAGTCTCTGGGCTTTAATATAAACATCAGCCTGCCCTGTTCAGAGGAGCAGACTGGAGTTTACCGTCCATTTAATTAGAGGAGACTCTCTACTGCATGGCTCTTCACTCCACTGAGAAATACAAGACAGAGGCGGCTAAACATTTTCCTCATGGGATCAGGGGGGGCACAGAGGTTATGTCAGGTCTATTTGTGAAGACAAGTATCATATCACAGTGTTCCATTGAGCTTTACAAGTCCACTTTAACAACATCGAGACCCAGCATGAGTTCAGGCAGTGGTTGGTGAAGCAATAAATAAGTGAGAAAAGGATCAAACTGGAGATCCAGGCTGAGCTGGAACAATCAGAAACTAGAGCTGTCACGGTGTCTGTTGTTTTTTTCACCTCAAAAGACACTGCTTCATAAAACCATTATTAGTCATGCTTTTATTTTACATGTTCTCTGTCTTGGTCTGGTAATAAATTATGATTCACAATAAATCTTAAAGAGTAGTGCCTTAATCTGCTCTCAGAGAGCTGCTACAGCTCTCTAGCAGCCGCTGCTGCTTTTTCATCCCTTTTCCATTTTATGAAATGAGGCAACCAGCGTAAAGAACCACAGCAATAAACTCAGTATTACTCCATGCTTATTTTAAATACAATATCTATAATTCAGATTTTTATGAAAGGGTTATCGTCAAAACTGGGATATGGTGATGGTCCTAACATCAACACTGAGTCTAACAAGAGAACTAAATTACAATGAATTCAGATGGAACTAGTTCATTGAATTATAGTGAAAAGTTGCAAGCTTATATCACACTACATACACAGCTAATCACCCAAAAGTGAAGCCAAAATATATAGCGCTTCCCTTAACGACTGACTGCAGCATACTGTGGGTCATAAACCTCACCTCACCAATGTCAACGGATGGGGAATGATGGAAACACATGTCAATTTTATCCAACACATGGCTTTTGTCATCATTTAGTTCATATCATGTTCGTTTTTTGAAGAGGTTTAACTTGATGCCATTAAAAAAAAAAAAAAACCTTTAGACAGAACCTTGTTGGTCTCCACAGTTAACTACTGTTTCTACTACTCTTCTAATATTACCTGTGGTGTGCCACAAGGTTCAATTTTAGGTCCACTTTTATTATCTACTTATGTGTTCCCCTGTGGTAACATCAGTCATTGTCATAATTTATCTTCCTATTGTCTCTCTGTTCCTGACTAGAAGTGATATCACCAGTGCAAGATGTCAACGCCCATTGTGGTGATATTGTGGTGTTACTTTACATCAACTTTAAATTCAACTAAATGTTGAAATAATTCACTCACAGCCAAATATGTCAGGGGTGTAAGGTCACGTGATCCCTTACTTATCAGGATTCACCACAAATTAAATGGCGGCCTTGCTAGAGTGCTGGTATATCTTGTATAAGGTTGTATCATCGGACAGTGTGAGCACAAGAATGTATTAATATCATTTGTTTAACATTTCTGTCTCCATTTATCTTCATTACTGAAAATCATCATATATCATATATTTTTGACAATCAAGAACATCATCAAACAAAGGAGGGGCTCCCAGGACACCTCTGAGGACACCCCGAGAGTCAACATTAAAATAATAAATGCATCTGGATGACAGAGTAATGATATCCGAGCTTTTCCAAGGTTTGACAGTTAGCTTCAGATACCCATATAAGCACAAGCCTACAGGTTTCAGTCCCTTTCCTCCCACTTTCAAAGAGCCAATAGCAGCAAAGAAAAGTTACTCCATTCTGACAAAGTCAAATCTCTTAGACGGCCCATTAAGTATGACTCCATCAGAAACGTTATCTGTCCAGCTCTGGAGTTTATTTACTGTACCTAAGGCAAACACACTTTTATCCCATGCATTGATTTTGTACAGCTGCCAAAAAGCTGTCCAATATGCTTTACCCCCCTACAGAGATGCTGATCCAGGCAGAGAGAGACGAGACACCAAGACTGGACAAGGCCGGGTGATAATGGAGTGCGTTTGGTGTGTAAGAAATACAACCCATCCGCTCTGCCCTCAAGCACAGGCTACACATGTGGACCGAAACCATCTAGCTATGGCATGTGTTTCGTGAGGACAGACACAGAGGCAGAACATGAAATTTATAAATAAACACTCCTCACACGCAGGCTTTCTCATGTAAACAGGTGGGAGTTCGTGTGTTCCTGCAGGGCTACATGACCTGGAGATTTGAAGCTACCTTTGGCCTTTAGGAGCTGATTTAACAATGACAGATTCGGTTAATAATTGACAAATTTCTCACATGTAAAGCAAGTGTTTAACCGAAAAATACCCTACCATCAAACTTTGACCCTGTTACCTCAGATCCCTGGCTTTTATACTGATGCATTTCAACTTTTGGTGTATTTGCACTTTTTTCTAGGTGACATGTCAGAAACCTACAAAGACCCTGAAGTCCCATAATGAAAATATTTATTGTACAAGTTATAATGTGCACTAATGTTTACAGAAGTCTAAGACTCAAGTCCAAGCTTTAGACTGTGGCTCTGGCTGCCACAAATAAAGATACAACTAAAAAATGAACTTACTGATATTAAATGATCAAAACAGATGCCGTGCAAGATATGAAGACTCAGTCGAAGTTTTGGTTGGCTTAACAAAAGGCAAAGAGTCAAAGCTGAGATGGGCCTGTAGCCCCTTTGCTCAAAGCAACGGTGAGCCTGCCTGTCAGTCAAAACTGGTGTGTATGTAGTCTTTGATGCTTTTGGAGCCAGCCTCAAGTGGACACCAAGAAACTTCAGTTTCTGGATGACATTTGGATCAAGAGGGGCAGCTGCCAGTCCCAGGATGTCTAATTAGATTTTATAATAAATAAAAGCATGAGTGGCAACATGTGGGATGCGTGAAAGAATCATAAATGGGAACATGAGGACTAGCTCAACCTGTTAGCAAGCTAATGGTAATAGTGTTAGCCACTGAAATGACTCAGCTGGTGGGTCTAAGATGTTTGGGTTAGTTCCACAATAGTCCAACTTTTAAAATGCATGTTATCACTTCAGTCTGACTTATGTACATGCACTGTAGTGACATATTGAAGTGCAGTACTTCTGTGAAGTTTATTGCTTTGTAAGAGAAGCAAGAGTGCCTTAATCAAAAGTACACCCTCTCATGCCTCACTGCAGTAATGTGACATCTCAGTGCTATGTCTGCCTTCATTTAAGCCCAGGATTAAGGTATCGAGGTCAGTTATTTATATATGACCCCCTCCTCACTCCCTCCACCATCAGACCCCCCCTCTTGGCCGTATATTCAGTGTGTCAGTGGTTTTAGGTTTTGCTCGGCTGGCCTGATCCGGGAGCCTCCAATTAAAAGTCTTGTGATATGAAGAGTGTGCTGCTAGCACAACTGCTTACTAATTAGCCAACAGGAAATTAGCAGAACCGGAGTGACGCGCCAGAAAGACGCTGATTCGCACCAGCGATTAGCAGAGCTGTTTGAAGTCCTCACAACGGCCAATTAGAGGAGCCGAGAGCCGATGTGTTCTGGAAACTTCTGTTCAATTAGGATGTGATAAGTCCACAATATGTAAGATATGAGTGCAGCTCTGTTCTGCACAACAACACTCCTCCATGGAGAGCTATGCTTCAGTTTCCCAGTGTTAGTGAGAGCCGTTTCTGTCAGTGGAAACAGTTTGGAGTTGTGAAGATTGTGGAGACTTTGTCCACTTAGAGCTAATGTAACTCAAGTGCAGCTCCTCGAGGATATGAGGTAAAGGCGACAGAATAAAAAGCATGAACACACGCAGGATGGTTGTTGTTGTGTCTGCTTAGAAATCAGACTTCAGAGTGTTCTGAATTTCTCTCCAAACTGCCAAACACAGTATGTTCATATTTATGATTACAGATGGAAATTCAAGCATTCAATTGACAAAGATCTTTGAAAAACAGAAGTTTTTTGTATGATTATTAAATATATATATATATATATATATATATATATATATATATATATATATATATCAGACAGGACATGACTGAAGAGAGACAGTAAGTGTCAGAAGCACAGAGTAAGGGATGACATAAAACGAGAGGCTGAGGATGGGAGTCAAATACTCAGCCAATGAGGACTACTGCAGAGACAAGTATAGCTTCTGTGAATAGAGGCTGTACCACTGGCCTTTCCCATTTTCAACCATATTTGTCAGATTAATCTCAGTTTGAGACAATCTCAGACACCCTCTCTACTTTTACAGTTAGAGACGGCTTAGAACTTTGCCTCTCAATGATGTTCATAGATAGGAGTGGCTTAGGCTTGGACCAGCTTTTACTTATGCTGCTATAGGTTCAGAAAGGAATGTTTTTTGTACAATCATTTGCATTACTGGACATTTTTAGAGATAAAAATTTGACAAATGAAGCCCCATACGCATCCTGCATCACAAGGCCCTTTTTGTCCTTCAAGGCCACCGTTACCTCATTGACAGAAGAGGTGAGCAAGGGAGCATTTCAATCTGAAATCTAGCTGTTACATTTATTGAAATATGAAACATTTGGTAGAAGTTGCTTCTCTGTAAGGAAGATTAAAAACTTGTAGCTGAAATCTACAACAGGGGAGATTTATTTGGCCTTGCAGCACATCTTTTTTAATCGAGTGTGGGAAGATACTTTGTTAGTTTAATAGTAAACTCTGCAGGACTCATTTGAAGCCGTTAAATGTTCGGGAGATACATTGCCATGCTTAATTAAAACTGCAACTGTAAAAATCAGATTTAAGAGTGAATAAGACACTAAAAACAATGAGATCTAAAATCTACCAACCACTTGTGCCCATAATGTAGAAAGACAAAGATGAAAACAACTGAAGAATTTCCTGAAACAATACTCACTGTATCTTCTTTGTGAAGTTCTTCGTCACTATCCCTCCTTCTTCCTGCTTCTCTTCATGTTTCCCTGTTTGAAAAATAAAAAGCATCAGAGGACTGATAAATGATGTATGTGCCTTTAAATAACCTCAGATATGATTCAAGCTCAGCATTTTGTAATAATTAGGCAAGGTAGGAAGTACACTCCCGTCAGTTAACTTGGACATTGATTATGTACAGTATGTTGCGAAACTTTAAACCTTGACATCTCCTCATGAGATCCAGGGTGTGCACCAGCATAGTGTGGATGACAACATTTGGCCCACACGCTTTTTTCCATTGCTTCATTGCTGCTGTGTTTTTGTTTTAGGTGGGCTCCACTGGGCTTGTAAAGATAATGAAACACCCTCTCAATTCTCTGAAATGTCTTCCAATAACAGCTGTCCTGATAAGAGACGTGTTGTATTTTGAAACTAGGGAGAACTTAAAGCCTGGAAACTCCCCCGATAGTTGTGCTCCCTCTCTACCGCTGGTTAGCTCACAGCTGCTTTGGGGCTGCTAAATATCACTGCTTCCAGCCAGCAACGGCCCGCCCCCACCCCTCAACCCCTTGTCTGCACGCCAGGCACGACTATGTGCAACCCTACACCCCTCCAGTGACGTTTCTGCTCGCCACAAATGCTGAGCTCCACCAGAGAGCAACGGTAGAATAAAATCTCCAGAGAGTTTGTGCTCAGGTCACCTCTGAAGTCATGAGTTCAAATGTTAAACCTCGTCATCACTCAGATCTGGTCCCTTGATTATTGTGTCATCAGTAATCAAGGTTTGGTTTGAGCCGTCCCATCAGGCACGATTTCTCTGTGTTTTTGTCTCTTATGACACAGATGCAAAATACCAGCTGCTGTCTCTTCAGGGTGGAGATGTTATTGTGAGACATGATGTACTCTGAGGTCCACCTCTGCCTGTAAGACTATCACAAACAGGGCTCAAGTTTATGCACTCGCTGATGATGCTGTTTTATATATTGCTAACAGTGTCACTGAGGTGAGCTCACACTGGTTTTCCTTCTATTCATGTAGAAAGCTTTGACTGAAAATGAAAATATTTCTGTTTGAATAGAAAAAAAACACATTTGATACTTGCCACTGAACGCTCTACAGACAGAATTTGCACAATACTATTGGTGTGATTGGCATACACTTAAAGCTCACCCTCACTCACCCAGTGAGTTTTCAGAAGTTTTGTGCATGATTGACTGTTAGGAATATCAGTGTTTAATCATCTAGAGAGTTTAAAGTTGTCACTTTTACATGTTAGTGCAAGCATTTCCAGTTGGTTACATGAGTTATTAATATTTTTATCACTGTAGACTTCTAAAGTTGGTCAAATGCTGTGGTGCTCAGCTGCCGGCCACAAGCCAAGGCTGGGGCTGTGACTCCTAGCCTGGCTGGGCCATCCAGTTGCGTGAATCACTTGCCGTTCCTTCTCACAACAGTCTGGACTTCGGCCAATTGGGAGCCCTAAAAGTGGGCGGGAGTACTTTCCTTGATAGACAGACTACTGTAACCAATCACTGTGACCAAACATCTGACGTCATCACAGTGCGCAACTGTGTTCCCTGCTGGGCTCTCAAGCATCAAGTAAAGGTTTGGTAATATTTCCCGTAATAAGTCCTGCAGCATGTGTTAGACGTCACCATCTACACATGGACCAATCAGGTTTGTATTTAGGCTGTGCTAAGATAGACTGGAATAAAACCACCCAAGTGAAGCAATGTGTAACCATTACAGGTAAACGAACCTTTATGTGCAGGTAGGACCGACGGCTGGTGGTGCTAGCTCTACACTCCAATTTGACATCATTTGACCCTAAAGTTTGGCCATGTTTAACACAATGTGCTCACTCTTGACTGTTTCTGAACCTTTTCTTATCTTTAGAGTAGACGGGTGGTTAACATGGTGAATATGGCGTTAGTTAACTTTGCACTGGGTTCACGTCCGTCAAATTCACTTCTGCTTTCTTCAATCTGTTGCTTTACTTCTTCCCTACAACCAAAGCATGAAATTATATATAAAATACAGCTTGTTTACTCTGTGAAGCCACAAATATTGACCCGATGTCGCTTCAAGCTCAGATTTGAGCAAGTTATTAAAACTGTGAAAACTTCCGCCTTGGATCATTCCCGTTTAGTAAACACTGGATCCAGACACTCAGCTATGTCAGCACTAAACTTGTACTGTAAAAGTGCTTATTTAAGAAAGTTTACAACTTCTCTACTTCTCTTAAATCAAATTGTGACTAAAATCTTAAAGTAAAATTTCAACCAAGTCATGTAACAGCAACTTTCAGCACAGATTGGTGCCAATTTAACTTATTTTAGTCTGTGTTACCAGGAAGAAACATGCTAAACACATCACAGCTCAGAGCAGAAAGTGACTGATTCATAGAGTTGACACTCATGAGTGCTCTCTGTTTGCTCTCTGTTTAGCATTCATGATCTGAACTCCTCAAACATGTGTGCATCACACTTTAAGATCGTGATTGAGTCAGTGCGGCGAGTCTGTCCAACATGGCGCTGATTGAATGACCCAGCTGGCATACCAACAATGTATTTATAAAGACAGAGATCTGTGGAGGGGGCTGCTGTCTTCTGTGCCCTCTTAGTCTCGGGGTATCCCTGGAATTCATTTTATTTTTAAAGCACTAACATGAGGAAGCACGTTTCTGAAAGTTACTCCAAAAAATGAAAAGCTAAAACGTGACCCACCCCCCTGCAGGAGCACCAACCTGCACACAGCCTGCTGGGTAACAGTGATCCTATTTCTAGAACATTCTCTCCAGTGTTTAATGGCAGCAGGCAACGTGTCTTATTGTAAACAGAGACTGTTGTCACGGGCCTTGCCTTCCTTTAAATCTAAATTAAGCTCAGAGTGATTCTCCAGGAATCTGAAACAGGTGTCTAAGCTTGAGGATCTGCTTGCCAACGTTTAGGTCCCAGTCCCCAAAATCTGTCAGCCTCGTCCATATCCAGACTCATTAAAGTAGAGAGTGTGTGTTACCTCTGAGGCTTTCATTAAATAGCTTTGAAAGTGCTGCCAACCAAAGAGAGCTGATACTTCTTGGCCAGGTTAGAGTGAGAATCCTTGAGGATAACTGAGAAAGTGATTATGATGCTTTGTTTCCTTCAGACCTGAGTAAACGTCTGCTTTACTGCCACTTAACTTCTATTTGTTCTGAGTTTTTTTAATTAAACATGTGGGTGTATTGTCTTTTTTATGACATGTGGAAGGAAGATGGAAAATGTGGTGATAAGGTTTGAAAATACTGAGTCCAATAATCAAGAGTTTTAATTTGAAGGGTTAAATCTTACCCAGTGCAGATGAGGTTAGATTAGCTGCACAAGTTAGCTTTCAATTGTTTTATTGTATTACCCTTAAATTTTATGTCCATATCAGGTCTTAATGCTGTTTTAGATCTTTTCACGCACAGTCAGAGACATATTTACTCATTATAATTGGATTTTTGTATGTAACAGCTCAAAGATGCTGTCTTAAGATGCTAACCTTTCTGATGCTAGCCAAGTTTTGCTATCTTTGAGCTGAACACCAGCAGCTTTCCCAACTTTTTCTCATTAAGTTTCATCTTAATACTCCTGAAATAGGTCCTTTCCAACTTGAGTCAAATCTTCTTGTGACTTTAATATCGTACATTCAAGTCTTTATTTTGTGTAAAATTAGCCTACTGTAGCTTTTTGTTTGACAGCTATTTTCTCCCAAGTTTTCGAGTTTTGGTTTACACCTTGCTGGTACTAACGCTTTTTTTTCTCGTATATTTCAGGCTTTGTTTAAATTATGTGTTTATGACAACTTTTTACAAGTCTAAGAGTTTATTCCCTTATAAGAAAACTTAAATATAAAATATGTAATATTACAATGTAAAATTATGAGAATGAAAAATGACACATTTTCTCCAATAAAGTCCTGAAGTTTTAAGATCAAGATCAATATTTTAAATAATAGCTTTTATATTAAACGTTAATTATAGTTAGCAATTATTTTTAATGATGTTATTCTATAGCCTAATTCTCATAAAATTGGTCAAACTAACAACTTAAATTTTGATCATTTAGCACCCTTATTTGTGATTTAGCATTTTATTCTCATTAATTTATGACATTATTCTAGAAATCTTATATTTTTCCCTTCTTATTGTGGCCTTAATCCTCCTTTGGAAATTAGAGTGAGAAAACCTGTGAATCCCTATCAGCAATTCTGATGACATGTTGAAGTTTTTTTGTGCTATAACCATATTTATGTTGTTTGAACTACATGAATATGAATTCAAATAATTTTTAATCTCATTAAAGCGGACTTCAGGGAGCATGATTATGCCAAACTTGTTCTTTTTCGAATAAAAACGTCTCCTTTGGTTATCTTAAAGCTTGTTGATTTCAGTGGGAAGTCACCAGGTGGGTTCACTTTGACCTGCCCTCATTGGTTATATGACAGCTGTTTACAGGACCCAGACTACTAACCCATTTTCCCCTCAGAAAGGCCTTTTAATCCCAGTAAACCCTGTGATTATTTACACCTCTGATCAGTTAGACCTCGGCCCCTCAAACTCACCTGACACTTCTACAAAACCGTCTCTCGTTTTGACATGGAGCTCCTCTGGTTTAAAGCTGTGCACGTTCACGCAGACTTTCCAGGGCTCCCCTCCGGTGGTGATGGGTGAGCCTCGGGAGGTGGAGGAGGGCTCGGTGTACCTGCTGGTATACAGCGCGGGGCCTCCTCCCGTGGACTGCCGCGAGGGGAAACCTGTGCGTAAACTGCTGCTGAAGGGTGACGAGGAGAGGCGCGAGCTTAGCCGGCCCGGCCGAGCCCAGCCCGGCCAGTCCATCGCCAGCTCATCGGGGAAATGTGGCATCCCAAACTCATCCTCCATGAAGCGAGTGCCGAGCTGATCCCTAAACGGGGACTGTTCCCTGAACGGGGACTGATCTCTGAACGGTGACTCTCCGAATGGATCCCTGGGAAACCTTTGCCGGTTCCCCATAGTGTAATAGTCTCCTTCTGCCATGTCCAATCAGGATCTCAAAACCAGTTCAGATTCTGGTGTTGGAGCCAGAAAAAGTTACTCAAAACTTTCTTCAGTCAAAAAAAGACCTCCTTATACTCATGCGTGGTTAAACTTTCTCACTTTTTGGGTATCACGCGCATCACCGTTGCGCAACCAGTCACCAGTTTATCCAAGCAGCAAAGTCCTGAAGGTGCACAGCTTTTCCTTGAAGTGAATCCCTCCTGGCTCTGGGTTTTATACTCACAGCTTTTTCCCAGACGATGATCCGGCACAGAGCAAGTGTCCGGAAAGTGCTGGGAGGATCTGGGGAGCATGCGCACTGCAAAAAGACTCCAAACGAAGAAGTTTTATTGAATCTTTAAACTTTGAGGATGGAGGAAATTTGATTAAAAATGCTATCCTTTACTCAAAACAAACACTTCCAGATTCGTGTTAGTGTAAAATACAGATTTAAGGCTCAGACGGAGTCAAACTGGCTCCCTCATGGTGATATTTTTTGCAGTGTGCAGGCGCAACAGCTGACCAAAGCCCAGCCTCCTTTTGACCAAATTAAGTGACCGTCCACATGTCACTCATGCACAGCAGGAGCCCACTCCTCTTCATGACTCACTGCTTTTTAATAGCAAGTAACGCAAAGCTTCAGGTCAGCCATGTGAAGTCACTGTACAGATAAAACAGCACAGCTAAGAAGGCAGCTTTTCGCTGACGGTACCTGTGTTTACTGACAGAACATTCAGCCAGACTTCAGTGGTGATTTCTTTTATTCAGAACATGTTTCTTTTTCTTTTATATAGCTTATTCTAAACACGCAGTGAGAGGGAAAGTTGATTTCATGGGGGTTATTCAATTTCCAGGTGACACATTATTACACTGGAGGAGTTCTCACTGACACAAGATAAAATGTGACAGCATGAAAAACAGTATGCGTCTGCAATATGCTCCCTCAGATGGAAAACAGAGAGAGTATGCATAATTTATCACTGAACACTGGATCACTATTGCTCTATGGTGTTGTTATTGTGGATTTTGAAAGAACAAAAGACATGATCAGAGGGATCCGCAGCACAAAGACATCTACAGTCCATCGAATGATGCCTGACTGGCGCGTTTCTCTTCCTCTTCCACTGCACAGTTCATCATATCCAACATTTTAACATCCAACAAGGCCTGAACATATTCTGGAAATCAAATATCACATTTTTTATATTATTTATACAGTGCAGATGCATATTTACACCACGGTAATTACATATTTAAAATAATTTTCCACAAGAACATATGTAAACTTTACATTGTGAGAAAGGAGGAGGCCCGTCGGCCAGGGCGCCCATCCTGAAAATTTATCAGCACGACTGCACAAATCTTCCCTCAGCACATCATCCTCATGGGCTGACACGAGTCATCATCAGTTTGGAGTTTATGAATGACTTCACTGCCAAGTTCCTTCCTCCTCCAGCATCATGTTTCCCTCATCCGTCCAATTTAGTTGACATTCAGGGAAATAATCTGAGAGTATTGAGTGCATAGAGAGCAGTCTGTCGGGCCTGGAGCAGTTCCACAGACAGGATGATGGATTTGAAATGATTGAGAAATATAACGCTCTTAATTAGACGGAGAGGCAGTTTCTAACTTATTTTGCTTTTTTTTTTTTTTTTGCAGATTCAAACTCTGGAGTCAAAGCATCTTGGAATTAACTTTGGTGGGATAGTTAAAAAAAACAAGTGTGTTTGCTTCATCGCCAAGATGTAAATGAATTAACTGATATCATGTCTTTATATGGAGTCGTGGTGGGCAGCCAGTTAGCAGAGCTCGGCATATAAACAAGAAAAAAATTGGGAAAATCAAATCCACTGATGAGCAGACTGTTTTAGTCTCAATGATGTCAACTGTAGGTTTTTGTAAAAATATTATGAAACTTCATAATGGTAGAAGTTACATTGGAAATGATGACTTTACCAAACTTTTGGATAACTCTTGCAACAGAAAAAGAAGTAAGGAAGAAGTGTTATTTAAGCCTCCTGGTAACCAGTTAGACCTCAACTGCCTGTCAGAAAACTCAGCTGGGCCCCTGATATGGAAATTTTTGCTCACCTTTTTGCTGTAGTGTCTCAAAAACAGACAAGTTATACAAAAATCATCCCACTTAGAGCTTGTTTGAGTGACAAATGGTTAGCTATACAGACTAGGGCTGCCACAGCTCATTTTTACCTTAAAAATTATGGTAAAAGGGCAAGCGATATTCATAAAAACTAAGAAAAAAATGGATAACCAGCATGAAGACGCAGTACTACCACTTTACTATGAACTAGTTACTGCTGGTTTATTTTCAGCCAAATATCAATATTTCAGATTTTTAAAAAGCTGCTAATTATCAACACCGGCACACTGCAACAGCACCAATACAGACTACAATTTTTTTTTAACCTGGTTTTAAACATTTTTAATCTTAATATGAGTGTGAATGGTCATTTTGAAGTCAGCCCCAAGTGGACACTAGAGGAACTGCAGCTTTGATTTCATACTTCAACACAGAGGGTTGCTGCTTGGTTAACATCAGCATGGCATCAAATGTATGTGACAAGTTGCGGTAGTGAGCATTAACATTAATCTTGAGTTTGTAGCTTTGACCAAGACCCAGTTTGCTAGCTTCCACCGACGCACCCTGAGCTATTGGCTGCTGACTGCAGTTAACTTAACCTCCACCACTCTTAACTGTTCCACCTCATGTTTGCCTCATCTGATATCTCTTTCATTTCCCTTTTTTAAGCATTTAAGGTGAGCTAAGTTAGTCGACCATTCTCTTTACCATCACAGTTAGCATACAGATATGAAAATGTTGTTGATCGGCTCATTTGGCTCTCAGCACTGAAGCAAAAAAGAGAATATTCCAAAGATTGATCACTTGTGGGATACAGAAGGAGGTTTCTGCTGCTTTTGCTCCTCCATTGTTTGAACATCTGCTTTTTTGTTGAGCTTCATGAGAGAGTGAGTTTTCAAAAATGGAGCAAAATTGACAACAAAACAAAAAATAAATTACAGCAGTGTCATAAAAATTATAAATTGACATTGTTGCATAGAAAGATTGACCACTACTGAAAGGGGACAAGCAACCAATAAATATTAAATAAGTTATAAATATGTATGGAGCTGCACAATTCAAAACTCGACCTTCTGTGCGACACAAATCAAGAAGAAAAACATGTTTGGCAAACGTATTTGGTTCCAGTGCAATAAAAAGTAAATTCAAGTACATTGAGCTGAGTCACAGCTGTCTATATGACGTCTTTTCACCAAGTGAGAGGTACGACTTCATGTCTTCTAATGAAGTTTGACTAAAACTGATGTATGTGTGGATTGGACAGAGATGGCCCCAGGATTTAATTTATGTAGACTTAAGTTCTCTGTATGTAACTTTTAAACATCCTCTCTCTCCATGAGTCATCATTGGAAAACCTTCTCTGACTCTGTGGACGTTTTGTCGAATAAAATCCCCCTCCATGTTCCCCGCACAATGATTCAATCGCTCACTGTTGTACTACAGGCTCTGACATTTCAATTGTTTTCCACCTGATCAGAGGATAAATTAATTTGACATTTGAGCTGACAGGCAGTTTGCTCGCTGTCGGGCCACCCTCATCGTTTCATTTTTTAGTGTTTTTTTTTTTCGGCCTTGTGAAGTGTGGAGATCAGAGCTGTAAACCCCTCCCGTACTCCTGATAACGACCCCTCTGAAGCCATTTGTAAACACTCGGATCAAACAGTTTAAATGTTACTTCCATACTTCACATCTCAGCTCTGAATTGGAAACATGGAGACCTGACAAGGGACAGTAAATGTCTGATGTCTTCTGAAACTTGCAAAGCTTTTACTTTGTGCTTTCAGCATATCTACCCCTGAAATTCACTTTGATTGAGCACTTTTAACATTTTTTTGGCTCCCTCGAACCTCACTGTGCACCATTTTCAACCCATTTTTAAATAAATTATGTGATTTCAAAGAGTTTTAAGCAATGAATTGAGGTGAGGCATGCAGAGACATTAAAATTGTGATATAAATGAACCAAATAAAAAAGTAGTGTTTCTATCTCATGTGCAGTTTCCTCGGTAAATATCTCGGAGATGAACAGTCTCAGGCTGTTTTGAGTGCTGATGCAAGAAGAGGATGCAAACAAAACAAACAAACAAAAAGACATTCAGGCTCCAGCGGTCTCTGTGGGCCCACTGAACAAGGCCGCATCAATGAAGACATGTTTGGACCCCTGCTGGGATATTTCCACTCAAGCATCAAAGCGGGCGCTCACAGTCGATTGCTCCGACATCCAGCTATGTCCTCCCTCTCAACTGGAAACCCGGCCGTGGATTCAGCCTCTTAATGTTCTCGGGGAAACTCTAATGCCTGTTTTTGTGGCGTTTGTTCAACGATCCACGGCTCCTGCTGCGACTGCGTGTCCCAAAGATGGAGTTCCAGGAGGAGCTGCGGCTGTAGCTCCTGTAGGAGGAGCGGCTGTGGCTTCTGCTGCGGCTCCGGCTCAGGCTGTGAACGGGGCTGCGACTGCGACTGCGGGTGAAGAGGCTGCTCCAGGACGACACGCTGGTGGAGCGACTGCTGGAGGAAGGGCTGGGTCGGAAGTACGGGATGGGTCGCTTTCTGGCACTGCAGAGAGCCAAAAAGATAATTAGTGTGGTGAACAGGAGGAGGGTTAAAACTGCTGTGAGTGCACTTTATGATATCTTTCAGCAGAATAAATCAAACACACCACCACTCTGATCAGAGCGATGAAATCTCATAATCATTCTTGCAGACAGACTCTGACAAACACTTTCCTGGATGGTGTGTTTGTTACGTCTTTTCATGCCTGATGGTCTCCAAACAGGAGAATGGCTGAAAATAACTTACTCCTGTTTCTGTTCACTAACAGCAACACTAAATCTATCTTAAAAATGACAAAGCATAAGTCATCCAGGGAGAAAGAAAGAGGAAACATGCAGCAGACACCACATTTCCAGGAAAATCACCTGACTCCTTGTTTTACAATTTTTACCATAAAAATAATGCGCCATGACGCCTTGTACAACAAAAGCTTCCTGATGTGACTTTCACTCTTCTGCCTGTGATAAATACAATTCCATCAAATTGCGCAAAAGTTGAATAATCCAGTTAGATGACGCAGAGTATCGACTAAATCTGTTCTCTGTAATCTCTCGGTGACTTCATGAGTCTGTGCAGCATATTACTGTCTGTTTGTCGTTGGCTGCAGAGAAAAGCAGCATGAAATGACAGAAAAGTAACACCAACAGTGTGGCAGAAGATCTGTAGAAAAAACTGAGTAACAGACTTGTGTTTTTTTTTTTCATTTCAGGTAGCTTGTGTTCACCATCTGTTTCTTTAGCACCTGCGGTGGCATCAGAGCTGACGGTTATCTCATCCTCGGGCTAAATGCCATTTCAAGGTGCACAGCACATCAACACGATGTGACTCCAGGTCTGGGATTTGTCCAACTGAGGGGGTGGAGGGAGGAACCAGTGGAGCATTTTTGCTTCTTTTAGGCATATAAAAAGGGATATTCTCGCTATAAATCACCAGACTGAGGAAAGCTGTAGGCTACCTTGTGATTCGACGGGCTTCCAGATGGCTCGGTGAGTCTCTCCTCCTTTTCTTCATAGGGGAGTAGGATTTGCGTCTTCGTCTCTTCCTGGTAACCTTGTGTTCATGCTTCATGTCCATCTCTCTGGAGCTCGGTGTTCTCCTTCTGTCATGTAGTCTGGGGAAGCAAACACAACAGTGTGAAGTTTTAATCACCACGATCACAATGTAAAGATTTATATTCATCTCTGTGGAACAGTAATGAGGAGTCATCTACAACGGCTCAAAGTTCACCTGTCAGGGGTGTATCTGGAGTAGCTTCCTCTGGAGCTCAGGCTGGCCACGCTGCCTCGTCGCCTCAGATCGGCTGAATAACTTGGCGAGCGCGAATACGAGCTGAACAAAAAGGTTGCAATGTTAAAATCACCTGAGGTAACATCTTCTAACTAACACAGTGAATTTACAGCAGGTGTGGCTCAAATTCAAGAGAGTTTGTGTCCCTCAGAAGTAAAGATGGGAGAAAAGTCAACAGTCAGTGAGAGACTGCGTGAGCTAACAGTTCAGCAATTTCAGAATAATGTTCTTCACCACAACAATGCGAAGGAATCGGGGGTCTATAATGCAAAGCACATAATATCATAAAAGATTATATCAAAACAGACATGACTCTGGAGTTTGACATTCTTTTGGAAATCATGGACACTGTGTCGTCTGCTCTAAAAGGGAGAAGGACCTCTGCCTCACTAGCAGTGCACAGTTTTTTAAGTGCCAATGATGTGGGTATTTTACACATCTGGGAAGGCTCCATTAATGCTGGATTTTACATTAAGGTTTTAGAGCAACATATGCTGCAATCCAGACACTGCCTTTTTTCAGGATTAGCCTTTCATATATCTGCAAGATAATGCAAATCCACATCCTGCACTTATTACAGGAGCATGGCTCTGCAGTAGAAAAGTCCTGGTGCTAAACTGGCCTGCCTGCAGTCCTGGCTCATCAATCATTTAGAAAATTTAGCAAACTGTGAAATGAAATATAGGCAAAGGAGATGTGAACTGATAAACAGCGTACAATATATATCAGGCAAAAAGGGGACCAAGATTCCTCTTCAAAACCTTCATAAACTGGTCTCCTAAATTCTCAAACAATCTGAGGGTGTTATTAAAAGACAAGCTTCACAAAATGTATCCCTGTGCCTAATATGAATGCCATCCACATCTTTAACATATTTAATAGAAATAAGTTTGAAAATGGACAAATGACAAACTGTTGTTCAAATGCTAGCCAGACAACACCAGCCATGTTTGCATGGGCAAAATTTCTTGATCGGATTAAAAATTTGGTGGATCGGAAGATCTGAATCTATTGTTTACTTGGGCGCAAAATCAAATATCATAACTTGTGTATCCATGCACCAAGCTTTATTCAGGTTAGAAGCATTTGGACATGTGCAGAGTTGTCTGGTTTCACTAAAACAACTGCAGAATAAGAAGAGTTGTATTGACACCTGTACTGTCAACAAAACAACAAACGCGGTAGTGGCTCACTTCATCCAATTAAGGATTTTCCCCCCGTTAAATGTTGTCACTAGATGGCGCCCTTGCTCACTTATTTTACCATCCTGTCAAAGGTTTTACTTTAGGTGCAGATGTGACATCATTACACTGTATGCACGCCTTGTTATGTTACCGGAGGGGCAGACATGGCACCTGTGGTTGTGTTTTATGCCAAACATTTAAAGTGTTAATAATAAAATCTCCTGAACTGGCCTCAATAATAAGCCAAAGGCTAATGAGTAAAGACCGAGTCAGGTAAGAGAGTCACGGTCAGAAGAAGTTTACATTGACACGTTTTGGAATAACAATCAGCATAAACCACCCTCCTGATCGGAATACAATTTCTTTCTGATTGAGCTGAATTGGATCAGAATCTTTTGAGCGTTTATATGATGTGTTTTTATTCCGATTGGGCATTTATTCATATTATTCGTGCCCATGTCAACGCAGCTACTGTTACCAAGAGGTAAGTCCTTTTTTGAACCCTCACCTGTCCACTTGTATGTAAAGCAAAGTGCATAAGTAGTCTGGCACAACTAAAACACATAATTCACAAATCCACCTCAGTGTCCTACATTTCCACTTTTTCAGTCTGACTCCAAATGCGTGAGTGAAAACGTACTCAGTAGAACTTGGACACTGGTATACGTAAGCGTTATGAAACTTCTCAGCTGTTACAGACCTGCAGGATGACAGCGACAGGCTTCGAGAGTAGCGCTCAGAGTATCTGGAACTCCTGGAGGATCTGCTCCTGCTCCTGCTGCTTGATGACCGGGTTTTCAGGCGCCTTCCCGATGATTTGTTCATCCTCTGTGAACAGCTGGAGGTCTTTGGAGATCTCACTACTTCTACCCGACAGCCCAGGGTTATCTGCTCCCTGCTAAGAAAACACATTAAGACATTTCACTGCTTTGAGTGATAACACTACGACTGTACCCTGGATTTATTTTTTTAAAGAGTGCTTGCTGTTTTTCTCTTACAAATGAATATTTCAAAGGAGGAAACGGGGCATGGACACAGAAGATAAACAGCTTGCTGTTTTCTTGGGAAGCAGTCATTCGAATGGATTATTCACTCAGGAAACAACTCTACCTCTTGCCGTTTGCACTGAAGAGGGTTGCAGACAGGCCATCCTCCCCAAAAGGTCTGCACAGGGAGGCGTAGCTAGTCACAGAGTTCCCTGAATCAGAGACGTTGTCTCTGTCATTGAACTTCAGCTTTTCCGGAGAGGCCAGACGCTGACAGTGGCTCCGCATGTTGTTAACAACACTTGCTCGAGAAACACCAGTTTTGCTAGATGGCGGTGAAGACGTGTCATTCCCAGAATCGTAATCGTGAGGACCTTCGATCTGGCTCGATAAATCCTGAGACCCTTTTCCGTGTAAGAGCTCGTCTGCAGGTTTTGATGACATAATCTGCAAAGAGACAAACAGGCTGCAGCTTAAAACCAACTATACACGAAAAACTGTAACCTGCTATCTGCTTTGATGAACTGTGCATAGACTAAGTAAAAAGCAATATATTCCCCCCGAGAACACAGAGAAGAGGTTTCTTTATTTTCTTCTGACAAAAACTTTGAAAGATAAAAGACATCATGCAAATCTGAAGCATGCGATTAACCTCAAAGGAAGGTCTGAACTCAACTAAAATCAAAGAAATCAACAGGAAACAAATTGATATAAAGTAAGTCTAAACTAAAACAAGTATATGAAAGGAACAACAGAACAGCAGAGAAGAAAGAAAACTATGTGTGGAAAGATCTACTGCCTCTAACTGCAGTGAAGAGAAAAAGAGTCAAGAATAGCCCCGTCATTTAAAGAACATTGAACAAACATCACAAAATGGGTATTATGTAGAAATGAAAAGGATTGCAGACAAAGAGAGATCCCATCAGTCTAACTAAGAAAGCCCTCAGAATAGGACAGATGACTCTTTCTCCTGTAAGAAGTAAATAATTAGCCTGCACCGACCTACAAGTAAATCCCTCAATCTGCGGATAGCATCGACTTACCAATCAAGATTTCCTCCTTAAGTAGGTAAGGTGTAAGAAAAAGGGAAGAGCGGGCAACATAAGTGCATCATTAGAGTCGTGAATTGCAAGAAAAAGACAATAACCCTCTCTTCAAACCCAGAGCCAGTTAAACTTCTACTGGAACTGGACTTTTAGTTTCTGGCTTTGCTTTGGAGTTTTTTTTTTTTTTTGAGCCAAGAATCCTTTAAAGTGTGTTTTTATGTTAGATATCGGTGTAGAGATGCTCTTTTTTTTTCACTGCAGTCACCCACAGATGGAAAAAAGAAGATACTAAATCTCCAAGGATCATGGTGGAGTAATCGCACAAAGTTATGATCTCTCTAAAACACAGAGAGGTTTATCTGTCTGTCTCTCCTCCTGAAGGTTTTCCACATATTTGCTCAAGTCTGAAGTCGACCCAGCAGACCGACTCCTAAGGGAAATTAAACAAATCTCTGTTCCTTCACCATCCTTGTTTACCACTCGAATCTGTGCGCATCTGTGCGAGCTCAGGAGAGGTTTTACCTCAAGAAAGACAAATTTTAAACTGAGACATTCCTCAACGTCAGCTCCAGATATTTTGACAAGGCTGCACTGAATAACCACTTAATCGCTGCAGATGTGTGTTTTACTTTTCTGTTTGTCCTGCTTCCACCACAAAAGAAATTCAATAATTCACACAATATATTTGCAGCAAGGGTTTATGGGTTTTAAAGTTAATAAATCATTTGCTTTTTTTCAAGGGTTTGTTTGTCGATGCATACCTACCGTTCCCTTCACAATAAAACATTAGGGTGCTTTCTTGTCCATTAAATTAACATAAAATGTAAATTCAGAGCACACACAGCATTCAAAACACAACCAACTAAATAATCCTTTCCTTTTGGAGTAGATTTTTTAGGACAAAATATGAAGCAAAAATCAGTCTGCGTTACTTGTAAATTGATGTGCTTTCATGCCTTAAATAAAAAGCCATAAATGAGTGCAAACACCACCAAATTCCCCTCAGTAACAAACTGTGAAGTCCCCCTGAATGACTTTGGGATACTGAACGCCAGCCATGATTCAATATATGGATTAATTTATTGAATTTCAATTAAAACCCTGTGGTGTGTAATTAAAAACATTTGTCTGTGCAATTAGCATAATTTAATGATTGCTGGAGAGAAATTAAATATATTTCATGCCCCAATAAGCATGAGACAATGAGTTTAAGGATGGAGCTGTTTCCACTGGGCTCTCTGGGAACATCAGCCTGCAATGAATAAAACTGTTTTTGAAAGTCTGGCACATGGAAGTTGTAAATCATGGTTTAAAGATGAGTTGTTTTTCTCTCTCTTTCAAGGTCAGGCCTGCATTCTGAACAACTGGGGCTAAGGAGTTAACTGTAAAGGCAGATAAAAAAGGCTGAAGGGTGAAGGTATGAAGAGGCAAAAACACCCTCTACGTCAGCTGTTTTTTCACACTGTTGTCTGGACACACTGGAAGTGGCCTCAACACCTGCCCACTTTGACAGTTTCACTTTAAGTCTTAAATTTGAGAGATAACGCAATCTAGGACAAAAACTCAATGACTTCTCACAAGCAACAATACAACCATTTAACACTTTTATGACTTTAAATGTTTGAAATCCAATTTAAGTCAGTTTTCAAATATTTTAGAGATCCACAAGAGTCCTGATAAGCTCTCAAAAGAGCTATTAATGAGCATCATGCCAGAGCTGGGTGCCAGTACACAAAAAACTAAGCTGCATACAAGGGCTGCAACAATTACTCGACAAAAATCAATAATGAATTCCATTATCAACTACTGTCGCCAGACATGTTTTTCCAGTGGAGTGAGGTTTTTTTGCTTCATTACGGTCTCTGCATGCCTTGCGTTTCTGCCAAGCGGTAGGGTATTCAAACATGGCAGCACCAGCATCCCATACAGCAGCTACGAGTACGTGCTTAAAAACCTCCAAAGCTTGGGAGCACTTTAGCCTAGATAAGGCGAAAAAAAATAACTTGCAAGATTGCAAGATTGCATTGGTGATGCACAAACATTTGAGGAGAAGGCACGTCGACATGTTGGATGAACAGTTAGACTCGCTTCGGTATGATATTAGCTTTATTATTATCCGATTAGTTGACTAATCATTTCAATAGTCGGTGACTTGGCGACTATTAAAATAGACGTTAGTTGCAGCCCTACTGCATACTAGCTACAACATTTGTTACCTTTTTAAGACCAACTCTGCGAAAAATAATAAGTTTCACATTCTTGAGCCTGAGTCCAGAGTTCTGCAATAACTTCAGGGTTTCTGACTAACAGGTACAAACAGCTTAAGACTGCAGCACAACAATGAGGAAAAGCTGAAAATTATTTCAAGGAGTGAAATGAGCCTTTTAGAGGACGTCAAGTGAAACTGCCTGTTTTTACAACTGAGAGGCTCAGACTGACACCCGCTCGAAAAGTCTGATAGCATTTAAGACTCGCAGAGAGATTAGGTGTCTCCCTCTGAAAGAGACAGAGTTTGGGATAAATGACAGGAGGTAACATAAAAAACACTTCTAATGAGATTGTTTCGATTTGACCACATCAACTTTGTACCTGTTAGTGCCTGAAATTAATGTAACGCCCCTTAATAAAAGTAAAAAGGACCGACTGCAACAGATTAAACTTCCTTCTGACAGATATTTGACCTGTGGACAGAAATGCCTGCCCACTGTTTACAGTTTACATTTGGATATTATTAACGCAGAAAAGAAACACTAATGGGTTTAATCAATGCCTCTCAATACGAAAATGATATCCAAATTCCTGATCAATGCCAAAATAATCAAAAGGTACTCCACAGACCAAAAGAGTCATACTGTGCTAATGTTATCTCCTGACATAGTTACATCCTGTAGAAGTCAACAACAAACCCGGAAAACATTCAAATGAAACCTCTGAGGAGCTGTTTGACCGACTGTTTTAAAGGCATTCAGGCTTTTTCATGTTTTACTTTATTATCTAATGTGAGAGTCTTGAATAACCTTGACGAGTAGATTTGTCCAGCATCTTTTGAGTCTTCCAATTTATCACTTTTAGCTGTACATTTAAACTCGTTAAATTATTTGTATTCCATGTTTGTTGACAAGTTGGCAAATTAAAATAAACAAAATGATGACTGTTGTCTTTTTAATTTTTTTTTTATCTGTCTGTTTAAGTAAACACTAGTCAGTCATATTGATCGGAAAGCAGTAAAAAGTCACTGAAAAATCTCTTTCAGGCAGTCTGCTGCAAATCTGAGTTAATATCACAGATTTTCACTCTGTTTGGTTTGTGCCAATTTTGGCGCCCCCTGTGGACAGAGTAGCTTTGCTTTTCTTGTCATCTTTGAGGAGCAACTTTGGGCAAACAGTCTCATCCTGCTAACTGGTGGAGTCAAAGTTATTATTATTATTAGCGAGTTATTTAATGTGAAAATGTAGATACAGGATTGAACTGCTCGACTGATACCCTCACACCAGTTTCAGGCAATAAAAATCAGGACATAAACACTGTCCATATTGTCTCTAACAGTCGTGTTTGTTTTTGTAAGTCATTAAAGGCAGCAATATGAATTTCAGTCTATTTCATTGACAAAAGAAACTCCTCATAGGAGGTTTAATGAGTTTCATTAAGGTTCGCCTCAGTTGAAGATGGGTAAACTTTCTCATTCAAGAAGAGTGAAACTTTAACCTCTGTGTTTTTGAGTTCCTGATCTGGACTAGTTGCAGAGTCTGCAAAAGTTATTCATTAAAACACTGAAATTATATGTTCATTAATGTGTGTTAAGAATTGCACATTTACAATTTAAAAGGGGAAATACAAACTTGTTTTGTCTTCAGAGAGTAAAACATTTCTTATATGTCTAAACTTCACCTTGACATGATGCTTTATTTTTAAACCAGCTTTCAGAAACCCATATCTCTAATATTGTTTATTGTTTTTGGGATTCATCTCAACAAGTACTTGATGATGTTGGAATAAAAGCTGAAATTACCTATAATAAAACAAAGCCTTAAAAGAGGTCAGAGTAGGACCATGTATAAATTTGATTGCATGGTTAAACTCTGAGGATATTTAGAGCAGATCAGTTTGAGAGGTCTGGACATTAATGGTGAGAGCTCTATTATCAGAGCAGTCTTCCCCCTCCTTAAATCATTCCCAACCCCCTCTGCCTCACTGTGGGCACCTCTGACTGACAATTCTCTGTTTTCCATGGCCATAACTGAGAAATCAGAGTGAAGCAGTGGCGGCACTGTGAAGAGTCCTAAAGTGTACTTACGGTGGCCGTGGAGAGGATGGAGCGATATTTTGGAGCCGTTTTACACACTGATTTGGTTGCAGGTTTCCACTTCATGTCTGCGTGATCGAGCACTCCGTTAGTTTCCTCAACTACAGCTGCCAGGTCTCCTAATGTTTGATGCACCACAGATTTCTGCAGATGGTGTCTGTGGAAAAAAACACTGGATTCAGTTGTCATGACACAGCGGCATTAACACAAGTGCAAGTTGAATTAGAGGAATGCAACACTTTGAGCATTTATGTATATCTGATGACACTGAAAACCATGAGGGTACGTCACATTTTAGTGTGCGGTTTTACTTTGGCTTTGATATGGTCTATTTTCTTGACTGGGATTAAACCGAATAGAAGATACTAGGGCTGCATGATTAATCGATTTTTAATCGTAATCGGATTATTTGATTATGACGGTGTTAGAAAAATTAAAAATGTCATATAAATTTTCCTCTCCATCATGTCTTGCACCTCCAGGCCACTGTAGGCTCCCCCTTCCTGCGGGAGCGCTCCCCTGTTCCCACACACACCAGTGTAAACAAACATGGCGTTTGCAAAAGAAGGCGATAATTTCAGTACTTTTTGAAAATGGGTCAGAGAGTGCAGAATTCCGTAAACGACTACCATCTCATCTCTGTGTGGATGCCTATCTGCATCTCTTGAAATGATGATGTGACACACAGTGTAACTCTTTTATGGCGCCTGTGCATGTCTGGATAAAACAACCTTTAAACGCATGCCCCCGTACTCTTACTCTTCTGTCTTTTGTGTATTACCTTGGAAGGTGTTAAAGCACCACTTACTGGCTTGGCATATGCATTACATTGTTTTCAGTGGTTTCGTTTTGAGAGACGATAAAAAAACATATTATTTAAGTAAAGTTTGGTGAAGTTGTCACTTTCAGAGAAAAAAATTAGGGATTTTATTTTTTGCCAAAATCGTGCAGCCCTAGAAGATACAAAAACAGGTACGCACTCAAACTGCTCATATCTGTGATGGTATGAAAAAGCATAAAGGCTCCATTAATCCTGAAAAGTATATTCAGGCTCTGCAGCTTCTATCCAGACAATGCCTTCTTCCACGCTAACCAGCACCTTCTACAGATATTACAACAGCACAGCTCAGTAGTAGAAGAGTCTAGGTGCTTTACAGGTCTGCATGAAGTCCTGACTTGTTAAAATACCAGTGTTGTAGTACTAAAAGAGGCCTCATTCTGACTTTGAACTAATCTAATTTTTAAAAACTGACATCCCAAGGCTCTCTATCTGTCATTCTCTCACTATATGCATTAGTCAAGCATTAATTGCACACAATGATATATAGGGGTTAATGACCATAAGTTAAATCACTGTGCACTGAATTGTGAACTCTGTTCCCCATAAGCCATAAAAGCAGAGGAAAAGGCCATCTCTCATATTATCAGAGGTCTGAGATTTGTCATTATAATTGAGTCCATCGATCTGTGCAGTGAATTTGGGGCCATTTCCTGTGAAGCTGTGATAAGAGCCGGCCGCGCTTCAGATCAGGAAGTCACCTCTGTCTTATCAGTCATCTGTGCCGTGTGACCGGGGACTCTGCAGACACCTGGGGCTGATAAGATAAAGTGAGGGAGGAGCGGTTGGTGAGGAGGAGGAGGGAGTGATGGGACCCTACCTGTCCTCTGTTGATGACTGGCAGGAAGAACTGTCCGACTCTGACCTCCGATGGCGTCGTCTCCGCCTGGAGTGAGTCCGGGAACTGAAGGGGGTGATGAGGGGGGACAGAGGAGAAAAGACAGGCGTGGATAAGGAGCTACGAGAATGACGATCGATCAGTCAACAGAAAGCAGTCAATAATTTGATTTATAAAGCCCAAATTTGCTGCCTCTCTCATCTTTACTGTTCTGTATTGACTACTTCTGTATTGACAGCTAACTGGCAGTATCACACTCTGGCTGTATTTTTTTAAAGATATTTTTACTTTTAGTAGAAGCATCAAGATTACACAAACATTTACCATGACCTTTATTTGTGGTCAATTCACAGCCGCTAAAGAAAAGAAAAACTGATGGCTTCCTACTTTCTGTTTGCCAAAATTATTTTTCTTGAGGTTTTCTCTTGGGCGAGGTGAAAAGGCACACTAACAAATCATACAATCTGCTGAGATGTTCACGCGGTTCAGCACTGGTTATGTGGGATCATGGTTAATTAGGCCCTATGTGTTCTGGCTGTTTGACGGTGTTCACTGTCTCTGTAGCAGTTTTAAAAAAAACACATTATACTTCCGCTTCAGTTTCTTCCTCTAAGCAGTTTTATTTACCATCTCTCTTCATCCTCTTGGAACCGGAGTAGTGAGTAACTGCTGGTCTCAGTCAGGACGGGTACCCTCCCTTTACAGATAACTGACATAAGACAGTTACCTTCTTTCGGATTTTAAAGTCATCTTAAAACCAGACTTGGTCTTAGTAAAAAGGAAGATGTTCTTCTACAAATTGCTCAGCTGTATTTGGAGATTCACAATTAACTAGTGGTGTTTGCAGCCAAGTGAATAAGAACAGTCCTCTTTAACGGTTGATCTGGAGCAGATCCAGATGATCCTCACATAATGATTCTTGGATGAAAAATTCATGACAGAAAGAACCATAATTGACCCAGTTAGAAGTGTCCTACACACTGTTGGAGTTTGGGGACCCCAGCTCATATTAAAGACAGCAGTTGGGTCACAAAGTGAGATTCTGTGACCATCCTCTGGCAAGGATGTTTTGACAATTGATTTGACCTCTGTGGACCCTTTAGAAAAGATTTAGCCCCCAGGTCCCTCGCAAAAATCCCGGCATTTTTTGCTAGACAGCTAAATTCAAGATGGCGGCCGGCGCCATCTCTAAAAATTAACTTTTGATCTGGATGACCTAGAATCATGTATGAAGGCACTTTTCCATACAAGTCAAGCATGAGGATTCCAAATCTGACATAGTTTTAATCATACAACTTTGTTTTGACCGCGATATTCAAGATGGCTGCCATCTAGTACTGTAATTCTCAACCTTTTCAGGACTTGACCCCCCAAAACAATCATATTTGAACTGGGTAACCCCCAATTTGTTTGACTCTGTTCCACATATAGATATTGTGAAAATAGCCGATCTACAAGCCAGTAACACCTTGTATTGTGAGGCATGTGAGCTTGTAAATTGGCTATATTCACAATTTTTGCCTTTTTCTTATATCATTTGACAATTTGGCCAATGGTTTAGCATTGTTTGTTGATTACTTTGGATGCAGTGATGATCTTTTTCTTTGAGGATCTTACAAGTCCTAACATTATCATTTCACTGTCATCTGGGGGTACGCCACCAACCAATGATCAAGTACAGAGAAAACTTAACTTAACAACAACATAAAGGCCAGTGAATATTGCACTCAAACTATCCAGTATGCTTGATTCATGTCAGCAGCAGTACTTCACTCAGGCAATTTGATTGGCTGTCCCTTCATGTCAGGGATCATCTTTGGGTCGACTTAATGGTATATGTGGCTTCATTACACAGACTACCACACTGGAGAATACATGACTGTCTGTCTGTTCTTGTTGGTATACTATTTTCTTCCATATTCAAGCAGCCATGTATTCTGCATGCACACTGTCTTTACAGATCAAATGTGTAGCTCCTCTAACTGTGGGCTCAAAAGAATGACTGAGGCAACATTTAGGAAAGCAGCAGCACTAAACAAGCAGCATGTGATTGAAGGGACAGGAGGGTGGAGGGTGGCGGACCCCGCGCAGTTGTATTTTCGTCTGGCGGAGCCCGGCGTACAGCCAGTTTGGTATTATCATGGACATTTTCGTGCTCGCCAATGGCGTGTAAAGTGCACTGAAAGCTCGCCGATTCAAACCTGGTCAGCTTTCAGCGCAGGCGGAGCGCAGCTGGTCTAGTGGTATTTTGGTAGACCGGCGGCGTATCAGCATTCATCACCGATGCCTCACCGGCAGGTTTCCACAGTGTCAGGCACATTTCAGTGCAATAAATAATCATCAATAACTATTAATCTGAGTCAGCACATACATTTAGATCTATATCGATATATTCTGATCTATATCTGATCTGATGAGCACGTTTGGCACGCGTTTGGACACACAACCTGACCGAATCAACACAGCTGAAACCGCATTAAATTAAATTAAATATCTAGTAAATAAACACACATGATGAAGTTAACAAGATATTTAATTTGTCTCCCTCCTTTTCTTTCTTCCTCTTACTCTTATTTCTCGCGCAGCTCGACCTGGACATGTGTCTGTGTCCTCTCTCTGACCTGCTGCAGCTGAACAGATGATTTGTTTCAGTGCTCAGATGAGTTATTTACTTCAAACTGACATACAGATATTATAATATTCAGTTTTGTGAGGCAAATTTATTTTATATGCCAACATCTATGAAAGAAAGAGCCAGGCCACAGAGCGCGATGCGTCATTTACGCACAGATGGTTCCAGTTTTAATGCCATTTTTGGAGTTTATATTGTGATCTGTGCAATCAACCCACCTTTGTCACGTGAGGTTTGAATATATGCAACTTTATGTGAGTGTCTTTATTTGTGGAAAAGGGTGTTTGTCTTACCAGTGGGTCCAACAATACACACACCAAATCCGTCTGTGCTCACATGAGAGAGTGTGGAGGACGCCAAATGCAGCGCTTACAGTGACACTTGTTGAGGAGCTGCCTTCTGTCACCATCGTGTGGCATTTCTGTCTTCAGACATCTCTTGATCTCTCTGACTACTCCACGAAAATAGTAATACGCCTCGCCACTGGCAGATTTAAAGGCAAGGAGAGGAGCCTATGTGATTGGTGAAAACAGGTCTCGGCTGTGTAAAACCCACTCCACGCCCTCTCTCCTCCCTCGCTACGACTTACGACGCTGGGAGGAGCTGAGTAAGGGAGGGGGGATACTTACGCCGGGCTGCGTGGCTCACCAAAATACCAAATTGTGCTTGGGAACGCCTTGTCGGCGCGGCGGACCTGACTTACGCTGCGCCTGCGGCACGTCTCCGGCGAGGCACGAAATAGAGCCCCATGTGTTACGGGCTTGTAGATCGGCTATTTTCACAATATCTATATGTGGAACAGAGTCAAACAAATTGGGGGTTACACAGTTCAAATATGATTGTTTTGGGGGGTCAAGTCCTGAAGGTTGAGAATTACAGTACTAGATGGCAGCCATCGTGAATATCGCGGTCAAAACAAAGATGTATGATTAAAACTATGTCAGATTTGGAATCCTCATGCTTGACTTGTATGGAAAAGTGCCTTCATACATGATTCTAGGTCATCCAGATCAAAAGTTAATTTTCAGAGATGGCGCCGGCCGCCATCTTGAATTTAGCTGTCTAGCAAAAAATGCCGGGATTTTTGCGAGGGACCTGGGGGCTAAATCTTTTCTAAAGGGTCCACAGAGATCAAATCAATTGTCAAAACATCCTTGCCAGAGGATGGTCACAGAATCTCACTTTGTGACCCAACTATTAGCTGCAGCCAATATTTAACTCTTAATAATACATTCATGATTTGTATGTAGCCTGCTAGCCCTGATCCAAAATCTGCTCCTGAACATATTGCACAATAAATGTGGTTAACACTGGAGTATCAATGCAATCTATTAGGGTGAATCTATTACACTCATGATAGTCAAGGGGATTCAGGTTCGACTGGGGGGTGGAAACCAACATTGTTGCTGTGGTCTGGTTTGCTTTCACACTAATGAAGTCAAATGAACCAAACTGTCTTAAAAATGTTGTTTGATTACAACGACTGCTCGTTCAGTATTATCCAAACAAACTCTGATGAAGAAAAATAACTAAGGGACATTAATTCCTGTTGAACTGCAGAAAGTTTAGTCATCCACACCCTGATTAGACACTCTTCAGGTGAGAAATGTGTTCACACTATAAAACAAAAACATGTAGAAGGAAATAAACTGAATCCTGGTCATATTGCAGGGGGTTCCATGAACCTGTTCTGACTACTAAAGGGATATTGCGGTGTAAAATAAAGTTATGGTCAAACACACCATAACACCGAGTTAGAAACCCCCTCGAGAGATGAATGTTGCCACAGTATTTGTCTCCATGCGCACACCGGTTTGGACTCTCCCACAAACAAGTGGGGAAGATGTTTGGTGGCTAGTGCTGTGGCTAGGACCCTATATGTACTGTTGATGAAGTTAGGTGCTGTTCTGAGCATTATTTGTGGCTATAGAGTGGCTTTTTGGTTAAGGTTTGTGCATGGATCCAACATTCATTGGCAACATTCATCTCTTACTTGGTGTTATATGTGTTTGACCATAACTTAATTTTATGCCGAAATATCCCTTTAAATATCTGTCAGTGAATCAATCTTTGGATGATTGATCTAAAATCAGCTGATCATTGCCCGCAGTGCTGCAGAACTTCTCTGAGCTGCACTGCCTGAAATCTGAATTATACTCTTTGGGGAAGTCAAACTTTAAAGGATGTACTTTTCAAACAGGTTTTTCCCCCCGAAGTGTTTCATCTCCCCCTCTGATGAATATGGATCATGTCTCCCAAAAATCACAGAGCGAGTCAGAGAGAGGGAGGCAGTAAAGGGAGAGGAAAAGACTTGAGGACAACAAAGAATAAAGGGAGGAGTGTTGTAGTGAGCCGGAAAGCCGTGGTTTCTGTTGAAGTAAGCAGCGACTGAACTCGGCTCTGTGCTTACAAACAACGGCCCGCTCATCCAAAGTCGAATTATAAAATGTTGAAAGATCACAGCATGAAATTGGTTTCTCTTAGCCTCTTTCACCCTCTTTTTCCCTCTCTTTGTGGCCCAGGCTTTCAATCTGTTTCCCTCCTTACGAGGCTTTTTTCACGCTCTGCCCGGATAAATAAAAAGCTGCGTGTCTCCATATGCACCCATCCTGCCCTTACATGAGAAGCTCCTGGAGGATGCTGTCTCTTTCTTCCACTGTTCAGAAAAGGGTGGCTGGGCTCAGCATGGAGGAGATGTAGGAGGAGGAGGTGCAGTAGGGTGGTGGTGGTGGGGTTCAAAAAAGTTGTGTAGGATTTGGAGAGTACATGATTCTGATGCAACAAGCACAGACTGACCTTTTCTTGTGCTTGCGCTCATCCTTCCTCTTATGTTTTAAACTTGAAGAGCTGGTGGGATGAAAGAGAATAGAGCGATGAGTGAGGAGAATAAAGTCTGCACACAGTCTGCTTTTTACTGATACATAAAGGCCACTGGCTTTTAAGTTGAAAATCCTGCAATCTGAAGGAAAGCAGACGCTACATATTACAGTGGAAATGCATCCAGCTGAGGACTTCTCCCCTTTATACCTTTCTCTCTTATTAAAAGCATTCATTTTTGCTCTTTTCAGCCAGGAGGCATGCTGAAATCATGCACAAGTTCTTGCAAAAATCTATCACATACCTGTGTTTGGACTTCTTTGAGGTATACCTGCAATAAAGGGGGGGAAAAAATCATGATTTCCGTAACTTCAAAATACATGTCACATAATTTTGCCAGAGCGGGAAATGAGCAGAAAAATACCTATGCCGCTTGCTTTTCTTGGAGCTCTTCTTCTTCTTCTTTTTCTTTTTTCTCAGAGGCGACAGGCTGTGGGAAGGAGACCTGAAATCAGAGGAAAAATATACATCAACTCAGCGAGCGCTGAGCACCCCCCTCCTCTCCTCTCCTCTCCACTCGATCCATTTATTCATTTCAGGAGATGCAACCAAGGTGACAAACAAGACCTCCTCAGCGCAGAGTCATCTCACAGTTTGGGGACTGACCTTTTCCTCTTCCTCCTCCGCTCAGACTTTCTCTTCTTCTTCTTCCCTTTGGGCCGAGGGGAGAGATCCTCATCAAAGGAGTGGCTGCAGGCAGAGACAGAGCAGAGGGGACACTTAGTTCTGTCTTCGCTCCAGTGACGGGATATGAAATGAGAAACCTGAGCTGATGAGTCACAGCTTCAGGATTTTTTCAGGGACAAACCTGTTTTTTTTTAATCAGATTTTTTTTTTTACTGAGTCTGCTGCGAGTTAAAGGGATCATCCACCAAATTACACTGACCATCTCACACTGCCTTCAGCTGATGTTGTGAGACATCTACATTGTAGATTTCAAGTTACAATAGAGCTGAAATTCAACAGTCAAGTCTTTTTTGTCTATATTATCTGTATTAAAAAAAACCCTGTCTAAAAAAGGGTGGGGTAAAATAATCCCCATGACTCATTGCCAGATTCATATGACTGCACATAAAGCATCCAGATTGATCATGACACACAGAAGCAAGATTATTGGAGATCCAAATGTCCCATATAAGATGATCCCATCACAACAGGATGATGAAATCCAATCCAGACTGGTATGAGACACAAAACTGATCTCGTGCCAGAAAACTGCACAAGAATAACACAGCGAGGAAGACTCACTCACAGAGGGGAGACAGATCTGGGAAACACCCAGTCCACCAAGAATCGAGCTCCCTGCACATCCATGCAGTGCTTTAAGCAGGCTAAATAGACTGCATATACTACAGACAACTTGGCTCCGCCTTCCGACCTTATATGAATTTGAAGCTGAATTACTCTCTGTATTTCCGGGTTTTTTCTCCACTTCCTGAGACCAACATTGCATAGTAGCGTTGTAAGCATTTGGCAGGAGAGTCGCTGTGATGACACTCGGCTCAAACAGCCAAACAGCTACTCAATCTTCGTACACCCATAGGCTGTATCAGGTGTCAATCATAGAAAACATGAACCCCCTAATAACTTTTAAAAATGGAGCTGCACAGAAAAAAGAGGACTTGAGCACAAACCAGTCTTACTGTAACTACATGTCAACATCAACCAGGGGGGAGAAAAATTCATATTCTGTATCATAAGGATTGCTGGAGGAGGCGGGATTTATGACCTATACTGCAGCCCATCATCAGAGGGTGCTGTTCTCGGAGTGGCTTCAAGAGGCAGGCTGTGTCCATTCTATATGCACTCTATGGCAGGCTGGTACAATTTAGGAGTTAATACAATTAGGAGTTAATAAAACAATGACTAAAAAAAAACACATCAAACACAGAGATAAAAACCAAACGACAAAACATGAATAAAGTCAAGAGTAAGAAATGTGGATCACAGGAGAGCCAGACTATAAAGGAGTGTTTTGAAAAAAGACTTAAACGTGGAGAGAGACTGAGCCGTCTTAATCTCCTCTGGGAGGGAGGACCCGATGCCAAAAGCTTTGTCACCTTTATTTTTCACTATGGATATAGGAACTACCTGCAGAGTAGATTTAAGTAACCTGGAGGCCTGTGACGGCACACAGGGAGCTTAGAGGTCAGAAATAGCTGGAGGCCAAACTCTTAAAAGTGAGAGGTAAAATTTTCAAGTCAACTCTAAAACCAACAGGCAGCCAGTGCTGAGATGAAAGGATAGGCGCTCTCCTTTTCTGCTACCTGTTAAACTCCTGGAGGCTGCATTTTGGATTAATTGTAGAGATGAGAGAGAGTTTTTGCTGCAGACGGAGAAGGTTCAGAAAAAATTGGATCCTACACTTTCCACATGAAAGGAAGGATCTTTTTTTAGACTCTACCTGCCTGGGAAATGACTCCATCTTTTAAACTTTCTCGCTCTGGTGTGTAACACAGGATTCCTATTCAAAGTGTTTGGCCCAAACCAGAATTACTAAAGTCACATCACTGCAGTGATTTGCTCTGACTTGAGAAAGCTCTGCAAGAAAGAAATGACGTTATATGACTTTTTCACTGTCTGAGGCTTTTGCATGAACAAACTGTGAGATTTACCCATTTACCCACATTGAACCAAGAAGCAGCGAACTTAAATATTTTAGGAAGATAGACCTAGATTTCAAAAACTAACCCTGGGATTGGAGTCTTTTTAGAGGAGTACTTAGACATCTCTAAATCCTCGGCCTTGTTAAGGCTCATTTATGCTCGCCATACATATGAAAATGTACGCGTCCATTTCAAACAATGATTACGTCACTGCACACATTCTTCCATGGGTCCGTTATGTTGGCATGGATGTTAATCATTACATCCACTGGGGGGCAGGCCGGAGTCAAAAGTTTCTGACAACAACTAACAAAAAGAAACATGGCGACTGTGGAGGAGCTAGTGATAATGTATATTTTGCAATGAAGAAAGAAACAGAGGGAGCGTTGGAGGAGGCAGGTGTCGGTCAGGCCACTAAATGCCTCGTGGTTGGAGAATGGAGAATTCTTTTCTTTAGTAGTACAGATGAGAGAAATTGATGACGATCCTCAAAACACCCCGCCATTGGTTTCTTCGTTTCTCTCTAAAGGTGCGTATTGGGTAGTGACAGCAGCAACACTGCCCCCACAGTTTCGGGTGGTACTGCTTCATCTGGCCTGTATCTGTAAACTTCAAGGATACATGCAGAAATACGGATGAAAGAATGTGAAGCACGGACAGATACGTATCCAGATCCATATGTAATGTTGAGCATAAATGAGCCTGTAGACCAATCTTGAACTCTCCCATTTAGTTTTGGAACCAAGAGATTCTATCAAGAGGCTGAAAATAGATTTGGATGCAACAAAAATACAAAGGCAACAGATGGTATGATGTCAAGTTGGATAGCTCCTTGTAAGTTGGAACGTCTCTATTGTTTATTAAACCGACTTTACAGTGTTTAATATTTTAGGATGTCTCACCCAAAACATGAACTGTTTTCAGTATGCACTAAATTCATGAAAATCAAGTGTCATGTGCGAACACAAAGGGGAGCTTTTTTCCTCAAACTTTCCCAAGAGCTTTTTTTCAAGGCTCCGAGTAAAATCTTTGCAAGGAGTCAGAGTGAGCTGGAGTGAGAAAGCAGCAGGAAAAAAGTGAGGACATGGTGCTTAGAATAGCCTTTTTGCATTCTGTCCTGGCTGCTCAGACCCCCCCAGGGTCTTTTATTGGTGGAACTTTTTTAGCTCAGATGAGAAGGATGTGTCAGACACATAGGACTTGAATTTTGGAGCTGTTTGGGGGCTAAAGAGTCAGGTCTTGTTGAGTGAAATCCCTTCATTCACCAAAAACAGCCTGTCTTCACTGCCTGCCCGGGAAAGGAGATTTAAACCCTGCTCTTACATGATAAGATGGGTTGAAGACAACTTGAGCTGGATCATGGAGTTCTTCATGGATGTGAAGTAAACCACAAATCCTTATGAGTAAAATGTTTTATGATTACTTTTTTACAGGACTTGGATTGAGGGTAGCCTGTTCGCTCCAGCAGGACAGGGTTTGACAGCTTGATTTTCAACAGATTTTAACATTGATAGTAACATAACTTCCATTCGTTATGAAGTCAGTCTTCCATGCAAGTTGTCAGCTACTGCTTGTCTTTTTTTTTTTTTTTAAGCACTGACTGGCCAGTTTCTTCACCACGGAAAACCACACAATCTCGCAAACCAGACACTGTGTGTTTGTAGCTTTAATCAACCTTCCCCTTCCCAGTAAGAGCAAAAACCAACATTTAGAGGTTCAAACCCTGAGGCTGCTCTCTGGAGCTCGTGAGTGGTACTCAGATTTTTTAAGTTGTTCCTCACTTTGAACAAGGGGGAATTTTCAACCCCTACTTGCAGCCGTTGTTCCAACAAATGTCCTGACAAATTACCCATTGTCAAATTTATTGAACGAACAAGGAACAAGTAACATCATGTTTCATAATAAATCACTTCACATCAATTATTATTTTTGCATTTTAGTTCCACGTTACATTTTCTTCCCATTATCTGTCTAATGCTGCTCTAACTTGAAGCTATCGTGTATAACTTCTATGTGTCTGTAAATATTCGTTTCACCCAAGCCTCTACTAGAGGAGATAATACAATGTTGGTTAAGCCGTTCAGCTCCTCTAACAACCTGCAGTATTTTTCTTTTTTTTTGTTTTATTTTTGTATTTGCTGTTGAGGGGCGACATTCCCGCGCTAATACGTTGTGCTCAGTTTTACCTGACAACAAGAAAGCAGAGGGGAGGAGAGCAAGGGCTTAGGTTTGCATAGAGACGGTAGGGACATAACACTACCAACTTTCCGGGGTGCACAAATTGTCCCCACCAACTTTTAAGCAACCTTATTTGCATTATATAATAAGTGCAGTTATATAGGTAATTTAGATTGTCTTCCCATATTTTGTAAGGATAGAATCGACCCTACTATTATTAAGTGAATTATTTTCATTATGTTCTGAGTTACATTTACCCCTTTTCACTTGTTGAATGTGCTGGTCCATTTTTTTCTCCCCTCAAACGCACGTTTGATTGGCTGATGACTAGACGCCCCCTACTGTTAACTTTAAATGCTGGAAACTATATAACCAGAAAAACGTGAGTAAGAAGTTGTTCAGAGATAGGTCCCAGTCTGTGTTTAACAGAAAAGTGTTGACAATCAAAAAAACAACAACAACAAAAAAAAAAACAAAAAAAACATGCTGCTGCTTTTCTTCTTGTAAACGGCCTGGTTTAGAAAGAAAGAAGGCTAGTGCATGTTGTGACTTTACACTTTTGAAACCAAATACCTATTAGTGCATTCATTTATTAATTAAAGTGTATTTATTTTCTAAATTATTTATTTAAAAATATTTTTATTTGCAGCCTATGCAGACATTTTTTTCAGATAATCATACATTAATCATAATAGAGGTAAAAAGTTCATTTAATCTTGATTTAGATTTTTTCCATCATCGCCCAAACACTGATGCAGACTAGAGATGAAAATAACGGAGAAGAAGGTGGAAGAGACAACTAATTAAAGCAATGAAGGACAAAAGCTGTAAATTGAGACTGGGACGTAAATTGAGAGCGCCACTAGAAGTAACATGGTGGAGAACCAGAAGAAATGACTAAGATGTTCAGAAGTGGATCCTCCTAAAGAAAACGCCTTCTCATTCAGTAAAAGGTCTGTTGGTGGAAAAAGGAAGAGACAAACGGAGAAGACTAATGCAGATTTACATTAGTGTCGCTTTTCCTTGATGGAGAGCCCTAAAGGAGGACATTGGACTGAGGTCAGACACTGATGTTGCCTTGATAATGATGGATAAGTAAGTGACTCTGTTCATTACCAGCAGGATGTGTTGCTGTTGCATGTACTGGATGGAGTACTTTATTATTTTTTGGAAACGGTGCTATGAATGTAATGTATTGTTAGCAGCCTGATGTTTGCTACATTATGTAACGTTAGCCTAACGGGCAGTAAGTTACAAGGTGTGTAACCCGTGTTGCTGTGTGTAACTTACCGCAGGGAGTTTGTGTGCTGTGACGAGTAACTTTAGTAGCCCACACATTGTGTAGACAGTAACAGTCGGTGTACCCTGACGAGCAGTATGCGGTTAGTCCTGATTGTTTCTCTATTCAGCATGACAAGCGGAATGCGGTGAGTCGAAAGTGTTAATCCATGTATGTCATATTGAGTTGCTGGCCGTATTGTTGTAATAACGCAGAAATCCTCACAGGGGTGATAGAAATTATGCACTATAGCTTTAATAGATTTTTTTATTTATTTCAGCTACATGTCAGCTATTTACTCTCATTTTGTGTGTGTGAGAGTGTTTTGTTTACAGTAAATGATCTTTATTGTCAATAAAAAAAAAGGCATTTAAGAAGATAGGCATGAAATTGAAAATGTCCTCTTGTTTGGTGCACCCCACACTTTGAGAAACACTGAGCTAGTGTATGCTACGGTAAAGATAACACAAAAACTCAATTTTAGTTATTATACAAGAACAAAAATTAAATTTGTGAATATCTTTGCCTGGAAATCTCCCCACATCTTAGACACTGGTCCTTCAAAACTTAAATCCCTCATTCTAACAAAAAGAAACTTGTTGGATCCCATCAGCTGACGGGCCTGATTGCTGTCCAGAGGTCCACTTCATTTGCTCTCTGAAAATGAGTGATGTGAAAAAGGAGATGAAGCCCTTTGAAGTGCCACAGGCTCAGTGAATGAGCCTTTCAAGTGCCGACTGACTGAAAATTACAAGAGGCAACAAGGAGGATGTGAGCTAGTATGTGGGATGATAACAAGTGAAGGAGAGATGGAAAAGAAGATGCTTTTAAACTCAGACTGACTGGCAGCTTTACCTGAGGTTTGATCAAGTGGATTAAAAAAAAATCTTAATTTAGAAAACTGGACCAAGCGTCTGATGTTGAAACGTTAGAATAAAACTGAGTTACATACTGGAGTGATGGGGGTTTACATCATTAACGATAAGAGCTGTAAATAAAGGAGAGGAGGGGGCGGGCATGGGGATGTAGGGCACTACTGTTAATGCACAAACATGCCAATAAAATCTAAACAACAAATATAGAACAACATATACGAGAAATATGCGGGTACACATATGCACATTCTCTGCTCTGTAACTAAGCAAACAAAGCTGTTTACATAAATAGTGTATTTGTCCAATCTGTGCCAATTCACACATCAGATCTGTGGACTTATTACAGCCATCAAAGCGGTGTGTCGTTTGTAAAATGTCAAGCAAACCTCCTTTAATGTTGACTCCAGTCCTCCGTCAAAGCTCTGGGGTTCCTCATCTTGATTGAGCTCATTCGCCATCAAGGCGTTTCAAGAGAGGGAAGATTAAGGTTTGAAACTTCTCCACAAATTCCCGCAAGGATTGAGGAATAATTCATCTTCAAATTAATGCTCATGAGTAAAAAAATCACAAAGATCCTTCTTGTTTGAAGCGTTCCTTTAAGACATTACTGCTGAGTTGTCTGAAGAATAATAAACCCTGTAAAATTCATCTGATACTGCTGCAATAATTGATTTATCATTCAAGCCGATTAATCAGACAAAACCAGTAATATTTTACAACTTTCAGACTCTCTGATGTAAAGTTAGCTTTAAAATATGCAGGATGGAAACATAATGCGTGATTTTGCATTTATGTATTATGGATCTAACTAAAAGACTTGGGATGAGAAGCATGCATCCCTTATTTTTTTCTGCATCTTAGTCATAAAAAAACAGATTTTTCTGTCATGATTTATATAAACCGGTCTAATAGATAAATGGCTTATAATGAGAATGTTAACTCTAAACTATTATCCTGAAATTTCAGTTTTATTTATGAATACTCATGCCAGTAATCATCTTCTTCTTAGGTGGACAAAGAAATATTCAAATTTTGATCACCTCCTCTCTGGGTAATAAAAAACACACTTGATCCAACCTAAAAGGATATTTCAGTAGTTTTAGAGTCAGTTTGTGTGAACTACATGATACTAGTAGGTGTAGTAGCACCAATGGATGACGTTCAACTGGGCCCTGACAGAGAAACTGCAGAAACAGGGCGTGAAATACACCACAGCTTACAGCAGACCGGGTCAAGTCTGCCTCATAGTTTCACTTATTTTAAGACACTTCGATCCAAACCCTCATCTGTGTGTGTGTGTATGCTCTACTCAGCACTTCACTGTGCCATCAGAAAGCTCATTTGCTTTTGCACCACATGCAGGCTTTCATGTACCGATGATTGATTCTGTTATTAACATCAAGATTAAGTATTTCCATCACACAAAATGAGGCTAGTATTGGTCCTGGACAGAATGAATGTAAATCTCTGTGAGTAATAACTACTGCACATTTAAGGCTTGTTTAATGCTTGTTTAAGGTTAATTGTTGACCCGAACTCAACTTGATAATATTACAGACTTATGTTACACAAATAACTGCTCGCGCTAACAGACTAGCACAATCAGAAATAATGCAAACACTGACAAACCGCACTCCTCCTTGATGTATGCGAGCACAGAGCTCCAGAGACAGTGTGCCTGTTTCATTGGATGCAGAGGACTGTCTGGCTGTAATAAATGACCCTGCTTGGTGAAGTCGGCAGTTTGGGAGCATTAGGAACTGAAATGCATTAGGGCTGATTAGACAGACCCAGCCCAAGTACCCTCTCCTGGTAATGAGAGCGCTTTGTCACTCATTAACACCTCCACCATTCTGGCCCTGGAAGGAGGGAGCACAAGGCAAGCATTTGCATTTTTTTTCTTGCCAGCAGAAACGCTCTCTCTTGATGAGGTGGAGAGAATGAAAGGCAGAATGAGAGAGCAAGTCAATTGCCGGCTACATTGGGATGGTGATTGTGCGAAACAATAGTGTATGGAAAAGGGATTTGGGGACATTTGATGAGAATACGCTCAGTGCTGAATGCAGCCCCCTTTTCCTTTGGATGGTGTTGCTTTTTCTTCTGACATGCAAGAAAACCATTAACGCAAACATGTGACATTATTTGTTATTCAAAGAACAGCAGGGAGTGTCAGGCTTTTTGTGGGGTTTTAGGTTATTCAATGTTTCCACTGATTCAGATTCATCTGAAATGCTTTGTTTACTGCTCCTTTAAAAAATCCCTGCAGCGAACATACAGTTTCTAGAAAGCAGTAGCTTGTGGTTTCATGTTATGATCAACATTGGATGCTCTGCTAAACTGGGCTGCTGCCAGCCAATTAGCAAGATAACAATCCAAAGAAAAAACTCCTTCTCTCGACAGAGGGGACTTTCTCAGGCAGCCACTTACAGCGCTTTGAAAATGTGTCAAAGAACCAGCCTCATTAGCCAATTTTTACTAAATGGAAATTAGTAAACAAAAACAGTTTCTCATGAATTTCTTCCCTTCTTGGTCACTTTGGATTCCTTATTTATTCATGCTTGTAAATATTAGCTTACAGCAGGAGATTGTTGGTGTCTGTGATGCGTCTGTGAAGCTCGATCACAGCGTGATGTAGCTGCTGTCTGTCGCCCTGCCAGGTGACCTTCTGATCAGGGTTGACAAACAGTTTCAATGTGCTGATAATTCTCTACACTAGCAGTTCCAGAGGTACAAGGTTACATCCTTAAAGACACAGGAAACATAGTGATTTAGAGGCGTCCTATTTGAAGTGATTTATCACAAGGATATTGGAGTTCATCTCCTCTTGTATTCATGTTACATTAATATCAATCGCAAAGCTTTGAGGAGACTTTGAGGTTCGAACAGTCTGGGAAGCTGTGGTCCAAATCATAAACGATTACCCAGTCAAGACTGAAGAAGTACTAAACAACGACAAAAAAGAAATTTAATCCACTTCAAAAGTCAATGGTTAGAAGAGGGACCGGAGAAATCTCCTCTAGGAAAAGCTATGAACCAAACTACACCTGTGTTAACTTACTTCAAGGTGAATGTTTACTTTGCTTCCTGCTCAAGTGTGATCAATTTACTTCCTGCTCTGCTCCTGTGGTCTTCCAATCCAAACTCGTCTTGGCCTCTGAAATAAACTGGTTTTGCTCTTGCTGAAGCTGTTAAGTTTGCAGCAATTCAGTTTTGTATTTGGTAGCACCTCAGCACAGCTCTGCTTCACCTTCAGCCTCTTTGTTGACTTGTTGAATTGAAGATTGACCGATTTATTTTGTTTCTGGCTGCACCTTTTCTCCTGTTTCATGTTCGGTTTGGGAGCTCCTTTGAATTTTCCTGTTTGATTCTGCAGATCGACGCAGCTTTGATTTCCTGCTTAACGTTATTGTTATTTTGCCCTTAGAGACGCCGTTGCTGTCTTCATGACTTGCAGTTTTGGTTGTTTCATCTCTTATCGTCATTTTCAGCCAAAAAAAACACAATTTGTTATTATCCCCCTAGTTTTGTCTCAGCTTGGCAGTGAGGGGTATTTGGGTAAACTTGATATGTTTCTCCCTGTGCCACCAGCATGAATCAGCAATTCTTTTCTGGGAACACTGGAAAACCAGAGATCTGGATTCTTCTGTGTATTTGTGTTTGAACCTGCAGCAAAGGAACCCTTTTTTAGGCATTGTTTGTTATTTTGGCATCAGTACACATTTTACAAATCACAGAGTTTTTGGTCAATTTTAACATACAGCAGTTTCAGGCATTATTTCTTCACCTGAACTTTACAAATAATGACTTATCTGTACATGGACACCTTTCTTGTTCAATTACTTTTTGCCATAGTTCACTGACGTGTGAGCAAACAGGTATCGTAATTCTTGTGAAAACTTGACAGTTCTGAGAATCAAGAGCTTTTACAGACTTAAAAACAAACAACGGCTGAAAAGGAAAGAGGACTACTGTATGATCATCTAAACATTGTTGTATTATTGTTGAGTGCAGTGCTTGTAGAGAGCTGGTACACTGTGGCACGCAGTACCATCACCTCTAAATTCAACCCCTTGGCGTGACCAAATGTTTTGGCGAACCTCAACTTCTCACCAGCTGTCCTCTCCACATTATAGTTTCTTTGGGTGATCACCTCTACAAGGCCAGAGGGACAACAGATGGAGGTTCATTAGAGGTCGAAGTTGCACAAAAGTATGCCAAGGCAGGGTTACAAGACTGATCTGACCCCGAGAGAGGACTGTCTCTCAGCCTAGAACCCAGAACAGCAATCACAGTCCCTTTGTGTTTTTAGTCTAGTGCAAGAATCAGCTAGCACACCTTGTTTAGAGGACCTGAGGAGTCAAGCATGCAAGCAGTCTCCCAAAGAGAATGGGATGGAACAAGCTGAGGAAGATCTCCAGGCAATGCTAAGCTTTCCAATTAGGGCTGCATGTAACACCTTTCCCAACTAACCCAGCCCGATGGTATGGCTCAGGGGAAACCTATGGCCTACACAAAAGGTCCCAAGTGGATCTCTGCCACATTCTGTTAGGCCTTGGCCCAAGGGGTGTTACAGGTGGCAGCTTGACCTGGTGCAAGCAGCTTGGATCTCCTATGGAGCTCACCACCACCACACTGAGACCTGATACTGTCCTGTGGTCAGCAGCTGTTCTAGCTAAGCTATCTGCTCCACCGGTAAAGGGTACCAAAGAGGCGAATGAAAAGAAGATGCTGCGGTCAAATGCCAAGAAAGAGGCTGGAAAGCAACAACCTATCCACTGGAAGTCGGCTCTCCCGGTTTTGTGGGCCTGTCAATGAGCCGCTTTCTGAAAGATGTTGGATTTGTATCAGCAAAGGCCCAAAGGGTCATCCAAGATCTGGCTAAAGAACCAGGAAAGGGAAGTTTCTGGCTCTGACTGGGGAATAAAGACAAAAACTGGGGCAACCAAGAGGACACACAGCTGATAACCTGACCATCTCAATCTAGCTTCAGGAGGTGGTAAGGAGATGTACCTGACCAATGCCCCACCATGAGGGGGCGTTCTGGGATCAAAGGGGTAAAATTTCAGTGGCTTCTAGCTGAGGACCTTGCAACTGGTACTGAGGCACTGGCAGAGGGGCAACAGGCAGAACTTAGTCTGATGAAAGAGATTGGTTAAGAGCTAGCAACAGAGATGGCATCAATGGCTTCTTTAGGTTTCCTGGGGGGCTCGATTTAATTTTTCTAATTTAATCATGAAGATCATGCTCATGGGTGTGTCTCTTTGTGATATACGTTGTGGTCCTCAGGTCTGTTTGAGTCTGGAGCAGTGTGAGTTCAGGGACTAGGGAGGGGGGACAATCATACTTTGGCACAGTACAAGCAACCGGGCCTTAAAAGAGTGTGGTGTGTTGATCCTATCCAAGTCCTGTGATTCCTCTAACTTCTTATGTCTCACTGCCTTTTAGAGGTACTGATCAGTGAAGTGCTCTTCTGTAATTTCAACTCACAGGAAGAAAAAAAACACTCAGTTTCAAGGATGAAAAACACTCTAAATCTTCTTCCCTGCTCTTTTCCTTTCAGATGTCGTTGGCATTCACAAACCAGAGAAAATGATAATCAGAGCCGCACACGACTGCGTCTCCTCTCCACTCAGTGTTCAGCTCGGAAACAAAGAGAAGCAGCCGCTGGGTGAAGTTCATCCACAGAGAAGCGATTCATGTTTATGATCCTCTGTAACAGCTCAGATGTGGCTGCGGTCATGTTCTACATATCACCCACTGCCTCCCTGCTGTGAAGCTGTGAAAAAGGCTTTGAAGGTGTCGGATTAATTAAAAGGTTTCTGTGGGAAAAAAATATAAATATATACACCTGAACTGATTTCTCCCACCTCGAAATAAGGAGCCGGAGAATTCTATCAGACTTTTGGTTGTAGGTGTTGGTGAACAGAGAGCGCCTGAATGACAGCGTGTGGAATTCCTCACAACATGTTTGTGTTTCTCCACTGGGGCCGACCTGATAAGACTGTTTACATTCAACCAAACAGAACATGGAGATTAGCTCTGTTTTCTCACTGAGAGGAAAACCCTGAAGGAGTTTTGTTGTACTTTGAAAAGGCTTTATCAGCAGCGCTCAAACCTACAATACAAAACCCCGGAAACAAATAAAAACACTTATCTTTAGAAATTTAACAACTTTAAAGCATCTGATTTCCCAGCTTCTCTCTTTCTCTGAGATCAGAGAGACTTTTTTGATGTTTCTCAAGTGCAAATACAAAGACGAGCTCACCTCCTGGCCCTGCGATGGCTGTGGTGTTTGCGTCCTTTCACTTTGATGCAGCCGTTTCTGTCAGCGGTGTCCACCCGGGAGTCCGCCGCTTTCTTCTCATCAGTCTTGAGCGGCTGGCAGGCTGTCGTCTCTGAGCTGCAGAGAGAAAAAGAAAATAATTTCATTTTTGTTCCCCACAGGAGAATTTTGTGGTGATTTTTGGAGCTGTCCACACAGTTGGCGCTTCCATCATACAATAGAGAGGAGGATTTAGCATGCTTGGTTAGCTGTGTTCCCTCTGGTCTGCTGGATATGTGTTTTATTCCCCTCCATTTCTCCCTCCCAGCCATTCTGGGGAAAAAAATTGGAGGTCAGCCATTTACCATTCAAATCGAGGTGTCAATTGAAATGTAGTTATTTACATGCTCCAGTTGCCCTGACATTTGGGGAAATGGTGTTTTCTATCTTGTGCTTTGCAGATGCAGTCGTGAAAGATGCATGTTCATAAAAAGAAATGCATTATTTCCTATTTCTGCACACCCAGAGCCTATAAATTCTTACTTTTCAACATAAACTAACGCAGGCGGAAAGCAAAACCACTAAAATTAAATGCTCATCCTCGTTTTTTAAATAGTTGCTGCAGTTTGAAAAAGAGGTGAATTATTTTTGACTTCCATACAAAGGCGTTTTAAGTCAGGTGTTTGCTAATCCCACCTCCAAAACATCCTAATCCACGGTTAAATGTTCCAGCAGAACCAATGACTAAATAAACTGAATGATTAGATGTGAGCACACAGTTCCAGCCCTGCTTATTATCCTCTGTTTTAGTCATGGGAGATTTGAGCATAATTACACATTCTCCTCTTCCTCGAGTGGCTCCCGTCTGATCGTAATGAGAAGATAATCAGAGACAGAGATTAGGCCGTCAACGCCACCTCCTCTTCTCCCCCCTCCGGTGACGAGCAGGCAGGAGCCGTCGCTTCCCATCTTCCTCACCTTTACTTTCCTCTGCCGCTCTGCATAAGAGGCAGCGGCCCCGAGCAGGGAACTAATAATGTCAAACAGCAGCCTGAGTGCTCCAACATGACCCAGTGTTTGAGAGGTGAGAGGGGAGGTAAAAACGTCAGAGAAAGGATGATTACTCTGATCACGGAGGCTGCTGGTTTAAGAACCTCTGCTTGTGCGCTCATTCTGCATCCCTTGCATACATATACCGGTGAAAGTGAGCCTAACAAAGATGAATTCAAAGCTGTTAGCTGTCCACCACGTCCCGCAGCAACTATTCATAAGTTTATCATTAAACTGACTGGTGTGACCGTCTGGTGAAAATGTCCTCTGGACTAATCCCAGCGAGCTTTAAGGAATCCGGTCCATCTTCAATCTGCATGCATCAAAAATAAGAGATGCATCCTGCTGCTTTTCCACAGTATGCTTCAAGTAGTTTATTTCCCTCAGCCCTGCTGTATCCTGCATTAGCATTTAGACTTATACCAATCTCAATGCTTTATCTATATATGGTCATATATAATGAATGTTCCGTAGGTCTGTTTGATATACGTATCCTTTGATTCCACTTTTAATTTGTTTTTTAAATGAAAAATCTACTAGGGGACTTGGATACGACTTCTTTGCAATCAAACAGAATTGAAGTACAATGAGCTGCATCCTTTACACTGATGTGACAGATAATGCAAAAGGGTATATTCATGTATTAGAAGATACTGAAGTCGGTGACTATTTAATGCTTAAAGCATGAGGAATATGTCACTTTTAAAGAGCTTTCCTCCCTCATTAGATCACAGAGGTATGTGATTTTGTTAATAAACTTTGCAGTGTGCTGATTTGATTAAAGACTTCTCAATTTAAGTATTTTGTGAAAGGAGGTGGCAACAATAAGGCAAAGGCTGTAGATTTGTCAGCACTTCCCAATAACCAACACTACATTAGGCTGAGTGAGGCTACCACACAGGGGAGCAAAAGATGGTTCATGTGGCATCTATAGAGCCAGATCCCAGAAACTTTAAATGAACTGAATTCAGTTTCATTTAGTTAAAAAAAGGAAGCCAAAATACAACCAAGAATTCTGGTAGTTTCTGCTCCAAACAAAATAAATGGAGGATTCAACCATGCCTTTTTCAATTCTTAGCTATAAAGTAGACCTCAGTTGTAAGATGAGGTCTCTGGCTGCTGAGCTGCTCTGCTCATACATCATAGAGAAGATCAGGACAGTAGCGAATATAAGCGTGCCACAGAAGAGCAAAAAGGCGGAAACTGAGACTCTGAATAAAGCCAGAGTAGTAAGTGGCCCAAAGCTTCTTTTCCCAGCCCCCCTCTCTGCCTCTTTGTTATTTTCTGTCACTCTCAGAGCTGCGCTTGATGACTTCTAAATGAAATCGATTTGCCATCACTGATGCACATTCCCTCGATCTGGCCCTGCAATTTATGTCCCAAACTTTCCGAGCTATAAGCACCCGGATTTATAGCAGGCTGTTTGTATCTGTCAAGCAACACCATTCACTCGTTCTCCCCCTCGCTCTCTCTCTTTTACTCTCTCTCACACACACACACACATATACCTCCACTCTCTCACACAGAGAAATCCCCTTTCAGTCCTAATTCATAACCAGGAAGTGATTGAAGGTATTTAAAGGGACAATCCAAAGCACCAAACTGCTTTAAAAAAAGGAGCTTGAAATGAATGCAAATACTGAGCGGATTAAGTTAAAGTACTTCATGACAGAGAATTATGTGGACACTAATCCTCCGAAATCCTGACTGGATTTGTTTACCGTAACGCAGGTAAAATGGAGTCATGGGCCGGGATCAGCTTCACTGCAATCCCTGCTGGAATATTGCATGCTGGGAAGAAGTGATCACTGAAACCATTGTTGGTGGGTGGGAACATGACAGAGACAGATCTCCCTCCTTCACTTGTTTCTCTCTTACATATCGGTCTGCGCATGTTTGCCGATCATGGTGATGATGATTTCCGTCATGTTAGGGGTGACCGTGCTGTGACTGGCTCCTGTTTCTCCCTCTGTCACAGTGGGAGCGTCTCACTCTTCTAGACTCTGTCATACGCCACTGCTGTTCACCGTCACGTGGATGGGTAACAAATACTGACAGATGGCGCACAAAACAACACATAACAAACAGAGAGAAACAGAGAGACTGCACTTTTCTTTTAAAGAGGGTGAGGATGTAAATCTCACTGCCTTGTTTCTAAGTTTGGACAAAGAGACGGGGTGCAGACAGAGCACATTGTGAGCGTGCCAGAACTCTCTCCTGCAGAAATACATCCTCTATGGTGCTAATTTGCCAACTAGATTTCACATGGTGATGGCTGCCGGGATTAATTTAACAGACAATGATTTTTTCCAAAGCAGAAAGTGGGACACTTTTTTTTAAAAAGCACAAGTCACAGGGAGGTCAGGGTTGATAGTTTGGGCACCAAAAGCTTCGAAACAACATTCTGCTTCCTGAATGACGTTTAAGACTTTTGGATTAGAGCATATTTAACATGATCACAAATGATCTGTGATTGTCTACAAATAAAATAATACTTTAAAATCTACAAATAAACAAATTGAAGGACTGGCCTTCTGTCTGGTTGCACATTGCTCCAGTAGAGTAGTTGTTTGGCACACACAACACAGCCCACAAACTCTACTTGTACAGATCAAAGTTCTGCCAAACTGCAGCACAAAACATGATGTCATCTGTTATCAGTGCATCTTTACATCTAGGTAGTAAGGCTGCACGATTAATTGATTTTAAATTGTAATCTGATTGTTTAATTGTGATGATGTTAAAGTAAAATTGTCATATCAATTTTCCTCTCTATCATGTCTTGCGCCTCCAGGCCACCATAGGCTCCCCCTTCCTGCAAGAGTCCTCTCCAGTTCCCACTCACACCAGTGTAAACAAACATGGCGTTTGCAAAAGAAGGCGATAATTTCGTGGCTAAAAGGGGCAAGAACAAGTCAGTCGTGTGGATTTGGTACAGCTTCGCGGTTTCGGACATAGAGCAAACTACTCCCCGCTGCAAAGTCTTCTGAAGGCAGTATCAACCTGTCCACACGGAAACAAATTCAGGAGTAAACGCACAAGTTTTTTGTTGTATCGGCGTTTTGGATGACTATAAACGTTACTTTTTGAAAACATGTATGAGAGTGCATAAATCAGTAAACGACTACCATTTCATCTCCCCGTGGATACATATCTGCATCTCTTGAAAAGATTATGTCACACACAGCGTAACTCTTTTATGATGCCTGCGCGTGTCCAGCCAAAACAACCTTTATACGTATGCTCTGTACTCTTCTTCTGTCTTTTGTGCATTTCCTCGGCAGCGTTACAGCGCCACTACATCTTTTTCGGTGGCTTTGTTTTGAGGGATGATAGAAAAACTTTTCATCTTTAAAGTGAAGTTTGGTGAAGCTGTCACTGAATAAATCAAAATAGAAAATTGACTTTTTAGAGAAAAAAAAATCAGGACTTTATTTTTGGCTCAAATCGTGCAGCCCTACTGGGTAGTACAGCATTAGAGCACTGCAGCATAATAGAGGCCCCTAACAGGAGATACAGCCCCAGCTTATGTTGAAAGGATGAGCTACAGATTAAACACAAAACCTGTATCACACAATAATTTCAATTTCAGTGATTCATTTCTAAATGATAATGAAGATGCTTGGGCTTTGGGGATATTCTGTTAAAAAAATACAACATGATCATGCACATTTTGTGTGGACTGCATTTATTTCCATTTCTTATATTATCTTGTATTGATACAAAACACCTACTTCATGCTGCACATTAGTTTAGAGCTGAAAATCAGTGAAGGGAAGTTAACCAGTAGCTATTTTGGCGAGCTACTTACCCTATAACCAGGTCAACGTAGACAATAATATTAATCACATAATGTAAGTTGTGTTAGTTTTGTCCAAAAAAGGAAATCTTAAAATTTGTTCTAGTACAATCAGAGACCAGTGATTTATATTTTCCTCATTTTTCTGACATTTGTTTGGCCCCAGAATTCATCGGGGGAGCAACAGCTTGATCAAGGAATCAAAATTTACTTGGTAATTGGGGTCTCAAATGCCTTTTCTCTATGCTCAACGCGGTGAATTTTCAACGCGTGTTCTGGGCCACAGGGCAGGTTTATTCTTGTGTGCCCAAATGCAAATGTGTTAGATCAATGGGTTTATTTTGTGCTGCAACAAAAGCGATAAAAAAGCAGAACATGTTCAATCTTTTCATCTTTTTTCTATCTAACCATCTGCCTGTCTTGTGCACCTCCAGCTCTGTGCTCAAAAATTCATAAAACATCATCCGCTGCTACAGCCACAGGAGGATCATCGTAGTTTGTGTACAGTTTCATCGTCCACACCCCATTTACGATGTAAAATGGAGATAAAGTGCTACAATATCTGCCAGGAGCTGCTCTGTAATCTGCCAGCTGCTCTTCACCACAGCAGAGCTCTGCTGGAGGTTTCGCTCACACATCCGCTGACATGGTACAGGTGCGCACAAACATGCAGACAGGTATTACAACAGCTCCAAAACTCAAACCAGCTATTGACACAGATTGTTTTTTCACCTGCTTCAATTATCGCGTGTGAGGCGTGTTTACATCTGTGCTCAGTTACTTCAAATTACATGTTTACTCAAAGCCAGTGTTGATAGTTGTTTGACGGTTTGCTGCAGCAGGACTTCTGAGGTGTTCAAGTGTGCGCAGAGCTGAAAGAGCATCTGCAGGGACACAGTAAAACATGCAACACTTGAATGCAAGCTTTTTCTCTCCCAACTGTGTGTGGATATAAACCCCGCTGTGACAGAATGAGATCTTAGAAGATAGAGATGAGAGACACTCAAGGCGGGGCATTTGTACATTTTCTTTGCAGTGATCTCATTTTTTTCCTTTTAGCACAAACAGATAAATGCTCTCCAGCTCCGGAGTGTTTTCGCTCTCTCAGCAGTAAATCAGCGCACAATCACCAGCTCTCCTAAGGTCCAATTAGTTTGGTTCATTTTCTTTAATTTTACATACATCGACCTGGAGTGCACACTGAATAATCAAAACTCTGTTACTGCAAATTTGAGTGGAGGTGTTACTAAATCAAAGAAGACATTTCTTTTATTGTGACCCATAAAAACAGGATTATGAAGAGATGTTTTGGGAAATATGCTTGTATGGTTTTTAATGAGAGATACACAAAAGGCTCTTACTCTTACGTCTCTTCTCACAGAGCCTGCTAGAGCCTCACTCTAGTTTTCCCACAGTAACTTCACAGAGTCATCAGCGAGTGAATGTTTGCACCAAGTATTTCCCATCTTGGATGATTTTTTTTTTGACAGTCCTGAAAAATGTTGATTTTTTTCAGGTCTTTAGACAGTTCACAGTTGCATGTTTTTGTCTGGATAACTTGCACTCAAGCTTGTGCCCTCCCTCCCCATCTCCCCTACACAAATGTACAGTACTTCAGGAGAGGCCATATCAATAAATACATCTGAGTTTTTCTTTCTTCATCTTCTGAGTCCAAGTAAAAGCCTGAGTCGTCAAACCTTAAAGGGATACTCCAACGTAGATTTAAGTCATGGTCAAACACACCGTGACACCAAGTTAGACACCCCCCAGAGAGATGAATGTTGCCGACTGCTTGCTTCTCTAGTTAAATTAACGTTAGCAAAGTCTTCTGAAGGCAGTAGCACAATAATCATTATGCACTACAGACGCGGCAGTTCTTCTGCCTTAGCGTCTCGGTTTGATTGTATTTCCATGAAGAAATAATCAGAAATTTTCCGTGGCTACAAGTGAGTTTTTGGTTGAGGTTTGCATGTGGACACGTAGACCCCTGTATAACTTAAGTTGGTATAACTCGACAAGCAAGCAGTTGGCAACATTAATTTCTCTCCAAGGTGTGTTTGACCATAACTTAAGTTTACGCTGGAATATCCCTTTAAGTCACAAATCCTGAAAATAAGGACATGTAAGACTCTGAAAGTCCTCTCATGTAAGTTCAACCCTGTCTCTGCAGACTGGAGAGCGTCCTCCACCTCTGCTCTAATCTCAGCATTAAGAGCAGGAACAGCTTTTTCCTCTTGTTTTCCTAGAGAGGCTGGAGCACTGGTTAACTTTTCACTTCTGCCTCATATTATCCCTCTGCCTGTCGTCTTCTTTAAACCAGCAGTTAACTTGTCCTTCAGTCTGTTAGTTTCACATGACCCTCACCGCTGCTACAAGGAGTCAGAGAGAAGTAAGGAGAGTCAAACTGGCTGGGACATCTGTTAGAGCAATGTTATTTCTTCAACTGAATGTCAACATTTGGTACAAACACAAATATTGGAAAAAAAAACATTATTTTTACAGCATGTTGGTATTTCTGTTACCTTTGTTCACTTGAGGAACCTGTTTGGCAGCTAGAATGGAACTTGTGCTTCATTTTCAATATTTTCCAGGTGTCTTATTTCACAGACATGCATCCAGGAACAGAATTTTTTTTTAAAAAGCGCAAAAACCATATTGATCAAACTCTCCTTGTTTTGTGTTCATTACCATGCCTATCCTCACAGGTGCTCTGTCCCGCTGTGTGCTGGACTTGTGCCTGATGGTTCAAGTGAAAAACAAACTGTGGCAAATTAGGTGGGAGAGATACATGGAAGAATCGATGCTGCTAACCCTGAGCCGCAACAGGAAAACAACATCAGCCGATCAATGGGCGATACGTCACTTTGAGAAGTCTTAACAAGGGGGTGAAGAATTTAAAGCCAAAGAGCGTGCACAAATGAGGATTTCCTCATGGATTTGTGTCTGTTTAATCGAATTTAAGGAGCTTTAAAAAACAAAATCCATTCTCGCAACTTTTAAGCTGGAATTTGTTTTATTGGTGTCAAAATGATCACAGATCTTTACAATCCCATGAGTTTGTGGAGTGGAATTGCCCTTTAACTAATTATGAAAACATCCTTAAATTTAAAATAAAGGCTTCTACAATGTCCAAATGAGTTGTACCTTATACAGGTCCAAGCTGTCACAGCTGACCATGGAGACTATGACTCTCAGGAGGAATCTCTGCAGAACTAGGATGCTGTCAGATTTTCCCTCCTGCTCCACAGGTGATTTAAGAGTTCCCCAGCTTCTCATGAGGTTCAAGGAAGCTAATAAACTTTTCATTATCCCCGTCAGAGCCACCAGCAACAATTGATTATCATGATTATACAAGTGATGGTAGTTGAGATAATTACCGGTGAAAGAGATGATCTACTACTACAATTAAAACCAAACAGGGTGGTCCTGAGGCACTCTGCTTTAATTTACTCTGAGTGTTTACCCAAGTTTCTGGAACAACTTTATCATCACCCAAAGGACTCCAGCAGGCAATTACACCCGCAGAAAGTTGCTTCAAGATGTCCCTCACAAGAAAAACTGCCACCAGAGGTGTGCTCAGGCTGTTTGAGAGGCAGGGGGAAAAAGGGCACCAGTTTTAGGGCCGGCAGATCTGCACTTTAAAGTCCACTTTATAAACTTTTTCCCTTTTCTGTCTTGTCTTGGCGTTTTCTGACTGTAAGCAGATGCATAACAGGTCTGAGTGTAGCCTGTTTGATGTAAAGCTTAATAAACTTTTCATTCAAACACAATGAGCAAGTAATAAAAGAGGGTCTGGGGTTTATCTCCCAATAAATTTTGAGCATCAAATACCTCATTCTCTGTATCCTTATGAACACGGGGCACTATTTAACATTTCATCTACTATTAAGGCAATAAAGGGGACTTTTGAAATTGTATCCACTTGCAAAGCACTCAAAGGACACTGACTTTATATCTACTGGAAGGGCATTCAGAGGATGCCTTTTGACCTTTTGGCCACTAGAGGGCAATCACAGAGACTTAATATCCACTAAGAGGATTCAGAGGGATATTCTTCAAGTTTATCCACTGGAAGGGGATTCAGGGGGATATTTTGAGATATTTATCCACTTGACAGGCATTCAGTGGGCACTTTGACTTTTTAACCACTGGAAGGGCATGTGGAGGACCCTTTTTGTTTTATTTTCAATGGTGAAACATCCAGTTGCAATGATTTTACATGTAATTTCCTTGGACTGGTACTGTTTTGAGAGGGTTCTGTTTGAGGTTTAATCCACTTGTAAGGAATTCAAAGAGAACTTTTACCTTCTTATCACTTGAAGAGCATTCAGAGACCACTTTTACACACGTGCAGGGCATTCAGTGGCACTTTTACACACGTGGAGGGCATTCAGTGGCACAGTCTATCTGTTTGAAGGCGTGTTGAAAGCATTATTTTCTTATATTATCAATTGGCAGGACTTTCAGTAGGCAGTTTTCATGTTTCATTTTCAGAGTTTACTTTTTAAAGTTTTATTTACTAGATAAGACAGCAGAAATTTTCCTCGGTGACCCCCTCTTGCACCCCGCTCCAAGTACTGGCAGTCACTGTAGTTGGAATTACTGCATACTTTCTGATGCAAAGAGGAAAGTGTTGATTAAATGTTAGGATATCTGGAGTCACTCATTTAGCTGAATAAACACACAAACTCGGGCATGCAATCAATCAGCCACAATCAATTAAGAGCACAGGCAGAAGATGGAACCATTTGATCACTGAAGTCCTCATTAAAACTTGAGGATGAAACTTGACATTCATGAGATGACATTCAGGAGTTTTAAAAACGCTCTTGATCTCAAATGAGCTTCTTAGTGAGCTGGTATTTCTTCTCTGTATAATCATATATCTGACTGCCGAACACTTACGCTGCCATGAAATTAAGATATCTCCCATTGGAGTTCCAGAGAAAAGCATTCTGGGGGTTCATCATGTCCCCTTAGAAAAAGTCTGCTCATGTGCGAGTGTTGTTTCTTTTCTTATGGGTAAGAAATAACCTCATGTACTCTCTCCTCAGCAGAGGCGATTTTCTCTTTAAAGCACGCAGATGGGTAATAGATTTTTTTGGTGACGTTCCTCCTGCCAGAATAAATTGCAAGGATGGATGCAAATCCTTTTGAGCTGCTGAGATCAGCCCCAAATTGGCCGCCTCTTCTTCCTCACAATGCATGATGGGAAGGCGGAATGATAGAAGTGAACATCAAAGATTTAATGGATGTACAGCCCCAGTTAGGAGGTATCACTGGCTGCAGGCAATTTCCCGTCTTCGCCAGTTTGCTCCAAATCTAACATCCAACTCCAGCATTAAGCTTTGACAGTACATTAGGCCAGAATAATGAAACAGGGGAGTGAAGTTTTCTGCTTTCTGTTTCAATTTCAAAGCTCAGGATTTTATCTTTAAATGAATCCTCTCTACAATTTGTTCTGAAAAGCTTAAAAAATGAAGTAAAGTAGTAAATCCATTTTATGCTTGTTAGAAAAGAAGCTAATTTGGTTTTTACTCCACTACATTTAATCTTCAGTTATAACTTCTCTAAGGATTAAAAGCTTTTGTTGAATATAAAAACTAATGTCTTCCAGTTGTTTAAGCTTGTGACTCCTTTCAAACGGCACTTCCAGTCTTTTGTCTCATTTGAAGTGCCTGAAATTATCTACATTTCTAATCAGAGAGGTTTCCACTTTTTTACTCTTTGTTTTTGTATTTTTATTACTATTCAAGCCCCTTTGATTTCAAATAATAAAAAAAAAACACAACATTTAGACTTCTTGGTAGAAAAACTATCAAATACCTCTTTACTAATCAAAGCTCCCATCAGGGACTCTTGGTTTGTGTTGATTTTGGGGACCCCTGTTGACAGAGTGGTACCTTTTGAGAGTCCCCGTTGTCATTGTGTCCTAACCTCCAAAAACTTCTCACAGGAGCTTTAAATTGTAAAATTTTGTAAAGAATTGCTTCAACCTGACCAGCTTTCATAGCTTTCAAATTCAGGGGTATGTCTGAAATGGTGTCAAGAGGTGGCATGAGCCCCCCTTGAAATCTGTCTGCCACTCCAAGTACTATCCAAAACCTTGAACTGTGGTTGTTGTTTTTTTGCATTGTTACAAGTGGGACTGCTAAAATGCACTAGGTTGATCATAAAACAGATTTAGGAGAGAAATCAGTCTGTATAAGCCATCAAGTGTGTTCAGTGGCAATGTTTCAGTCTTGAAGTACATGCACTGTTGCTTTCCACTAAAGTATGCAACTGAACTGGGCTACTGCCCTGTCCCAGCATACTAGCACCAGGTGAGAACTGGTTTATTGACTGAGTTATATCCACCTCTGCTGTGGTAACATTGGGGTAGAATTGTAGGGAGTCAATTCCCTATCACATTAATCTGAATTTAATTTCACTTTGACTAGCATGTTTGAATACTTTAAATGTCTAACCAATGCAATAAACTGATTTTATGAACATGTAAACATACTGAGTTTGCTTTGAATGCAGCTGTTGAAGACAAAATTTGACACCTCATACATCAATGGGCACACTGTTATTCTGAGCCCAGGAAGGACTTACTGATCAAATATCATATAGAAATATACATAATGAAACTAGCAGAAAAACATATGATCTACAGAGATAGAAAAAATAGATGGTATTTAATTTTTGCTTTCCTTTGTTTTCAGTTTATGCTTTGTTTTCTTTTGTGATCTGGTATCAAATGAAAGCAAGTATGAAGTAAAAGAAAACAAAAGACTTAATGGTCACTGCTAAAGGAAGGGGAAGTGCTTTGAGACAGCACTCCTTCCATAACCTGCTGACAGTAAGCCCTTATAAAAGGCACAAAGAAATGAAGATTGTAAAAAAAAACAGCATTAACGGACACAGACCCTAATATTGAGTTCTCTGTATAAGCTACAAAAGATTTCATTAGCCAGAGGATTCTTCATTTCTATAGAAAGGCAGACTCTGCAATGACAAGATGGACATTTTTGTCAACAGAGGTCACAACAAATTAAAGTTACCTACAGTTGCTATAAACACTTACATCATAAAAATGTAATCAAGGAGTCTCTCGGTTTACTTTGAAGCACTTCAATGTGTGCATGAGGGACTTAACTGACAGCAGCATCTACAATCCCAGAAGTCAATGTTATTTGTTGTAAACAAATAGCTCAAATGGATAGTTAATAATGTGGGTTTGTAATTAAATTCGGACTTGATTATTTCAATCACAATGACTCGGTCTGAGGTGAACGTCCTTGCCTCACTATCTATCAGCTAATCAGCAACAGTGAGCCCTCTCCCCTTCCTGCGGCTGAGTTCACTGCGAGCCAGAGTGACTTTGAAGACAAGTGAGGTTGGTTTATTCAATTATTGTGTCCTGATGATAAAATGGGAGCAACATAATGGCTTGATTAATTTCCTTATCACGGTGAGCACAAAGAGTAATTACAACCAAATCCACCGCTTGGTGAACCACACTTCAATCAAATTAAAGCAGTCTCCACTCGGCAGCAATCACTTCCAGAACAGAACAAATGAGTCGATTGGCTCAGACCCTCGCCTCAGGCCAAGGAAGTGTTTACTTAGGAGCTGTAACTCCAAGTAAAGGTTACTCAGGGTGATTAAAACGCTACGAATATGTCAGAAATCTTAATAGAAACTCTGTATGCACTGTTATGATGCCAGCGTGAGCTAGTCTGAGCAGAAACTCGGTGAATTATTTGCCCTGGAGCGATCATTACAGCTGACGACAATCTTGGAGACTGGCTGTTTCAGACTAGCAGGGAAACAAATGTCAAGGCATTATAACGCGTGAGAAACTCCATGACCTGCCATCACATCCATAACACATATTAAAACAATGCTAATGCCCTGAGAGTGGCTGCTATGTTTAAGTAAACTGAGGGTGTCAGTGCGAGAGCGTCCAGTTAAAGGATTTGCTCTTCTGATATCTACGCAGCGTGCAAATGCATCTTTTATTTTGTATTGTGAGCATCCACGCTGCAGCAATTCAAACCACCTCAGATAGGGAAACATTAAACTCATAAAGCAAGAAATAATCAGCAATTCAATCAAATCTCTTATGGAAAGATGTTAAATTTCTATGCTTTGCGGATAGACAAAAGATTGAATTTTAATAAACCTATGAGATGTAGGATGCTGGATTTGACAATTCAGACTACTTGGTGAAGAGGCCCTGTGATTTAGATCTATGAACTCCAAATAGCTGAAAAGAATTTTTATAACACAATGTTTTAACCTTTGTTAGACAGGGTGGTAGTTAAAACCAGGGTTAGACTGGGTGTTGCCTTGTCTGATTATTAGGGCTGGTATACTTTGAGTAATTTAAAAAAGTGTATTTAACTACCATTTCCAATGATTGTCAGCCTATTGTAGTGTTGAACAATTAATCGGATTTAATCATAATTTCGATTTTGGCTTCTCACGATCATAAAAACATTTTAATCTAAGAAAATCGATAATGTGCCTGGAAAAACACCTTGAATGCACCCCTGTTACATGCAGCTGCAGCAAGCATGTGACGTGTGTGGATCAATAATATGAGGAGCAAGCGGTTGAAAACATGGCAGAAAGGCAGCCTTTGGCTGAGAAAAGAGGTAGGACGACTTCAGTTATCTGGAAATATTTTGGCTTCAATTTGACGGAGGTTGAGCAAAAAAAGAAATGTTTGTCACAAATGTATTTCTGTCTATTCTTTTAAGTTGTATTTAAAGTTAAGTTTTGGTGGTTCAAAAAACACTCATGTTTTGAAATCAATAAATAATTGTGTTAATTAATCGTGATTTCAATATCAGTCAAAATAATGGTGATCATTATTTTTGCCATAATCGTCCAGCCCTAGCCTATTGTACTTTGGGATGGTTATGCCACAATGACCCACATAGAGATCTCCATAAAACCTTATGAAAACTAATTCCTGATCCTGATTTTATAATTCACACAACACCTAAAGAAAGACAAGGAAAAAAGGAAATGGTTAAAAAGAAAAAAAAATGAAAGTTCGGTAGATTTTGCTAAAGTTTGATGTAACTTTTCTATTTGGAAAAGTCAACAACGCATCAGCAGTACCTGAACACCCCAAGGTCTCCAACTGTCAGAGTAGTATAAAAGAGCTTGGGGGTCTTTTCTCAGCTCTTCTGCGTCTGTATTAAGCTGTCCAATAAAGTTAAGCTCACAAATATACATAGTTGATAAGTTACAACTACTACAGATACTAGAAAAAGTGAAAGTTGCAACCGAAAAATGAGAGCATCAATCAAATCCTACCACTTTATTCCCAAAACAGACCCCCGAGCTTAAGTGCTTGAGTAAGAACATCTTATTAATATACATATCAAAATATCTCCAGAGTTATGTAAATTCAAGTTAAAAATCAAATGCAGTTTGAACCCTTTAGGAGAATAAATGTACTTCTGCAGCCAGTGAATCATAGCCTTAAGGTTTCATTTGACTTGGGTAAACCTGCTGAATTCCTCTGGCAGCTCTTTCTATTTGCTTTCCCACTGTAGAGCCTAAATCAAATCACAAGAGCTGTTAGTGCTGCGGTTCATTACAGGAGCCACTACAGGCTGAGAGGAGGGGAGAGCTCCATCACTTGAATAACATCTTCATACTGTATGCTGCTGCTGCTGCTGCTGCTGCTAAGGGGTTGTGATTGGTGTGGAAAATGTCTTATGGGAGGGTGACGTGTCAAAACCAGTCACATGTATGTGTCCGGCCTGTTTGTGTGGTAATATTTTGCAAGAGTGAGCTCATGTCAGAGTAAGTGCAGCTTCACCTCTTGGTGAATTGCACGGTGAACCCTGAGGCTCTAGGAAAATGGCACCATTCCCTGTAGCTCCTGCTTTGCATTTTACTGCTGTTACAAGCTGCTCTGGCCTGAGGAGCGAAATGTTCGACAAAGTTTATTCCAGAGGAGAGCTCAGAACCAGAGCTGACGGGGTAACCAGCAGCAAGATGAGGGACTGTGTGTTAAAGTAGCGGTACAAGCTACAGGTGGAGAGATGAGAGCGGGGAGAGGAGCATGAGGAGGCAGGTGAGTCTATCTGTGTGTGTCTGAAAAGCCAGAAAGGAACAGAATGAGCACAGCTAGAGAGAGAGGAGAGAGCGCTAATGAGTTAACGTCTACTGGACTAAAAAAGTGAGGGACGTCTTAATCATAATAAAACACAAGCTCAAGTCTTGATGTTGTGAAGGAGGTTATATAAAAGTTTGGAAAGACTTGGTTAGATCTGCGGTCTGTGATAAAATGTCAGCAGTAAAAGAGCTCAAACCCTTAAATTGTTACAACACAGTTTTTAAATATTTTACCAAGTGAAATCTGTACTTTAATTCAGTGGGTGTTATCACCAAAACTAAGCCTGATAGCACATATGATTATCTAAAACATTGAGGATGCACCCAAAATCCAGCCACTGAAATTTTTCAGCCAAAATGGATGTTGATAGCATAGCGTGTAATGCTAACATTTCAAAATGGGATGTATCTGCAAAGAGTTTCCCTGCGTCAGGTTTAACTTATCACCTGAAATCCAAACATCCCAATCGTCATTCTGTATACCAGAGGAATGCGGCACAGAAAAGGAAAATCCCTCCGAGCACACCCACTCCATTTGTGGCGGATGTTGCAGCTGAGTACACAAATGGACGCTGGGGAAGGTTTAACTTCTCACTTTAATTCATAGATTCATTTCATAGATTCATTAATTCATAGATTCATTTATTTGCAATGCCTTGGTTTTAGTGAGTTTAGTACACAGTCATAGCTGTAAATGCAATGGTTCTGATAATTGGCGTACTAATTTCTTTCAGTTTTTGGTTTCGGCTAAGAATTTTCATTTTGATGCATTCCTCATTTATACCATCTAGTTAGACAGATGTGCTTAACAATCGTGATTTGAAAATGAATCGAAAAAACTAAGATTGTGTTTTTGCCTCAATCAACCTGTATTGATATCAGAGTCAGTTGAAATGTGTCTGAAAATATCAGCATACTGGATATCTGCAAAAATCCAACCTGATGCACTCCTACAGAAAATCTCCAAAGTCAGCACCATGAACAGTTTGTAACATGCACAACAAAGCTTGTCTGACTCTTGTTTGGCCTCAAACTTTGTACCAATACCACATTGATGCTGCTTTCATTATCACCATCATCATCATCCTTCGTTCCTTTGTGGTCAAAATCGACATCTTTACTAAGAAGGAACAATAAGAAGAAGAACCCCAGAGTCACATGACTCTCTCATCCCAGACTGTTAACATCTAAAGTGAAAGTGTTTCCCCCCTTTCACGCATCATAAACCTTATATGTGCATCAATTACTTGCTTCCAAATCGAGTTAGAAGTGATTAGAGGGTTCTTTGTGTGAAGGCGGAGGGAGGGAAGTGGGTAAAGTTGGGTTTAATTAGCTGCTTGTGAGGCACACTTCCTCCCTGCACTTCTTCCTGTGTAAAGGAGATTACTGAAGAGCCTTCTGCAGATGCTAATGTATGTGGAGTGCAGCGAGCAATAATCATCGCACACCCTGAGTTTAATTAGCACGACTATGACACCAGAGGATGAACGGGCCAGCAGGAAGCTGCAGAGGAAAAAGCCTCCGTGATTGGCAGAAGTTTCTGCAGGATTTGACCAACGAAGACAAAGAGTTGAGCCTTTCATAAAAAAAAAAAAAAAAATTGGAAGGAGGAAACGGGGCCTGCAGGACAGAGCTGTGAAGGAGGTCTCATTGTTCCAAATGAAATCTCATTTGCTCACTTAGAGCAGCTGACAGGTGGGTTCAAGATTGAGCATTCATTCTGGGTGTTAGTTTTGGATTCTGTGTGAAGTAACAGAGTTTTTGTGAAAGACAAAACAAACACTTTCGCAGCGCACCTCCTCCAATTAACTGAGAGTAGACAGAAGAGAAAAACTGCCATCTGTTTGAAACCTAATCAGCCAATTAAACGAGTGATATTTTCCAGCAACAAAGAAAACTGTAAATATCTTCCTCCGTGACACTGAAGCTAATTTGGAAGCGGCTTTGGCAGACCAGCAGTCGCAGATCTGTGCATCAAGGACCTTCTGAGCTGCCTCCTCCCACTTCTACCTCCAATTACCAACCATCATGCTTCCTTGTAATGGCTCTGTGGGAATCATTCCTAGCATTACACATTTTTTCCTCTCGCAACTGTCTGCATGCAGGGACCTCAACAAGAAAACAGATTGGGACCCTACACTTTGCTATTTCAATCTCCCCTTCTGCCTTAATGAGCTGCTAGAGCTCCACACTAATTTGTGTCAGTAAACATATCAGGTTTGCAGCCGGCCATGACAGGCAGAATGAAACTCAATGGGCCAATCGACACCTCAGTCGTGGGACGGATAGTGAAAGGAACTCCTGACAAGATCCAGATCTACGGGAGTAATTAGAGAGAGTTCAAAATGGACCAGCCTGTTCTTTCTTTTTTTCTCTCCAATCTCGTCCTCAGCCGTGATGCCCTTTCCCATGCAAAATAGCCACGTGAATTATTCACCAAGGCTGACTTGTGACCGTGTTTCACAGTATCTGCTCCCTCATTAGACAATCAATGTCAGTAGGATAGAAAGTGAAGCTGAATTTGGAATAAAGAGGCTTTTTTTCCCAGTCCCCTTTATTGAATTACCCTCATAGGAGCAGTGTGCAATCTGGCAGGGAGGGTGTGGAGAATGAAAATGTTACATCTGGATCCTGGATAATGATGTGTTTTCACATGTCAGTCTACACTATTATTAACATATTCACGATAAATCACACTCAAGCCAGAAAAAGCTTTTAGAGAGGTTGATGATTGGATTGATTCATCAGCGATTCATCCTCAATCACAGTTAAAACTAGAGTCCAATGTGGACACCAGTGTTGGTTCTAGTATCACTGTAAATCCTTTAATACTGGCTAAGATGCCGATTAAATACACCACACCAATATCACAAACTGTGCTCTGAAAATAGCATTGGGTTCCCACCTGGACAGTACCTTGGCAGCCCAGTGGAATGTATTTGAAGACCATTAAACCATCTTTCTTTTCTTTATCTAAAGAGCATCTCCTCCTGCTGTGATCTCTTTTCTCTCTCCTGCTCATGCTGCCTGTAGTGTTTCCACACACACCTGCTCTGTAGGTAACAGAGATAGAGAGAGAGGAAGGCAGGGTGAGAGAATGATGAAAACGCAAGGCGTGTGCCCCTATAGGTGATAATTCATGGAATATATTTTCATTCTGATTGTCTCTTCAGGGGTTTCATTTTCTTCTGTAATTTCACAATCTGGCCAAGATATCCTTTGTATCCTTTCAAAATCAAAGCAAATGTCATTCAGGTATTCTTTGGGCGTTTTTGACTTTATTGGATAGGACAGGTGAAGAGAGGCAGAAAATGTTAGGAGCAGAAATTGGGAAAGACATGCTGCAAATGGTGATGGCTAGGGGTCAAATCAGTGACCACTGGGACCAGGACTATAACCTTTGTATATATTGGGCACACACTTAAACTGCTGGGCAAACAGTGTGATAAAATGACCTTTGTGTAGTAATGTAGTAGACAGCAGAAAAGGGCAAATATTATAAATTGTGGCAATTGCTCCTCTTAAAATTAGATGTAATTTGGGCTACTTAAAAGCACAAAGTGTTCTGTCTCCTGATCAGTCTTTTCCCTGAAATCCAAAAAACTTCCATATACGCTGATTTATTCCAGAGAGGTTTGTGAGTGTCTTTTTTATGACTTTCTCCGCTGCTAGCCATTACCTATTATACATGCCTAGCATTGTTGTGACTTATGGATGGGCAGAAACTGTCATAACACAGTGTGCATAGGGACTTTCAAAATAAAAGCTTAAAAATGGTGATAGATATCGATTTTATACTTTCAAATTGAATACTTCGATAAAAATGAATCTTCTGTTATCTTTAAATTTCATTTAAGAGTAACAGGGAACATTTAAGACTGACAAGTGATTTTTTTATATCATGATATACTGTATATCAATATTGACGGATATGAAAAAATATATATTGTGATAAACTTTTTCCCATTCAGCCCAGCCCTACTTTCAATTGATTTGACTGAATCATTGCTCAAACAATCGATATACCGATCCAGATCAATGAATCGTTACACCCCTATATAGCATTGTATTTTATCGTACCATGTTGTGTTGTGTCGTGTCGTGGTATTGCAGCATGTTGTACCATATTGTATTGCATCATTTAAAGGATGGGTCATAACCTTTTGAAATACTGAATAAAGATTCATGTAAATGTTTTATCATTCCGAGAACTAGATGTTATCTCAAATCAGCCAATATGCAAATCTCGATCTGGAGAATCAGGACAGAAACTGAAAAATGTTATAGAATCAACTTTAATTAAATTTGAGCTGACTTATTGACCTTTTAAAAATGACAGAAACTTGTGTAAGTTAAACCTTTATAAGTTAAAAGGAATCAAACTCCTCTGCCAGGCTATTTTTTTCTTTTTAAACCTAAAAATATAAAAACATTTTACCATTTGCTTACCTTCTTGGGATCTAAAATAAGCCAGGATTTGACACCTGTCCCTGTCGTCCTCTGTGGTGCTCATTACAGTTTTTTCACACTGAGCACTCTGTCCTGTCCTGCTGGTTTTGAAGAGAAGACATGAAGAGGTAAACCATTCCCATGCTCCTTCCTCACTTTCCGCATCTTTGTAACCTGTCAGGTGTGCTGCACGAGCAGATGGAGACACAGCATCTAACAGACCAAGCAGACCCACCATCCTTTTTGCTGCTATAAATGTACCTCAATGGATGTCGTCATATGCAAGCTGAAGCCAAGTGACTCCACACTCTCCTCATATGCTTGTTTCAGACCTCCGGGCTTGTTTCGTCTTTGCTTCTGTGCTGCTTTAACCTTCTGTCTCAGACTATTTGAGTCTCGTCCAAGATGCAGAGTCTGTTGTTGAGTGGAACTCTGTAGTCCCTCACCACCTGCTGTCTCTGCGTATCAAAGTCAGGACCTCCTCCCACGTCTGTTGCTACACCCTGTGGGTTCTTATATGGGTCACAGGGCGTCACATCCTTGGTGTAATCTCTTTTTCTTCATCCCTCTACTTTTTCCCCCTCATTTCCTTCTTCTGGCCTAAACTAGATTCCTTGTCCCTCCTATTGTACCGTACTCTATAGTACAACTTAAGGCCTATATCTTACTTCAGTGTCCTTATATTCCCTCTTTAAGTTGTCTCTTTCTACCATTCAAATCCCATTGTGTCCACTTCTTAAACACAGCATCATTTTAGAGGTTCGTAGTGAACACATCACCACTCTCTCCTCACTTGACATGATTGTGCATGTATTTATATGTGTGCAGGCGTTAGTTTCAAGCATGACATATCACTTTTCGCTCCTCAGGAGACTTCAATTAGCTATGCAACCTGGCTACCTCATCTAAAATAATCATCTTAAAACTGGAGCAGGGCATGCAGAATGGGACGACTGCAGAGAGCAATCATGACACCCGCTGACTTCCCCCTTCCTCCACCCACCTCCCCCCTTCACTGCTAATCAGTGTGGGTGCTGCTGGCTGTCTGAGAGACATGATCTGATTTGGAGAGAGGAGTGACATCAGCCTGTGAAAGATAAGAGGACAAGCCTTCACAATGAGCTATAATCAGAGTTAGTATGGTGGTCCTGTGATCGGAGGAACTTAGGAAGTTAGGAAGAAAAAAAAAGTATCTCATCTCCTGAGCATCTTCAAAATATTTTTAGCTCCCTCTGCTGAGTAAAAAGTTTTGTTTTGATTTTTCTGCCTCGGATCATTCTACTTGCCTGACAGTAATAACAAAGTTTGGCTGCACCTTCCCTCTGGCTAGAGATCACTTAAACTTGAGTATTTCATGATGTCCCATTATTACTTAATTCCTAAATTATCAAAACTTGAAGAAACACATCATCCTATTGTGATCCAAACTGATTCAGTAGAAAAATAATGCAGAATTCTTCACATCTTATATGTGGCTTAAAATGGAGCCATTTACTTCATTTCAACAGATAAAAAAAGTAGTTTTTTTTTTAACTATGATATGTTTTTACTATGTATGTTTTTATTATGTTTTTATTTTTTTACTAAAATATGGATAGAGTAAATTATTAGGATATTCACAAAATTCTAACATTTTCCTGCCCCTCTTATCAAGGAACTACCGCAATAGTAGCAGTTTAAGACACATTTTTGGTGCCTTTCTGAATTTTTTTTTTTTTTTTATTGTGTTGCTGTATTTTGCCCCGAAGATGGTGCCTGAAGAAGCTGGATACTCCAAGCTGACTGCTACTGATGGATTCATGTCTGCTTGGCCAAATTAGGTAGTGCACAGAGTTAATTTTCCTCCACTTGTTTTCCCACCATAGTAAGCAAAAGCCTGGAGGTGAGGTCAGAAGTTGTTCTGTTTTGCTTGTTTATAGATTTTGAACCATGTTTTTTTTTTTGCTTCAGCTGCCTCTTCTACTTTTTTTTTACTCAATAGAAATGTGTTAGTCAAACTCTGTAGCTTTAGGGGTTGTGAACTAAGCCTCTCATTTTACAAGGGAGCAATAGTGCTTAGGTTGCCTTAATACAAACCAGTTGTGAAAGTCGACACTGGTGAATGCTCTGCTCAAAGGATTATACAGGTTGCTGGCAAGGTGGAGATAACAACAGATTTTACTAGAAAGAGCTACACATCTGGATAAAGTCTGCACATTGCTGAACTTAATGGAGGTCTTTGCAGAGGAAAAGAGACATCATCTTATACTGTGTACCAGTGTGAATTAAAATCTGGATTTGACTTTTAACTCAAAGCCCTGAGAGACTTTTGTTTGACGTCTTGTGCAATAATATGCTCAATACTTTTTAAAGTGGCTATTGGTCAGAGAAAACAGGACACCTGCTCACACCACTACAGCTCACAGAGAATTTCCCCTTTATAATTGAGAGTAATCATTATGTGCAGCCCATTTACCATTAACCAGCTTTTAAAAGCACATGGTTGGGTGTTTGTTTTGCTCCTTAAATCTGTACCTGCAGAGGTAGATGCCAGATGGAACTTTTACAACCTATCTGGCCTTGAAGTTAATTGGGAGATTTGTGCTACAGCTTCGACATCATGATTTAGGGTTAGTGAGACTGGGTTTGCATAACAAGCATGTTTAGTGCGGATTAAGGGACTGAAACATATTGTTCATTTTAAGCCCTTTTGCTACAGTGTGCTTTTTTTGGCTCTGAGAATGTTTGGCTATTGAGCTCACACAGATACTTGCTTTGTAAATTCACTAAACGTGGAGCCATATGCACTCCAATATCTAAGAAAAAGAGTGAATTACATATAAATACTTAAGCGAAAGTCCAGATCTTGATTTTAGGCTCCATTTATGTCACTGTTTGGGAGAGATTCTGTGAAGCTCTTCTCAACAGCTAGTTGAAATGAAATAGTGATTTTTATAGTGTTCCTCCCTAAGCAGAAAGCCCATGCATGCTATTACTGCAAAATTAATACCCAGTCTTTGCTTAAATGAAGTGTGAAATGTACAAAATACACTGCAGCGTGTTTTCCAAAGACTTCCACATCACCATAAAATCAAACAAGTTCAGTAACATGCAGCAGTTTTAATCTATCTGAAACAATAACGTTCCACTACACGGCTTTACTTCCTCCCAGGAGAGCTTCTAACCCTTTGCAGTGATGGCTGGAGGTGACCCCAGAGCATGTTGGTACACATAATTACCATTCCCCTACAGGGAAAGGAGTGATCAATGAGAGAGTGACCTTCCCCTCTGTACGCACCTTCCTCAAAGTCAGATAATAAATTGGCTCATCTCACCTCCCCTACCGTACCTGTTATTTAGAGGGCTATCTGAGGGAGTCCATTACCGTTTTATGGAAAGGAGGTTCATTCAATTTGCTGCCAACCCAATGAGAAGTTCTGTATGGGTGCATTGCAAAAGGGCTCAAGGGCAAGTGAATTATTCCATTATCTATAATGTGTGGGAGGGTGGGAGCCGTCAAGGTCCTGAGGGGATTTATTTAGCTGCGTAACCCCTGTTCCTCCAGGGGGAACAATGATGACATAAATACAAATGTGCCAAACAGACGGCCTGGTGCTTGTTTGAAGCTCTTTAATTGATTTAAAGAATGTAACTCCTCTTAAGTGAGCCCCTCCCCCAAAAGTGGATTTCACCTCAAGAAAAGGCTTTTGACCTAGCTCAACAAACTAGCTCCTTATAACAGTTATGGACAGACATTTTCTATATAGGCGAAGGACCTTGCTGTTTATTGTACTTAAAATAAAGAGATTTAAAATGTTGAGTGTCATTTTGTCAGTCAGATAACCCTGAACTTGAGTACATCATAATGCTTGACTTTTGGTCTCTGTTTTGTCTTTATTCTAGCTCGGGTGTTTGTGTGACAAACAGAAAACTGTGTTGACTTTAATTGAAATCATCACAGTCACATGGTTTCAAATGATTGGCTTAATTTAAGACTCTTCTTATATTGGGCTTAAACCTTATTAAAGGATAATCCCCCTCAAAGTCAAAGGTGCTTTTGAACGGAGTCACCATGAAGAATCAGGCTGCATGTTGGTACTGTATTAATATGGATATAAGGTGAGGCTCCAGTGTGGAGTAGTAGTGTGCACATGTAGTCTTATGTTGTTGCATGTTAACAACTCTTTGTGCTGCACACTCAAATTTTAGAACACACTGCACCACATGGCATTAGGCTGCAACCATGTCCTTTGAGAGCAAGACTTTAAATGAACCGTGCTTGGGCCTGCTGTCTCAGTTTTGTATTCAACTTGTCATTCATTTATTGAAACATACTGTGTCAAATGTACTACACAGGATTTAATGTCATATTATCTATTTTTGGAAAGTGAAAAATGTGCTTGTCTGGTGGTTTCTTTTATGTACCTGCAAATTTAACAGGTGAGTAAAAGTTAATCAATCACATCTATTTAGAGATTCCTCACTCAACTTAATATGAACCAGAATTACACAAAATATGAAATATCCTTGAAAAATCCTCATGTAAAAAGTCTTATTCCCTGATGTTCATTTTTTCTTACTATCAAGGTTTTTTTTTTCAAGATACAGCCTGGTTAAGATGGATACCCAATTACCTGATGATCAACTAAGATTAAATTCTGCCCTTAGAAAAGCCCTATTTATTTATCATTTGGGTTTTTTTTAGCCAAATCCTCAAAATTTGCAACACTTGAAGGAAATGCTTGTACTCCTTTTCTCACCAAGGGTTAGAGGAGAAGCCTATGAAGCTGCAGACAGCAATCTCTTTGCCATTTAATCGTGCTTGGCTATTATCATAAACGTACATTTCAACCTCTCCGTTTAAAAAAAAACTGTTTGCACACCACTATGTTTTGAAAAAAGTTTTCATTTACACAAACCCGTGAGGATATGCCGGCAAGAGCATGCCAAACCTATAGGTGGCAGTGTAGCGAGAAGCTCAAGCCCACGTTAGCCAATCAGAATCTCACATAGCAGCAACAACAACAACAATGTCTCTTCCGTCTTCTCTGCACCCATTCTGCCGTCGGCTACCCAAATCTCAATTTTCCTCCATTTTTTTTCTGTTTACATGCAAACAGAGTTTTCAAAAAGCATCGTTTTCAGGGGTGAAGTCTTTGTTTGCATCTAAGCAAATAGTTAATGTCTCCGTTTTTAAAAATAATCATACAATACTAAGCATAAACATGTCTTTTTATTGGAAGACCGGGATCATTAGGAGGCCATGAATGAAAGGTCATAGGGAGTCACAGCTTTTGGGAGTTCGTATTATGATGCTTGAAATGTAATCCACAATGTAACATAAAGGTAAAGTTCATTATCATCATCCCATCATGTGATACCTCATCACAGCAGAAATCCTCAAGGTGAAAATGGTTTCCATGGATTCAGTGTAGCATGAGCCGGCATACTGAGCATATTGAGGGCTGATCTAATTTGAGAGCTCTATGAAAAGCATCACTGCTTCATAACATAGGTAAACAGGCGTACTATTATAAATTGCACATTTCATTTTATTTCCCGCTGTGCAGGCCGTATTGGGAAATAAGATATGTTCAGGAATAATCCCTCAAGGCATGTATGCGGCATCTGGCGCAAAGCCTGTCAGCTGCTTTAGACAGCGTCAGCGTGTTGACAGCATGTTTTTTGTCATCTTTCTGGCAACCACAGCCGTTCTCCAAGCAAACAGAGGAGCAGCGGTGTCGGAGAAGTGGGGATACTTAATGTAAACCAGAGTCTGTTTCTTTTGTCACAGAAATCCTGCAAGCCCATTTCACAGAGAGGAAAGAATAGCCAGGGGAGGGGGACATAAAAGTGACTCAGAAGTGCGGAGTCCACTCTAGGTACTCTGGGGAACTTGAGGAGACAGAGTTTTAAAGAAGGTGAGTCTGATCCTGCAGTGTTTGGAGAAGAAGCAGATTATGAAAACAGAAAAGCCCAAATAAAAGTGACTTAAGCCTTATTCTTCTGGGGCTGCTGGAGGTCAGTATGCAGGGAACTCCATGCAATTAAAGCAAGGCCCTGTCAACCTCTTTATTCTCGACTGTAGTCATCTAAATATAGAAAGATTCTGCTGTGAGGTTAATGGTAGCACGGTAAACATTAAAATCCTTTCACCAGATGGAGAACAGAATAATTTTATCATGTTCATATGCATCCAAGGAACATGATCCAGGATTTTGCTGTCATAGAAGTGGCCAAGAATGAGGTTTGTACTCTAACCTTGGACCAAGGCTCCAATTCTCTGGATTAGAAGAATGCAACATGGGATTGGTTATTTTGGTTTGTTTGGAGGCCTCTAATAGATCTCAGTTAGAGGACAGCCTTTATGTAGCTGAGGAAACTGCAAATATGGGGATTTTAATCGTGGGTTCAAGAGGTATAAGAGTCTGGTCTGAATTATTTCATTGTCTGTCACACTTCAAAGCTCCTGTGAAATCTCGTTTTTAAACCGGGTGTATCCAGCTTGAATATGTTGAATGTTTTTGTGAAGTATAGTAGTTTTTTAGCAGTAAATAACCCTAATTTATTATGATGCTTTTGTTCACTTCCTTGGGGTGTTTCTTTGTATTTTTGTACAAAAATAATGTAAAAAGACATCTGCTGCTTTTTAATACGTACTGAACTGTACTGGTTTTAAACAGAGGGTGTAGCCTGCCTGAACTAGCTCCACACTTTATGTTCAAGCCAAAATTAAAGCAGGAATACTGGAATACACTGACATGAAACTGTTACAAATAAAGTATAAGGAATTTGGTTGTGTCTGTTTTGGGAGTTTAATATGTTTTTACCCGAGGACAGTGATGAAGCAGAGCTCTCTGATTTTAGGATTTCTAAAAGAGGAAACTGTGCCAGAATTTTATATGCAGAAGACAGTCATTATTGATGCACTCCTGTCCGTCTTCATGGCAGTCGAAAATTTATCTCAGCACTTTACAAATCATACAAATAGAAGTATTTTCAAAGAATTAAAATAATTATAAATCTCTGAAAACGAATGAAAAATCACCTCACGTCCTGAAGTAATATGGGTAATGGGGTATGGAGCTTTAGGCCAGGATTAGCGCTGATAGCACAGACGCTCATCCGCAATCATGACCTGGAGGCTAAGACGCTACTTTGCTAGCTGGTTTTTAAACCTGACTCCTCCAATGTGATGTAGCCTAACCTTGGTGGCTGTCACTCAGGCTGGAGTGCCTCCTAGTTTATGAGAAAAGATAGGATGTCTGTGAGATTATGCCTCTTTTCCAATACGATATTAGCCCCTAATCTCTGCCTCTCTCGGCCCATTCTTGACTGGATGAGGTGTCGTTAAGGGCAGCGACAGATGGAGAGAGGGGTGTTTGAGGACTTTAGTGGGAGAAGGAGAAAATATGTCAATCACTGCAAGTGCTGAGAGGTTTTTCTTGAAGAGGATGAGAGGAGCAACAAGCTAACTTATGTCCTCTAAAACATCTCATCTTCTGAAGCGTTCAGACGTATTACCGTAGCAGAAAACATGATTAAAACGCAGTATGAGTTTATAGGAATGTTTCCTTATCACCTCACACAGACCTGCATAGAAGATTTGATTCACTTGCTCCACCTGTAATTCAAAAGCGCTGCTTTTCAGAAGCATTTTTCATCAGGTTGAATAACGAGGCAAATGTGCAGAAAATCAAGGACTCAGATAAGTGGATTAAAAATAGACTCTATTCTGCTCTTTGACTTTGACGCTGATATCTCAGTGCGTTATGTTTTTTCCCTTCGGCCATTATGGGAAGGATTATGCCACCAGTCAAGATCTGTTTGTTTACGCAAATCACCGCTTGATAGACCAGCTCTTTTCCTCCCAACTGGGCTGAATAAATCAAACAAGATGAGGGCGTCCTGGAGAGAAAACGTAGCCCGAGGCTCAATGTCCAACACGTGATACTAAGTGCTGTGCTTTATTTTGCTGCAGTAACTTCTGAATCAATGAACAGTTATGAGATGATGTAGGTTAATTTGAAAGTTGATGGGATGAGACAGATGTTCTGCATTTTTTGGTGGACTAGGCATCATGATTATTGCAAACACAGCTCTGATTCCTTCTATTTTAAGCCTTTTGATTCTTTGCCAAAAGGTTCCCTCTGTGCAATGCAAGAGGAATGCCAAAAAACTTCAACTTCCAGAACAGCCTTAATAATTTAGCAGTCCTCTACTGATCCAGGGAGCCATTTATGTGAGGACAAAAGGCACTTGTGCATCGCCCTGGTCGGATCAAAGGCAAATCATTAACTCTGTGCCTCCTGTTGTAGTCAGATCTGGTGTTTTATAGCGACTGGATTCCCTTTAAATGGTCTGGGAGTCAAAGAGAGTGCTGAGACAAAGCGATTCTTTTCCTCTGACAAGGGCACTGCTGAGCCCAAGTTTAAATTGAATGCCCCAAAATAACTGTTTAATTATGTGGTTATCAGAAAGGCTTTCATGTTTTCCAAATGAATCAGGCCCAGTGCGATAACTGATGCTTTCATCGATGCAAAAGTGGAATGGGAAAAGGAAAAGTATTCCTCATTGCTATCACAGACGTTAGGAGCACATTGGATTGAGCAGAGAGCAGAGACATTAATTATATTTCTTATAATTGGGCGGAATATCCCCAGATCACCCTGATCCCCGCCAGATAAATTTAATTAGTGGACAAAGTCGACGGCCAATGCAATGTCTATATCTTTATTAATCTGTTCTTCTGAGGCTGGTAGACAACTCAGTTTTTTAATCTTTTACGATCCATCTACCTACAGTGTGTTGAAACTGTCTCACTAAATCACCATTTGAGGGATTCCATCTGAATCCAAGCAAAGAAAAATGCATCATTTAAAAAAACATTTAAGATACTTCATATGATCATCAGTCAGACACAAAACCTGAAATCATTTCTAAATATTTAGAGCCACCGACTCCTACTTGAACATTGTGTGTGTGTGTGTGTGTTTGTGTGTGTGTGTGTGTGTGTGTGTGTGTGTGTGTGTGTGTGTGTGTGTGTGTGTGTGTGTGTGTGTGTGTGTGTGTGTCAGAGAAAATCTGTCATTGACCGAATGAGCGCGTGATTCATTTTCATGAAGGCTGCATATATCTAATGAATTACTGGCTCTGAATTTATAACAGATCACCTCCCCATGGTGAGGCAGAAGGCTGACTTTGAAGGCTTACACTCTAATTAAACTTGGATTGTGGGGGTCTTGCCTGTATGACAGAGCTGGATAGATTCATTGATTACTTGTGGATTTACAAAGCAAACAAAGCAAGATGTTACTGATAATGGAGGATATTTCTATTTCCAACAAGGTGTTAAGATTAAAAATAGCATCACATAGAATAGCATGAGAGGAGGGGAGCTTTGGGCGTAATGCCACAGCTAACAGATCACTATACTAATCATTACAGCTGCTTAATTATAGCAAAAATCATGAAAAAAAAAAAAAAACCTCCATCTTGGATTCAGCTGAACTAACCAGCTAACAGGCACAGAGAGCTGTAATCAGAGGATTCAGGCAGATGGTGGAAAGAAAAATGAATATTATTTTAATAGAAAAGATTAGGCTGGCAAAATGTGGTGACGGCTGCAGGGACTAACAGCAACAGTCAGGAAATGGCATTGCCATCCAGTGTTATCATTTTTTCTTTTACTGTGATACAGTGTACAATCAAACTTGGACGAGTAAAAAAAAGGAGATTTCAGGGAAAAAAGTTGATGATTTCCTCATATTTTCTCTTTTTAGTTCTGCTACTGCCATCAACAAGGTGTTGGCTGTTGCTGGTTAACGGTTTTTGTGCATAAAAATGTGAATGAATACGGGCAGAGCTTCTTTTCAACCCCTCAAACAAAATTTCCTCAAAGTGATGAACAAAACTTGTCGCTAAAGCAAAGAATCAGCAGTTTGAGCTCATCTACCGAGTTATTTCTTCCTCCAAAGCCTCAGAATCGCTCACACTGACCATATTTAACCAGAGTCTAATAACTGAGCAGCTCACAAGGCTGTCACTGAACTTAATTAAGGAAAGAAATGAGCCATTCCCTGAAACTAAGGCAACAAAAACACCAATCTCATGGTGTTTGGGGAGTGTGCTGATGTCATGTAAAAATTAAAACACTCTTTTATGATTTTCTGGAGTTTGCAAGTAGAAAATAGCCTCAAAGTTTTGTATTTTGCTCAAGCCATTACAAATTGGGAGACTGTCCACTCAATGAATACAAAGAGACATAAATCACCTCCTGATAAAAGCCTGAAGAAGTTCTCAGTGTTTCTGACGTTTCAGAAACACGCTGTGCTTGAAAATAGTCCAGAGGAGGATTATATCTCACATCTTCTCTCTGGGTGATCTGGCCCGACAGAAAAGGAGATCTCTACTTTACTTCCTAGCATGTCTCCTCTCACTCGGAGAACAGCAGCAAACCTGTCAGCTCCATTTGTCCCAGTCGGTTCTCGGTGGGATGTGCCGAGGACTGGAATGTCACCAGGAATAACAGTCACACTTGGAAGCAGCACCCTGCGAACGTTTTTACAAGTCTGCACCCTCTGCACAGCTCTGCACCTGCTGCACCAACACTATTTGCCCTGAGATGCTGACCTTGACATGCGAGCATCTTAAACTGCTCAGGATCAGCTTGATACTTGGAAAACCAGATCTGTGCTCGTCTGAAGTGGCATTAGGGAGTTAGAACCTCTGAAATTTGACCAGAGGCTCAAGGCAGCTGAACTTGTTGGTGAAAAAAGGAGGAAAGAGGTCAAACTCTCACTGAAAGAAATAATAATTTATGACATAAATAATAGGTCTGGAACTATGAAACTTGCTCGGTGTATGTGTCATGCCAAGACCTACAACAACTGCTATTGAACCCTTCTCTTATTCAAACAAGAAGTCTAGTCATTTCAGTTTAATGTTACAGGGTGCATGTGTGATCAAACTTATCCATTACTCTACCACAGTCATAGCGCCACCTTGCGGAAAGATGCCAGTAACTTATACGATATCTGATCTAAATTTTCCAAATTCCAAATTTTCCACCCTCTACTCAGATCAGAGCAGCGAGCGGGGATGAGGGTTGGGTGGGGGGTTTAATTCATCGTCTGTGTTATCACAGATGACAACTTGATGACTACTACTACTTGGTGGGTACTTAGCATGCGCTAGTGACAGAGTTCAGTTTGGAGAGGCAGAATAGTGTTTTTTTACATACATATTTTATAGTTGGGGAGATTTACAGGAGAATACTGTTATGGGAAGATGGCGGGAAAGAGGGGTAAAATACGGTAGTTTCCCAGCCAAAACAGGATACCTGACAACTATGCCTATTGGACACAAACATTACTTACTCTGCACCATCACATAAGCCTTTAATCTTTATATTTTTATTAATATACAGCTGTGAAGATTCCCTTGGACTATGACGTCCAAAGTTAAAGCCTCACAGCTGGTAAGAGTCATTGCTAAACCATTATGTTATATGTACTCTGTATCGAGCATACTAACTGGACACATCGTCATACTTTTGGTTCATAGTGAAAACACATTCTGGAAGTTATCCCAAGATTCAGTGTGGTAAAAGGTGCAAGGGCCAAATCATCGCCACTTGAGATTTTGATTTGACTCTTCAACGCCTTTCCATAGACCAGTATATATGGTTGCTGAGGTTACATCAATGTTTTATACAGTCTTTAGCACAAACTCATAGTTTTTTCAAAGACCATGATACTGTAAGTGTCCATTCCCCAGGTCATCAAAATAATTCAGATTTATTCCTCAAGACTTCACCAGCATCATCTTAAGACGCTGATTTTGACAGTAAATTTGACCATTTTTGGACATCAGAACTTTCAGATTTATAAACTTCAGCAGAGAAAAGTTTTCAGGGACAAAAGCACATATTTCTGTACTTTATTCAATGTTACACTCTTACTCACTCACTTGAATTATTTAACCAATCTGAGGGTGAAACGGGAGTGAAATTATCTCCCTGTTCTGTTTGGTCCTGACTGACTTCTTTATAACCCATCACGACTCTGTTATTTTCTCTCTTTGCCAACCCTGTCTCGCCCTGAAGATGTTTTCATTCCATTTCTATTCCATTTTAATACAAAGTCATTATTTTTCATGTTGAACACAATGAAGCTCGGAGCAAAGAACAATATGCAGAGTTATAAATGTTTAAGTAAGATTTTCAGGACTCCTTCATTAAGCTGAACTAATCAAGCTCCAATTTGTGAAAACAAGCCTTTGAATGGCTGATTTTCTGAACTGAAAAACAGACTGGATTGGCATTGTGATGGAGTTAAATGTAAAGGCTGTTTTACTGTCTGTGACACTGTGTGTCCAGGTTACATTAAAACCTTACCCACAGTGGCTATAACTGCACTAATGGCTCGTTGTTATGTGCTGGGAGTGTCTTAAAATTGGGGGACGCTGGTATTGATCAGCAGCCCTCTCAACCTCACAGATATAATAAAGTCATTTTACTGCTAAAAGGCAGTAAAAATTACATTACGCAGGAGAAAAATGACTCTGGCCAGTGTGAATTTTTCTACGCTCATCAGAAAGGTAAAGCAAAGCTAACTGGTTTTCTTATTTATGACTTATTATTGAATCAGGAATAATAACAGAACCAGGCTAAAGTGCTAAGGCTACTTAACTGTATCTTAAGAGGTTTAGTGTCATAAATTATTAACGCAGGCTGTTTGAAATGTCCCCTTTCACTGATTGATAAAGGAAAAAGAAGCACAAAAAAAAAAAACACTTCAGACTTGAAGCTACTCTCTGATGCAACTTCACCACCAAGTTTTCACAGTGAACTGATGCAAAGAAAGTCTGTCTTTCACCTTGAGGGTGTCAGAGTTTTGCAATGGCCTGTCATTGCGTGACATTGCAAGTCAACGATTGACAGCAGAGGTGAGAGGAAGGCAGAGGGAGGGAGGTAATGCAGCGAGCCAATTAATTCCTCCACTTCCATCTGCGATTGCATTGCGACATCAACACCACCACACTTTGCAACCCTCACCCCTGCATCAGTTATGTAAATGGCGGCAATTCCACGTGAGTGACGGACCGTCTTCCTTAAATGAGGATGGGCAAGAAGCGAAAATGAAAAATGAAGAAGGAGGCCTAGATGTGGGAGGCACTCAGGCTTGAAATGATTTAATTTAAGTGATGAGGAGTTGACTTTGATAAGTTTGCATTTTAATAATGAATACTGTGACCGCTTCAGGGGTCCAGTTACAAAAGGAAGTAGTGTGCAACGATATAAATTGAGGCTAACATTTCTGACAGTCACTGTAAGACAACACTGAGGCTGAAACTCATCAACGGAGCGTCCTCTGTGTGCATGTGTGTGTGCGTATCTACATTAAATAAGACGCTCCTGGGAGTTTTTCGACTCTGGAGTTAAATTTGCAGCCAGGGGGGAAAAGCTTCAGCCTATTACACAGGACTTTTTTTCAGATTTTTCCAATATGCCATCTCTGGGGTGTGTATGCATATTTAATGAGGCCTTTGCCTCAGTGCGTTTTTAGATTGAGAAGGATTTCAGCATGCTGTCATTATGAGTGATTGTGCTTCCTCACGGCACATTCCAGTTGGACGTGGCAATAACTATCTGCATTTTCCCTAAAGCACCGCTAATCTTATTATCATTATGACTTTTTCAGTCGCTATATATTCAGTACCTGACTCATATCAGTCATGTTGGAACTCTCTAGACCTCAAACACCATCACAGAGAGAGAGAGAGAGAGAGGATTATTGTACACTGAACAAATATGTTAGATGGTGTGAATAACAGGTACTAATGTGTGTCAAAGGTACAAACATGTTTAAAGATGAGATAGTTCCCCTGAAAATATCCTCTACATGTGCTTTATCAGAGTTAAACATTAGCAGGGGATTTGCTTTTAGAAGAAAGTAAAACTTGTGCGTAAATCAGGTCAAGTTGGCTTTTGGTGAACTCTAAGATTTTCATTGTTTTTACTGTGACTTTTCAGCCTCAGCTGATGTTTGCATCTCCTATGCTGTTCAATCTATTAATTCAACATGCTAACAGCAACTACTTTAGAAATTTATTACACAGAATATAGTTTTTTCTCCCCCTGCTTGCGATGTTGACATGTAGTTTCTGTAAGACTGGTTTGTGCTCAAGTCCTCTTTTTTCTGTGCAGCTCCATTTTTAAAAACTTATTATTATCCAAATCTGAGAAAAAGTCAGTTTTAGTTGTTGGCAAAAACACAAATGAAAAAATTTGATTTCTACAACTTTTCATGTTGAACCGGGTTAAAGCTGAGTTTCTCTTCTTTATCCAACTTCATCCTTGGGCATAATTTTAAAATCTTGCTGTTCAACACTGGAAAACATAACATACTGGTATAAAGTTTTAGAATTTTCACGACAACTAGTCCCCCATCATACTGTTGTATTTGCATAATGACTTTTATGACTATATGTTTGTTTGCATTGGACGTTACCACAAAAACAAACTAAGTGATGGGACTGAAAATAAATCAGATGATGTTGTAAATGTAAAAACTAAAGTATGATTATTATTTTTATTCATCTCCTTCATATTCTTCCTTATTTTATGTCCATCCCTCAGTGTGAGGTTCCTCTTCGCTGCAGGCCAAATCATCAGCAGTTAAAGTTGAACGTTGGCTCATATCTTTTTCATGTCCAGAGACGTCCCTGCTTTGTGAGGATCTAATATATCGTAATGAGCGGGCCGGCCCTCCCTCAGTAATGAATGGCTCAGAGGAATGGGTCATCTCTGAATGTCGGTAAGATTTACTGACGTCCATTTCATACAGAGCTAGAGGAGGACTGGGGAGGCTTTCACCCTCTCTCTCTCTCTCTCTCTCTCTCTCTCTCTCTCTCTCTCTCTCTCTCTCTCTCACTCTCGGTCTGTCTGTCTATTATGAGTTTGTTCAATGTCGGACATTATGAGGTTTCATAAAATTCAATTCCCTTTGGCCAAGACTGAAGAAAGGATTTCTATTCATGTGCTGAAATATGATATTCAGTAAAATATAATAACCTCGACTGCCCCAGTGTCCTGAAACACACACTGAAAATGTCACTCACAGAATCTCTGTAAATTTGTCCCTTTTTCTCTCTTTTGACACCTTTTAAAAACTTTTTTCTCCACTTCTTTTTCTGTCTCTTTATCTGTAACTTCATTGTGTTTTTCTCTTTTTCAGTCATTCTAACTATTAGTTTCTTCCTTTTCTTTTACCCAGTTTCTCTCTTCAGTCGTTCTGCTTTCTTTTCTTTTTCTTTTCTTTCTATTTTGTTTCATTTCTCTTTTTCAATTGTCTATTTCATGTCATTTCTTCAGTCCTACTTCCTTCTATGTTTTGTTAATTCATTTTTTTTGTTTTAGTTAGTTTTTTTAACTTCATTTTACCCTTTCTTTTGCCTTTCATTTTATCTTTTGTTTTCTCCCTTTCATTTTATCTCTTTACTTATTTCGTTACTTACCTGTGTCTCCTTTGCTTGAACTTTTTGTGTATTTTATTCAGTTATTTCTCTTAGTATTCCTCTTTTACACTTTTTCATACATCTTTTTTATTTTCATTCTTTTGTTTTATCTTTTTTTTATTTCTCCTATTTTTTGTCATTTGTCCATCACTGCCTTTGTATTTTGTCTTGTTTTTTTCTTCTCCCTCAGTTTAATTAAATTCATTTTAATTTACACTATTTCTTTCATCATTTCCCTCCTATTATTTCCTTTTTTCTTTATTCATTTTCATCTTCCTCTGAGTCTGTCTGTCTTTGAAAGAACAGTTATTATGGTTGACAGTTGCACTATGTACTGTCTTTACTGAAAACTCTGACACCTTTCCTGAGTTAAATAACCATCTCTCTATTCTTGTCTCTTTTTTCACTCCTTTTTCTGCTTTCTCTCACAAAAGCCAGTTACATAAAGCTGCTTGTTGTTGGACATGCTCCTTCGAATCCAAACAGTGTGTTTCTCACACAACACACACATTACTGAGTGAGAAAAACTGATCGTCTATTTCTTTTTGGTCATTTCTCTTCATATTCAATTTCTCCCTGTTCTTTTCTTCAATGTCAAATAAGTAAAAGTATCTTCTTCAGGAGCCCTTGGACAAGGTTAAGCTCCACTGTGGAATAAAAACAGAGCTAAAAGTCAAACGAAGAGAAGAAACCCAGTAGACCCTTACAGATGAGGTTTGGAAAACTAGAACTAGTGACTCCTGACAGTTTTTGAGAAAAACTCACGGACACTGCTTAAATGAAAATACAGAGATAAATTCTGCTTTTTATGAGAGACACCCTCTCATTTTATTTCAGATATTTTTCTGCCTTTATGTCTCCATCTGTTATATTTTTTCTTGCAGAGTCTGCACTTGGCAGACTGATAAATAACAAGCACGTGCGCGTGCGCGCGCACACACACACACACACACACACACACACAAGTATTCTGAACAAGCAGCACAATTTACTATGTTAATGGACTTAAATGCCATGGTGTCCTTTAAAATGTCAGTGCACTCGATTGTAACATAGAGGAAGTGCAACCAGGTGGAGAACGGATCCATATAACTCCAGTTCAAGCTGGATTTCAACACACAAACTGTTCGAACTGCAACGAACCAGACAGTTCACTTTCATACTGCTCGACTGTTTTTGTTTCCTTGTTATGATTATGAAACTAAACTAATTCAGGCGTTAAAACTCCAGCTCAAACAAAATCAGATTCCCCTCCTCTGCCGCTGGAGCAGAAAATTTCTCTTCACAGCGTGACACAAAAACGTCCTCTCTTCTGTTTAACTAATGCTGATTGAATATCAACATCTTACACAGATCAAATTGTGTTTTTGTTTGTGTCTTGCAATCATTGTTTGTTGTACACAGACTTACACATTCACATCAGTGCTATCTAAAGCACTGAGGTGGTGCTGACAGAGGCACACGTTGACTCAGAGGTCATTTACTTCATTTACACCTTACATACCTGCCTGAGTCTTACAGCTTAAACACAGCATAATCCTCTTAAAATGTGATTAATGGCATACTTTAATTGGTGCAAAACTGAAGTGTGTTGATATATTTTTTTATTTTTAGTCTATTAATTGTAGTAATAATAATTTTATTAGGATAAAACCTTTGAAAAACAAGTCTCACAGTGCCTAAATATGTACCACTAAACCAGGTCAATGAAAATTCAAACAAATAACTACATACAACAGATAAAATATTAGGAAAGATACGATACTAGAATAATTCTATAAAGACAAGGAGGACAAATTATCAGTGAAGCTCAAACTGGAAGCAGGAAGAATGATGACACTAACTTACGATACACTAACAGACCATGAAAACTTTTAGATATCCAATTTTTAATTTCAGACAAACATCACATAATGCAAGGAACATCAGTGGGGCCGAGTTTTAAGGAGACATAGAGCTGAGTGTCATCTGCATAACAGTGAAAGTCTATATCATGCCGAACTTTTCCCAGGAGAAGCCTATGAACAGTGAATAAGAGAGGATCCAAGCTAGACCCCTGCAGACCTTTTTAAAAGAACTTGAGTAAGATAATATGGTTGTTGTAGCTATGATGTAATCCATAGATTTTGTTTGATAGGCTTGAATGTGTGTGAATTAAATCTTTCACTCACTTTGGATTGCAGGGACCCTCCTATTTTAACAGTACGGGTGGTGGATTGCCGGACATGCAACAGATTCTAAAGTTAACCTGAACTTTCATTTAGTTGTTTTCAGTAATACTTGTATTGCTTGTCTTAGCTTTGCCTTGATGCACTTGGTTAACCTCCCCCTGACACTCCATTAATTGTAACTGACAGATTTATACAGTAGGTGTACTTTCCAATGAAACATAATGTCATTTAATTTTTGTTTAGATTAATGTAAGGTGGTTCTTGATGTATGCAACAACATACTCAAATACCAGTCTACTGACCTCTAACAGTCACCATACTTGATCCCCTGTTTTTCAAACTGTTGTTTTGGCCAAAAGATACTCCTGGGTTATAAGAGCATATTGCACATGAAAATTGGTGTTCAGAGCACTGCACAAGAAAGGACAGTTTTCCTCACTGAGGTGGACCACAGGCTGAGATCTATGAGGGGAAATTTCACAGCAGCTTTGAGCTGATGTTTGAGGGAAAGGGTTAACTCCCAGCTCTTTGCTTTCATCTTCAAAAATGCTGCTGCTGCTGCTTCTGCTGCTGCTCAGCTCTGGAGGATTTATCAAGTTGAACCACCCCCTGGCGCAATGTGTGCCAGCCCTCATATGTACTGTATGTGTTCGCCTATATATGTGCATGGCTACTTATCCATGTGTGTGTCCATGTCTGCCCATCTGTGGAATTTGTGCACATTGTGTTGTGTGTGTTCCTGTATGGGACCAAATATGCTCAGAGTTTAGAGAGTGAAGGACCAGGATACTGTAACGGTTAACTTAACTTTAATTTAAATAAATAGTGGCAGGCTCATGTATGTGTACTTGTACAGAGGTCTGAAGAGTAAAAGTGTGCCGCAAAGACTCCAAAACTTAAAAAAAAAATCATATAAGATGTTTCTCCCTGTGACAAAGTGTCTCCATTACTTTTTAGTCAATTATTTTTGTTTCACTGTAACATTTATAGCTCACTTCTTCAAAATGTCTTGCAGAACAAATTAAAGGTTGCCCGTGTCTTTATGATGGATTCCAACTGTTTCTTAAGACTCACATTTATCAGAGCTGTTTCTGTCACGCTTTCACCTCGGCTGTTATTTATATTCTTTGTGTTTATGTCATTGCTATTTATGGTTTTTGTAGGTTACAGCCAGGTCTTTATTTGTTTTCATGCTGCCTGCCTGCCTGACAAGGAGAATAAAACAGTGAATGAAACAACAAAGACTGTACCAAGACTTCTTTGATTTCATGCGCTGCTTCTATTTAGAGTCACAAACGCTCGTCCCTTAGAGGTTTTGGATGAGACAGCCATTGAAAAAAAGTTCTCATTACAAGACTTTGAATGTGTATGTGTACATAGAAGGATTCCTTCTCTGATTCAAACCCTCTCCCCTGTAGTTCATGAGAACAAAAAGAAATGGATTGGCTGTATTTCAAAGAGTCTCAGAGCTCTGAATGCACAAAAAAACCCTGCTGATTGTATGCAGTCATTGTTTCATCATGTTACATAAAGTATCTGGACTATTAATAGTCAGCTCTTAGATAATTTCTGGGTCCATCGATTAGATTCTGCATGAAAAAAGGCAGTGTGACAGCTCTTTAAAGTGAAGCCAAATTATTTGGAGCAGCTAAGGTCTTAAAGTGGTCTATATGAACAGATGGGATATGAGTTACACTTTGAAATTAAAATACATGCTTAAGAAAATATTCTCAAACATGCTGTCCATGGGGTGTGAACTGTAAAGTGTGAACGAAAAAGTCTCTATAGAGAAAGGCATGTTCAACTTTTGTTCAAAGAAAATTGCCAAGATGACACAGTCAAAGGTAAAACTTCCTTCGCCAAGTCTGGATTTCACTTTTGCAACATGTTATTTTGAAATGTCAAAGTCAGCTTTCGAAGCCAGAAATGCAGTAAAAACAGAGTCATTGGCATTTATCAATAACACCTTTAAACCCACCTGCTCATGTATAATGGTATTCTTCTTCAGGGTCACAGTATTAGGTTTTTTATTTTCTAACTTGAATGTGCCACAGCTGTGTCAGGCAGATTTTTGACTGGTGCGTATGATGATAAAAAATAGTTAAATCCTCTAGTTTCTTTTAGATATAGGCAGAAGAAGAACTTTACATCGTGTCCCTCTCTAGTATTAAGTTCAGCAGTACATGTTAGCAGTACAACAAAATATTGACAACTTTGGTGTTGCTAATGGAGCAGCAGAAGTGATCAGCCTTGCTAGCCACTGCAGGTTGCCTTTGAAAATTTAACAGCATTGTTTAATTTTCAGTATAAATCATCTAAAAAAAGAGAGCCTTGTTTGACTGATTCTCTTTGAATCATTATGTCTTTGGGAGAAACTCAGTGCTGTTGCTTCATTAAAGCAAGACTTTGCATGTTTTTAAAGAAGAAAGTGACCTGTTTGTCTTCTTACAGACTTTCATTTCCTCTCTGGCAATTGATCATGCTCAATCGCCATAACACACTCATTATTTTCATTTGCCTTAAACGTATCTTTCCTGGTCTGACCAGAGGCCTCATGGGATCCATCTTTTTCATAATATTTTGAGCCATTATATCATATCACAGCTTCGCTGATATTTTACCAAAATAAAGGTTATCTGTTATATATTACAGTATACCAGCAGTGACGATAACTCTCTTTTAAAAAACAAATAAAAATATTGATATAAGCAAGCAATAGTGAAACTGTGTAACTTACTGGGGTGGTAGTGACTCTCTACTTGAGTGAATCAGTCTTCTCACAGCATGAATACATATCATCTAGCAGACTGTAAAATAGGTTTTTTCTAAAACTTCATTTGGGACTTGTTGGTATCTGCTGTTGAAGATTATTTTTATTTGTTTTGGCCATGAAAGAGATTTTGCAAACCTTCTGAACTCCACGAGACTTTTGTCTACACTTTTTTTTAAACTACACAACTTTTTCAAAACCCAACAGACAAGTTTAAAATTTCTTGCCTGAAGCTACAAACATCTTTCTTTTGCTTTAATAAAAAAATAAACTTGTTTGTCAGAGGTCTTAGCCCCAACAACAAATAAAAAGTCTTATTAGTCCTCTCTTTTTTGCAGCAGCTGCAATAAGCTGTCTGTCAGAATTCCTAGTCATATCGTGACCTCTGACATCATATCTGGTCCTCAGCATGAAGGAAAACGCTAGAAATGCTTAAGTTTTCCTAAAGTTGGGTGACTGAAGAGGCCATCGCAGGCCCTACAATGAAAAATATGATATTTCACAGACAAAAGCAAAGATGAAATCATGAAAATGCTTCTCAAGTACTTTCCAGCTTATTTCATAGTTTGTATGAATGAACTTTCTTTAAGTAGTCGCAATAAATTCACATTTTTCTGGGCATTTCCTTCATGTTCTTTGTGATATAACTGCAGCATAAACACATTTTCCCATCACAAACTCCATAATCATGGTTTTCATTACACTTCCTAACACAAAGCATCATGCTGTGACAGTGTTATCGGGTTTTACTCACAAGACGCTAGTTTGATTAAAATGGATTTGCTGTGCAGAAATCAATGCCAAACATAAATCCACGCTACAAATTAGCACCTCTGTTTCAACTCCAATTTCCATAAGATATAAAAAGCATCCTGCTGTAAGACACACTGGAACAGTGCATCAGGGGCTGACTCAGTGACACTGGTTTGAATCGAATGGATTGGCTGTGTGTGAATCAATATCAAATGTGAATCTGTTTCTGTGATAAGTCTGATTCCTGCCTGGGGAGTCGACATCATCTCCTTCTCTCCTGTCAGCATGCCTCGGCGGCTGCATCCTGTGTCCTCTGAGTAATATGACACAGGCACAGAGAGGGCGAGTTAACACACACTGAACAGATACTGAGAGGAGGAAGGGCAGAGATACTGATGTGAGGAGAGGGAGAGATACTCGGCGATGAAGAGAGCAGAAGCACAGACAGAGATATATATAACGGCAGACAAACCCCTCGTCCGTCACTAAATCATGTTTGTCATTCCTGTGGAGTGAAAGGGAGAGTGATGCTTCGTCTCAGGGGGAGCTCCGACTGCTGCTCCTTGATGTCTCTCAGCCTCTGTATTCATTTATTCCCACACACAGAACATTTCAAGTCTGCATTTGTGAGTATTTGTGGACGGTATAAAAAAATACGGCAACAGATGAAATTCAAACCCAAGACAAATGATTCGCACACAGGGGGCCACACAGAAACACCAAAGCCTTCTTAATTTATGTTTTCAACAACATGGCAGCAATATGCTTGAATCAAGACTGATTGTGTCAGGGGCATGAGCTGTCTGACAATCAATAAAATAACCTTTATTTAAAGGGAAAACAAATTCAAGCTGTTAATTTGTGAATGGGCTTGTAGGTTGCAATAATAAATAACCAGCCTGTCACTTCAAGTAAAAAATTACTGTGTGATACTATTCATGTGCAGTCTACATGACTGTAAAATGAAAAAATGCACGATACATTTGGTCATCTGAGGATGGCTCTAAAAGCCAAGGAAGCCCCATCAACACCCCTGTTAAAACAGCAATCTCATAGCAACATTTAACACGTTTACAATCTGGTTTAAAAGAACTGGGCTTGGGCTGAATAGCTATTTTCTATGATCACACACACATTGACAGCGGTTAGATTTTTATTGTAACTCACCTGTTTTGCAAATATGAAGACTAAGAGTTAAGCGATAGATTGACAGATTTCTGAGCTTTTTGTTACAGAAATTCACCTTGAGAATTGAAGCATATGTCTTCTTTTTACTTATTTTGTGTGTGACAAAAGTTCAGTATACAGTTTACACAAAAACTAGGCTTTTATTTTTATACAGAGTGAAATATTTTTTAATCATCTGTTTTGGATGAAAGTTCAGCATGCAGAGTTTGGTGCAGATCCAAGCCATCAATCCCACCATTTCCTTTTAGTTCCAAAAACCAGGTTCAGCCAAAATAGCTCCACCTACTCTCTACCTGTCATTCTGGGTACACTCAGTTTCTATTTCAACTCAGAAGGAAGATTATCTGGCATGTTTACGACCAGTCTGATCCTCTGTACTCATATGAACCTCACTCTGTCAGACTTAGTTACAGCTCCAGCCCACACATCACTGACTTGGTAAGTACAGTGTACATGTATAACTATAATTGTATATAACTGAAACTTTGCTCTTGTTTAGTGTTAAACAAGTCAGAAAATACTTGTTTTTCCTCATCTGATTGCCTCTGGAGGATAAAATCCTTCAGCCTATCCTGAAATAACCATGGCAAAATCTGACAAGGCTCTAAATCATTTAATCAATAAATCAGTTATCAATCCACCCATTCCTCCCTCTTCATGGAGCCTACATCTTTTCTGAACCAGCTCCTCTGTTCACCCAATTCAAACTGAATAGTCTGTCAAACCACCAAATCCTCCTCCTGCTCTCTAGATGTCTTAACCACTTAAATTTATAATCTGTTTTACATATCATTAAACCAGATTTTCTTTTTATTAGGTTCATTTCTCTACTGGTGCTTCAACATCCAGTCTTAAAGCTGCAGTAGCCCGGCCTGTGCTGACCCCATCGTCAGTGGTGTTAAAACATATTCAATACTAAATTGATCATGTACTTTAAAATCTGTAGTGTAAAATCAACTGTCATCACCTTTTTTTGTCATCTAAAAGGTAAAATACACAGAGAGTTCTTTTGGTCACTGTTCAGAGTGGCATCAACGTTTGGAAAACTGTACCTCTAACAGCGTCAGATTGGAAGGACATCATCCACCCATGCCCATGACACTTGTGGTGTCCCCCAAGGTCCAATTCAAGGTCCCCTTGTGTTTTTTAGTCTATTTCGCATACATTTAAGAAACACTGTATTGATAGCTATATGTTTATCCCAAATCTTGGTAAAATGGTAATTACAGCCTCACTCATTGGCCTTTTCTTTAACCTCAAAAGTTTGATCTCACAGAACTTTTTGAATTACAGAAATATGTCAAAGTTTTCCAGCCACCTCTACTGACTCCTCCACAATGCCATCTTATTTATCCTGTACAAAGAGTCGGCCCAAACTCGTATATTTCTCAAAGATGCTATTGAACAGCCAAGTATGCAGGGTGGTACGTTCACACTTCATTCAGCTGAGGGAAATATCTAAAATTAAATCACTTTAAAGAGCTGCAGATCTGAAGAAAGTAACCCGTTCCTTTATTTCTCTGAACTGGCCTCTGCCATAAGTCAATCGCTCGCCTCTGGCTCATCCAAATCGTTAGACTTTAAGAAACTCTAGGAAATCATATCACATCAGTGTCTTTTCTGCAGCTTTGCTCTGACTCCCTGTGAGTTTTAGACTTGGTCTACACATTTTGCTTTAAGGGTTTGCTTGTTTTGGCACCTACAACAGTTATTGTTAATATGCTAATTCCTATAAGCTCTCTTTATGAGCCTCAAATCCTCACACAGAGACCTTTTTGTTGGTCAATATACATACTGTGTTACTTGAGCTGAAAGGAAGATCCAGATCTGAGTGACATGGACTGACTAGTCTCAGATGTCGAAGGACAAAAGCCTTTTTTTCACGCTCACACAGAACTCCTGAACACTTCCTGATGTTCTACATAGGCGGAGTATATCTGTGGACATCTTATCTGGACTTTTTCCTGATGAAAAATAGCAGTAATACTGAGAATAATGAAGTGAATTTATATAGTCCCTTTCCAGGGAATCTATGTCCGCTCTCTAAAAGAGCAACAATAAACTAACCTGATGCTCCTTTTTCAGGCTTTGTTTGATTTCATTCAGTTTTGTTGTGAAGTGTTGCTTCTGTTCTGTCCACCTCGCTGTTATTATCCCACAGGGGCTGTCAGCGTACAAGCCCCTCCAAACCCTTTCCCTCTCATCCTCGTTAAACCAGCATCTGCTGAGGTAAGAGAACTGAAACCCCCTACCACACACACACACACACACACACACACACACACACACACACACACACACGATCCCCCCTCCTTTGCACTGCATTCTCTTGAGCCTGCCATCTGCCACGGTGTTGGACAAGACCCCACTAATACAGCAGCCACACACACACACAGACACACACACACACACACACACTCGCTCGTGCACAGGCTTACACCCTCATTTCAAACCCTTGCAAATGCTGGAAAACAGTTCCAGTACAGATGCACATGAATGCACAGAGCACACTCACACAGATACACAAGCCAAAGTTAGCCAGGCTGCATATTTAATGAGGAGCCCCCCTGTGTGACAAAACAGCTTGCAGGGTCATAATGGTTTTGAGCGGAGCCCCACCCCACTGAATGGAGCCAGTGCACTCCTCCCCTCTTCTGTGAGGCAGGGAGGACGGAGAGGGGAGGACAGGGAGAGAACAACAAACTCTAATTACTCCTCTGTGGCTCCTGGGCCCCTCCAGCATTTTTATTTCAGGAGTTGAGAGACAGAGAAGGAGGAAAGGAGAGAGGAGAGACGAGGACACTGCAAACAGAAGAAAGACCCCTGCTGATCGAGCATGAAACATCTCCCTGTGGCTCCCCCTCAGCTTCTCTCCTCTCCCTCTCTGCTTGTCGTACATAATGCCCCCTCACTTTTCACAGCAATTGTTCATCACCCCTCAGTCATCCACAGTGAATAATGATGTTTCCTCTTGGAGAGAAAGAGGCAAAAGGAGCGAGCCTGAGGCCATGCATTCTGATGGACTAAGCATTCCCCAGTCTCGCTCTGGCTCGGGCAGAATCAACAGTGCAGCACAGAAGGAGGGGACAGGAGGGGAGGGAAGAGGAGAGGAGAGGAGAGGAGGGAGGATGCAAGCACAAGCCGCATCCTCTTGCATCCATATTCTCTGGGTGTTGTATTTGTTTGTTGTGTTGCGCTCATTATTTACAATCTGTATCACCCCAAAGTCTCTCTTCATTTCACCCGGCTGAAAATAAACACAAATGCAGGATGAGAGGGAGGAGCAGTGGACGCCGGAGAAGACGCTCTTGTCTCCTCTTACAAACAGACTCGGGCAAATTAGCAACATTACGTCTGCTCTCCGGGGATGTTCGCTCTCGCCTCCCCCCTTAATGTGGAGCCATCATTGTCACTGTCACCCAGGATGGAGCCTGTGGAGGGCCGAAGCCACTTGAGGAGAGGTTCCTTCTTAGAAAAAGTGAAGCTAAAGAGACAGCTGGGCCTGGATCCAGAGTCTCCGCTGCTCAGTTGGTTTCAGTCAGCCATCATGCTTTCAGGCTTGAGGGCTCAATTGCTTTGTTTCTAATTTTCCTGGAATAGATTTGGATCTTTGGTTGGCACCAGCCTTTGGGTGATTGACAGGAACATTAAAGCAGAGAATATTTGGTTAGATTGCTTCACTTGTGGTGCAATAAAAAAATGTCATATTTGGTTGTATTTTGCGATAAAATCTTTTTTTTTTTTTTTTCATATTTCACAAGCTAATAAAATCCCTAATAACCAGGCCATGTGCAGCATTACGGTCCCGCTGTAATAGAACCCATTAAAGACACATTATCTGGTTCAGTGTGTCTTTCCGCTGCCTGTGCTGATGTAGGGTGAAATGGGCCGTTCTAATCCTCATTAACATAGCTAATTTCACATAAGAGAAAGTTGATAGTGGGTGTCAGAACCATTCAAAGGTCACCCAAGCAAGCTAGAGCATTTGACATGCAAGAATACAAACGCATATGTGCATGTCTTCAAGGGTGCCGGTGGAAAATGTTCAGACTGTGTGAACATTTGTTTGCTGTTTTGTTTCATTTAGTGTACGCCTCTTTCAAAGGCAGAGCGGTGTCATCGCTGCTGTTGTGCGATGTTTGACAAATAGGTGCAGCAGGCAGAGCGGTGCATGCATAAAAGAAGGGGTGAAGTTGTCATAACCAGCAGATGAAAGTCAAGCAGCAAAAATGTGATAAAAATGCAGTGATTAGAAAAAGGAATGGGCAGCAGATAGATGCCTTTCCCTCTCCTCCTCCTCTCCTCCTCTTTGACAGGCTACAGCTAACCTTTGGTCGCAGTGAGGGGACAAACATGTGACATGTTGCTCCTTCAGCAGTGTCACAGACGGAAGAGAGGGGACAAGACTGACATGAGAGGCATGACGATGCTGCCACATGACCTCGAGAGCGGACACTCAACTCAGCGTCACACTCCTCAGGCCAGCTGTGTTTGGCTGCCATGCACAGAGAAATTTTGAGCATTCATGTCTGGTGATAAATCAAAACCAAAGACCATATTTAAAGCATTTCAAGGGCCTTGACTTGTCTTTCAAAAGACATACAACTTTAGCTTTGATATCTGAAAGGCTGCAGTTTAAGAGAGTAGCAGGTTCTTACAGCAAGTTAAATAAAGTCAGTAAAATGCAGATGCCACAAGATGAAGAAATTCAACTTTTTAACAAAGTTTGCCTCAGCCATGACATTATCAACCTCCTCTTTTAAGCTTAGATTTACTTTATCAACTTGTTTGTATGAAATGAATCCACATTTTTCTTATTCAGCATCTCTCAACCTGGGCTAAAATCTTCAAAAACCGACTGCTTTGTATACAAATGCATAAAGTTTACCAGCAGATCAGTTAGGGGGCTCAGGCATCAGTAAATTCAGAAAAATGTTGGTTTCCTTCCCAACAATCGCTCCACAACAACCTGACAGATGTTTTGTAAGTGCAGAAACTTGCTGGAAAAGACAGCAAACTTTACAATGTTTGAAAACTCACTGAAGCAGGAACACAGCTAACACGTTTGTAACAGCAGGAACCAAAATAAGAGGTATTCATTGTTCTTCAGCCGTGATAAGAGAACACAGGACTCACTCGATCACCCTCCTGCGGGCGGTGATGCTTGCCACGATGACGCTCTCCGGTCTCGGGGTTGCCACAGCCTTGAAAGTCCCCTTCCAAAACTTCTCAAAGAGCAGCTTCTCCTCCAGCTGCTGCAGCCCGGCGGTGCTGCCCTTCGATCCCAGGACTGGAGGGGGGCCACAGGGGCCAAGCTGGAGGGAACACGGCGGCTGCATCTGCGGGTCTCCTGATAGAGGAGTCTCTCATAGAAACACAAAGACTCTCAGGCAGGAGCTGTCCAAGTACTGAATCAAACACGAGCGTAAAGCGCAGCAAGTGTTCTGCAGTGTCCTCTCCTCTCACAGCAGCAGCAGGTCAATGTGTCAGCGCGTCTGTCTGCCCCCGCGCTCTTCAGCAGGAGCGTGGGGAGAGGGACAAAAGCTGACCCTCTCCAACTGGAGGCTGGGTATTGTTCTCTCAGATGAAGGAAGGAGGGGTGGGGGAGATTTTGTTTCTTTCCTCCGCCTCTCCTCTTCTGTCACATCTGCTGCTTTTTGGAGCCAGGTCCGGGTTCAGGGCTGCGAGTCAGAGCGCTCCTTTTCTTCCCTCGCGCTTCACGCTTGCCTGTTGGTCGCTTCACACAGAATAAAGCATCCCTCACAGGAGACGGAGCATGTTTCAGTCCTGAGGAGTGAGAGACCAAGTGGTGTCTCACTCCACTTGGTGCGATGGTGTTTTGGTGGATGATTGGATACCCACACACACACACCGGCTCAGGGCAAGTGTTGCAGCAGCGTGTCTGAGGGCAGGCGTAAGTGTGTGTTCAAGAGTGAGCGGGTGACAAGCGAGTGAGGAGCTCAGCTGAGAGCGGCTTGTTTTGTGTCTCTCAGCTTGTGACGTCAAAACTGGGGGCTGGACGGAGGGGAGAGGGACACCTCCTGTCAATCCTCTCTCTCTCTCTCTCTCTCTCTCTCTCTCTCTCTCTCTCTCTCTGACTGTGTCACACTTTTATCCTCCTGCTCTACCCTTGATTGAGTTAACTGCTCTTCTTGTCATGTTGAAGGATATCCCAGTTTCTTTCCTTTGTTTCCCTCTTTGTTTCTTTGCGTCAGTTTTCCTCCTGCTACTCTTTTTATTATCTCTCTTTCTTCAAACCTTCACCATAGAAAAACACAAGATGCTTTTGTTAATAGCTTTTTAAAATAGTGAGTCAGCGGGACCCATGAGGAGAGACTTAGATACATCTCTGGGAAATGATATGAGATGTTGATGATTTAAAAATGTTTTGGGCATATAGTGTTAAAACTATTAAAATAAACAAATATTTTAATTATGTTTATAACAAACCAGAAATTAACAAGTATGATTTATCGTCTAGTATATGTATATTAAAAAAAAGATTCGTTTTGCAGTTTTGTTGTCAGTGTTTTTAAAACGTTGCCCTTAAATAGCCTAAGCCATGATAAAAAGCATGAGCACAAGCCAAGTTGTCCCTCCACCTCTTAAAGAGATATTCCAGCGTAAAATTAAATTAGGGTCAAACACACTGTAACACCGAGTTAGACACCCCATCAGGAGATGAATGTTGTCGACTGCTTGTTTCTCTAATTATACCAACTTTAGTAACAACCACAGATGGCAACACAAAGAGCCACGTGCTCAACCAAAAAGCCACTCTATAGCTACAAATAATGCTCAGAACAGCACCTAACTTCATCAACAGTAGGGTCACAGCCATAGTACTAGCCACCAAACATCTTTTAATTTCTTTAGCAAGGAGACTAAACACAACTCACCCACTCTCTTCCAGTAGCTGCTTGTTTGTACGGAGACCATTGACTGCAGCGGGGGGACGCAGCTCAAGAAAGAACATTTATGATGATTTCTTAATGGAAATGCAAGAGTGGGTGAGTCTCTTTGCTAAAGAAATCAGACCAAGCTAAAAAGATGTTTGGCTAGTACTATGGCTGGGACCCTGTATGTACTGTTGATGAAGTTAGGTGTTGTTCTAAGGATTACCTGTAGCTATAGAGTGGCTTGTTGGTTGAGCGTGTGGCTCTCTGTATTGCTGTCTACAGTCATTACTAAGTTGGTATAACTCGACAAGCAAGCAGTTGGCAACATTCATTTCTCCAGGGGGGTGTCTAACTCGGTGTTACGATGTGTTTGACCCTAACTTAATTTTTCGCCAGAACATCCTTTTAATAGCCGAGGAGTCATGATTTTCCAAATGCAATGTTTGACTTTTATTTGTCAGACCACTTCACCTCTGCGGTTTCATGGCCTTGTCCTTTCCGTGGACAGATTTCTTCAGATTCTCTAGATGACATTACATACTGTAGATTATGAAATTTGAAAAGTCTTCACAGTTTTACACCAAATAACATAAGTCTGAAACTGCAGGACTATTGCTCATACAGTCTGTCACAGAGTGGTGAACCTCTTCCCATCTTTTCTCCTGAGAGACTCAGCCTCTCTGGAAACTCTTACAACAACTTAGGACTTAAACTCACAACAACTTTTTCAGTGTTTTGTTGTCTCCTAGATAAAGCATGTGAAAGAAACTGAACATCGATTTTAGGGGGGAAAAATGAAAGCTGCCACCAGAGAAAGTTCATCCTTTGAGGCCAACACTATTTTTTATCTGATTGTTCTTCTACAGTTTCCAGCTTTCTAAACCAAAAATACAACAGGTTGTAGAAGAACGGTCTTCACTCCAGCATCCTTAAAAAAGCAAAAACTGTCTCGTGCTCCTTTTTTAAGATTACATAACACAGACATAAACTTACTATCTATCAGAGGTAACAAACAGGCAAACCATAAGAAGAAATGGGCTTGTCTAAACTTGTGATCATCACCTGACAAGCATCGATTTTCATGGTAACCTGAGTGAACAGTCCTACCAGTCTGGTACAGGTGCTGGCCAGTAAATTAGAATATCATCAAAAAGTTGAATTATTTCAGTAATTCCATTCAAAACGTGAAACTTGTATACTGTATACTTTCCTTCCACACATAGTGATATATTTCAAGTGTTTATTAATTTTCATTTTTATTATTACAACTGACAGCTAATGAAAACACCAAATTCAGTATCTCAGAAAATTAGAATATTCTGAAAAGGCTCAATATAGAAGACACCTGGTGCCACACTAATCAGCTGATTAACTCAAAACACCTGCAAAGGCCTTTAAAAGGTCCCTCAGTCTTGTTCTGAAGGCTCCACAATCATGGGGAAGACTTCTGACTTAACAGTTGTCCAAAAGACGACCATTGACACCTTGTACAAGGAGGGCAAGTCACAAAAGGTGATTGCTACTGAAGCTGGCTGTTCGCAGAGCTCTGTGTCCAAGCACATTAACAGACAGGCGAAGGGACGGAAAAAATGTGGTAGAAAAAAGTGTACAAGCTCTAGGGATAACCGCACCCTGCAGAGAATTGTGACGACAAACCCATTCAAAAATGTGGGGGAGATCCACAAAGAGTGGACTGCAGCTGGAGTCAGCGCTTCAAGAACCACCACGAAGAGACGCATGAAAGACATGGGATTCAGCTGTCGCATTCCGTGTGTCAAGCCACTCTTGAACAAGAAACAGCGTAAGAAGCGTCTCGCCTGGGCCAAGGACAAAAAGGACTGGACTGCTGCTGAGTGGTCCAAAGTTATGTTTTCTGATGAAAGCAAATTTTGCATTTCCTTTGGAAATCAAGGACCCAGAGTCTGGAGGAAGAGCGGAGAAGCACAGAATCCACGTTGCATGAGGTCCAGTGTAAAGTTTCCACCGTCAGTGATGGTGTGGGGTGCCATGTCATCTGCCGGTGTTGGCCCACTCTGTTTCCTGAGGTCCAAGGTCAATGCAGCCGTCTACCAGGAAGTTTTAGAGCACTTCATGCTTCCTGCTGCTGACCAACTTTATGGAGATGCAGATTTCACTTTTCAACAGGACTTGGCACCTGCACATAGTGCCAAAACCACCAGTACCTGGTTCAAGGACCATGGTATCCCTGTCCTTGATTGGCCAGCAAACTCGCCTGACCTTAACCCCATAGAAAATCGATGGGGTATTGTGAAGCGGAAGATGCAATACGCTAGACCCAACAATGCAGAGGAGCTGAAGACGACTATCAGAGCGACCTGGGCTCTCATAACACCTGAGCAGTGCCACAGACTAATCGAGTCCATGCCACGCCGCATTAATGCAGTGATTCAGGCAAAAGGAGCCCCGACTAAGTATTGAGTGCTATACATGGGCATTCTTTTCATGTTCATTCTTTTCAGTTGGCCAACATTTAAAAAAAAACATTTTTTTTTCATTGGCCTTTTCAATATTCTAATTTTTTGAGATACCAAATTTGGAGTTTTCATTAGTTGTCACTTATAAATATCAAAATTAAAAGAAATAAACATTGGAAATACATCGGTCTGTGTGCATTGCATGAATATAATGTACAAGTTTCACTTTTTGAATGGAATTACTGAGATAAATCAGGTTTTTGATGGTATTCTAATTTACTGGCCAGCACCTGTATATGATTGACTGTCTGGAGCCACCAAACAAACACTCTGGCTATGTCTCATTTCAGAGACCGCATCAGGCTGAGCGCGCTCAAGTGCGCTTAGCTGAGCGCACTGCCGTTATGTGGACTTGAGTACCCTGAGTGAGATGGTCTGGTTTTTGTGAAATGACACAGACTATCCTTCGGAGGACTTCCTGGTTGAGTCACAAAATGTCCCCACCCTCAGGCTCGCGTCACGACTGACTTGAAGAAAAGCTGCGGAGCGCAGCAGTTATTTTTTAATTGTGCGACCTTTCACAGACACAAAACAATAGATACATACAAGCACAGATCATTCCCACAAAATTCATCCAATGATTGCATGTTTTGTATGAAGGAGTATGAGGGCCGTATTGAGAATCTTTTTAAAGACTTCAAGATTAAAGTCGTGAATTTACGAGAATAAAGTCATTAATTTATGAGAATAAAGTTGTGAGGTTACCTGTTATTTCAGAGGAGAGTTGTTAACATTAGGGCCATGAAGCATTGGAAGGAACTGTGCTTCAGTATTGGTTTCACAAACAAGGAGATTCTTCATCCTTTGGCACATCAGCATCACATTGTCACAAGTATAAAGACTTAAAAAAGAATATATGAGAAATACGTCTTTTCCACGGGGAAAAAAAAACAGGTGGACTTGGAGAAAAGAGCTTCTTTTGTGGAGGTAGAAATGTATATGCTGAGGATAAATCCGTCAATAAGGTATAATAAGGTGTTGGGGTCTCTGCAGGTGTAGGTTACCCCTGGTGTCAGAGACATGGTGCTCATCGGAGCTCGACTCCCTCTGGATCATAAATGTTGATCATCATCAGTTTGATTGTTTCTTAAAAAAACCACAAAAACTCTCTGAATGACCCGCTGATACATCCACCGATAACCCTGCAGATGACCAGCTTCAGTCATTTCCCCCTCCACAAAAGCAGCTTTATGACTTTATTTACATTATGACTTTATTCTCCTAAGTTTACAACTTTAATCTCTAAGCTTTCTTATTTCTAATGTTTCTGATTGAAACATGAAATGTAGGCTTAATAAGTTACCAATATATGAATGTGAGATATAATCAAGTAGACCATAAGTTGATAAAATATGTATTAAGCCGATGGTGCAAGGTTAAAAAAATATATATATATTTTGAGAGATAATGGCCGCTGAGTGAAGAAGGGCTCCCCGTCCTTACAAAAGCCAATTTAACCACTGCCCAAAATGACAGTGGCAACAAAACATGATATTTGTAGACGCTACTTAAGGCTGTGTGAAGCTGCTATGTGTATCTTGCCATTACTTTCTGACATT